TATACGGCAATCTGGGTATGTCCAAAGCGGAATTGTCCCTTGGTCCGCTCTCAAACAGTTTCACAGCCACTTCAAGAAGAGAGAGAAGATGTCTGGCGACGCGAACCGAGAGGCAATGGAGAGGGCAACGACAGTCCGACCCTCCGACCCTCCGCGCCAACCGTCCGCGTCGACCGTCCGTGCGCCGCCCGCGATGCCTGCTCCTCCGACCCTGTCACGTGGAACGCTAGGCCTAGTTTGGACTAGCCCACCAGAGCACTCGTTTACTTCTGCTTACTCCACACAGCCCTCAGAAGAACAACGACTACTTCAGTCAACCTTTGCCATTGCGGTATTCCCTTGCTCCTTTCCTCCCCTCTCTTGTCCCAGATATGACAGACCCTCCGCGTCCGCTCGCTCTCCGAGCTCCCCTTCTATTAAGCAAATCTCCAGTTTGGCACCGTATTTACGGACCATTTTGCGGATTTAGTAGCTGGCGCAATTAGCCCTTGCCCAAAGAACTATAGCCATGACTCCTCTACGCGGCCTTCTTCATCCGGGCGTTGTCCAGCCGCCTACCCTGCCTTCAAATATATAGCAAGCAAAGCCTGGTACCAGTGAACAAACACGCGCCAATATCCCAGAGTCACGCCACCCTCGACAGCATATCATGGCGGCCGACTTGGAATCCGCCCATGAGAAGCCGGCCATATCGGAAGACGGCCACCATGGCCAACAATCTAGCGAGCCTGACCAAACAACAATTGAACAAGAGACAAAGGACAATGTCGTCGACTGGGATGGGCCAGACGATCCCCAAAATCCGCGGAACTGGCCAGCATGGAAACGCATGACCCAAGTCGTCCTCGCCAGCGCTTTCTTGCTCACTGCGTAAGGCAGTTCCTGCGCTCCTTTGGCGAAGCAAATCCCGTACTGACTAATACACATACAGCAACCTCGCGGCGACAATGTTTGCACCTGGAGCTGCCGCGCTTGCTAAGGAGTTCCATATCACGAGTTCCACCATTGTCAGTCTCACCGTGTCCATTTACCTTTGCGGCTTTGCCGTTGGGCCAATGTTTATTGCACCGCTATCCGAACTGTACGGACGCCTTGTGATCTACCACACCTGCAATGTCATTTACATTGGCTTCATCATCGGATGTGCGCTGGGCAAAAACACCGGCACGTTTCTCGTTTTTCGATTCCTTGCCGGATGCGCTTCTTCGGGCCCATTGACAGTTGGCGGAGGAACCGTCGCCGACGTCGTCCCGCCAGCTCAGCGTGGGAGGGTAATGTCTCTGTTCTTCATGGGACCACTTCTGGGACCAGTAGGTGGCATTACCCCACGCAAACTGTCATGACACTGACGATCCTTCAAGGTCTTGGGCCCAATTATTGGCGGCTTTGTGTCCGAATCAATTGGCTGGCGATGGACTTTTTGGATCATCATAATCCTAGTGAGTAAAGCACAACCCCTACTATTCTCGAGTCGCTGACGGTTCGACCTAGGCAGGAGTATCATTTACCATATCAATCTTCTTCCTCCGCGAGACCAATGCCGCCGTGCTGCTGGGATGGAAAGCTGCTCGCCTCCGGAAAGAAACTGGCAATGCTGCTCTGGTTTCGAAGATGGATCGAGGCCTGACCCCCCGCCAGCTATTCCTCCGCGCTATTACTCGACCGACAAAGCTTCTCATCCTGTCGCCAATCGTGCTCCTCCTTTCCCTCCTGTGCGCGTTCGTTTTCGGCCTCCTCTTTATACTGTTCACCACGTTTCCCACGGTCTTTGAGGAACAATACCACTTCTCCGCCGGCGTTTCTGGCTTGTCATATCTCGGCGTTGGAATTGGAATGGCCGTCTCTCTCGGAGTCTTTGCCACCGTGAGCGACAAGCTGCAAAAGGCACTTGGAGATTCGCCCAAACCTGAAGGACGCCTGAAGCCCATGATGTGGGTCATGCCGGCCGTGCCCGTCGGCATCTTCTGGTATGGTTGGGCAGCCGAGAAGCAGACTCATTGGATCGTGCCCATCATCGGTACCTCCTTCTTTGGATTCGGCTTCCTCTGGGTCATAATGCCAACTCAGCTCTACATGGTGGATGCTTTTGGCCCTGAGGCTGCCGCCTCTGCGTTGGCTGCGAACGTGATTCTCCGACTTCTTTTTGCAGCTTTCATTCCATTGGCAGGGCCATCTTTGTATGCTGACCTAGGACTTGGGTGGGGGAATAGCGTCCTAGGTTTTATAGGCGTGGCTTTTCTCCCAGTGCCACTCTTCTTCGATCGTTACGGAGGGTGGCTTAGGGAGCGTTTTGCTGTGAAGCTATAGCATTTCATGTTGAGGTAGAGGTATTATAGATCTGTTTTACCATTTGCAGTGCTTTTCACGAGGAGATTGTCGCGACTTTCTGCTATTTCATTCCATGCATAACCAGGTATCGATGATAGATTTAATGTCTCCACTAGGAAGCATAACCTTAACCACCAGCAGTTCTCCTCTACCAGCTTTCATGTGAAGGTAGTTCTACCCAAGACATTTCTAGATTCGACCAGTTTCCTTACACATATTCTCAAGTAATTGCCGAGAACATCCTCTGCAGTGGCCTCTACCTTCTGGAACGTGAGCTGCTTGATGAGTGGTGGCTGCACTTCTATTGCAAGGCCTGTCCAAAGCCGCTTTTCGAGGTTGGTTAGCGATGACGGTTCTCTTGAACACGCAACAGCATAGGAAACTTACTTTGGATACCTCGAATACGCCAACCGAAGACGAAGGAAATCGCGCGTTATGGTTATGAAATCTGAGTCTCCACCTTTCCTTGTTCCCGCACTCTTGCGCTCTCTTCACATTTAGCACAGTAAGGTCTGCCTCTTTTATGAGCTTCCGCCACATTGCAAGAGGTGTGCTTGCGCTGTTGACCATCCGTCTCTCCTCGTACTCTTGCGGCCCAAGAGCCATAACCATCCTTTTTGAATACTCGACGTAATCAGAGAAAAATGTCATACTCCAGCCGGTCGCCTCTTTGTCCCCTTCGCACAAGCCGATCCATATCCTGTCGGGATACACTCAGAGGTCATGAAATATCTACGGCACATCAGTCTTCAAGAGCAGAGGATTGGGACACGAGGGCATGCACTTGTTCCAACGCCCCATCAGCCATTTCCTATGAGCTTTGGTATTGTCATTAACCAGGACATCTTCTTCGGCCGGGGTGTCCAGGTATCTGCGGACTTTCTCCAGACTTCGCCGTTTCCGTTCTTCTGCGTCGATAGGCTCGGGGCGTCGTGTATTAGAAAGTCGATCTGATGAAACAATCTGATGTTGGTATGCCAGCATGTTTGCTGGAGGAAGGCAACTTGTGAATTCCAGAGACAGGAAGTGACCTGAAGATTTGGAAGAAATCGCAGGCCAGCCACGGTGCAGGTCTCAGTGTCCTTGACCTTGACCTGTAAGGCAGCTGTGCCCAGTTGTCCCTCAGTGGTCTGCATCGTCGTTTGACGTTGCGTGTATGGCCCAATTTTGGACCATGGGCCGTGACCGCGGACCAGTTTTGGACCATCGACCATTAAGTGGTACATCCATGCTAAAGCGTGCAGGGGTGGGCCGATCAATGGCAGGGTTTCTGCTCTAAGCCTCTACCATGGCCGCCCATATGTCTGCAGCTTAATCCTGATAATACGGCCAGAGCTCTAGACATGACCGGTATTGAAAAATCCTCGGTAGGATCAAAACAGGGAGTGGGTACGAGGGTAATCTGGGCGCGGAAATTTAAAGCTCTGACCAACATCTTTGCAATTGCTTCAGATAGTTCTGGACTGGTCACTCGTGTTGCAGTCTAACAAGGCATGAAGAGTGTCATGGGGCGCCAAGACCCCATGCCATGCGTTACGCAGGATACCCCTATCCGACTTCCAAGCGTGGAAGTCGATGTCGCCCCTGCACCTATATAGATAGATAGGTATCCTTTTGACGTCTTTACAGCCCGCTGGCGAGCCTCCCCCTGACAGATCGTGTCATTGCCGATGAAGTCTCTCGTCAGGCAGAACTCACCTGCGTTGTTGCACTGTAACAAACGCGAAGCCGGCGGCAGCTGTGGCGGCTGTGCGCCAGTCTCGCTATATGTGTCCGTGGACTATGCGCGAGATATTAACGACAGCTTGTTGAAATTCTACGTAAGTTAAGTTACACTGAGATGGTTATGTGAGAAGTGCGGGCGCGTATAGAAACGACTAGGGACACACTGCGACCGAGTTCGGCGACGGGACACCTTGCTATGGAGCAGTGATTGAGTTCCTATCACCATGTCATTCAGCAGATATGGCATCAACATTAGATGTCCTATTCTTCCCCGAGCCCCACGGACGACTTTTCATCCCGGAATGCCTTTCTACCCACCTATGTCTGCTTTCCCCTTACATAGTCCATGCACGTAGCGCTCCGTACACTATCTACACAGCATGCGTCAACACTATTGCCTACCAATAGTGACACAGCCTAGTGAGCGAGTGTTACAGAACGAGTTAGTCTGTTACGAACGATAGATCAACAATTATTCAGCAATATCTCGACCCGCACCATCACGTGATCTAGCCTTGCCTCGGGCCGGATTGGCTCCTTCGCCCCGCCTTCCTCCTTCATCTTCGCACCTCTCATAAGGGCCGCCTTAGAACATCCAAATCTAAATCGCTGTGATTAGAGCGTTGTGGTCTATAGTATCCGCTTGGGAGTTGTATAGATGAAAAGTGGCAGTCACATGGGGATGTTCATCAGCCTACATGCGGGGCTTGCAGCGATAACGACTCAGTTCTGCAATCATATCCGGTACTTGCATAAGCGATCGAAACGATGTAACCATCTATGAGCCGTCCAATATGCGCTAGAAGAGCTGGTACGATGTTTTTCAGTCCCGAGAATGAGGCTCAAAACGGCTGCTTGACTACGGATGATCCCGCTCGCACCTCAAGTATGCATCGCCGCCGCTACAAAGATGTTCCAAGTCGACCAATATAGCGTCTCCAAGTAAAATGGACGTTCTGGAAGCTGCTCTGCGATCTCTTGGTTTAGATACCCTCAATTTTACCCTTCGACACCTTTTCTCTTCAAGACGACCTGAGGCGCCCAAGTTTGTGATCAGGCTGTCTTTCTTCGTCGCACTTGCTCGATGTGCGCTTCATTTTCTTCCTTCCGCTGTGTCTATTGCTATCATATACCTCAATGTGCGTGGATTGTACATTGGTGCTCAATTGGCCGGCACTGCGAAATATGGTGCAAGTTTTGCACCGGCTTTAGTTCAGGTTGGTGCTAAACTGCAAGTAAGAATCCTCATCAGTTCAAATTGTTTACGGACCTGATGCCTCCTAGGAACTGCTCATCGGTGGAAGCCTGGCGATTGTTCTGTTTCATGTCATACGACACGAGCTACTATTTGGCAACGGCGTTTCCTTCGGATACGTCCTCTCTGGCTTTTCATTCGCTCGCATCCCATACTTTTGGTCACCCGCGTTCTTCAATGGCTGGACGTTTTCACGGCAAAGCTTGGTCTCGAGGCGAGGCCTACTACTCTGCTTGGCCCTCGCTTGCGGAATCATTACGAACTTTGCAGGGCCTGCAAGTGCATTGCTGATGATGCCAACGATGCAGGTGAGATAATTAAAGTGAGATGGCGTGTCTCTCTGACTTCCTGCAGAACTGGCAGATCCGTCATGGTGATCTCGATCTCAATGCCACTAATGATCAACTTTGGCCGGCCTCACTGACAATTAATAATATTGGAGGCAGCGATTGTTTGAACGGTGCATCCCTTTCTGGTACATCGAATCGCTGCATAAATAATGGTTATTTGCCACTATACGGAAATTGGCAAAGCCGGGGACCAGACTATTTTGATGGAACTGTGACTATTATGCCTGACGATTTTTCGGGCGGAAGAGTCATTCACGGGCACAACCCAGGACCTGCACAGCAAGGAAACTCCGATACATGGGCTTCGACACCGCATGCTGCCGTATCGCACCTCCTAACCTCGATATGGTGGAACGCTACTTGGAAAGGCACTTTGTCCGGAATAGGTAGTACAGCATTGGTCGAGGTACCATCGCCCTGGGTGCGCGTCAAGTGCGCTACATTGTCGCTACTTGGGGCCGACTCCCTCGTGCCATTTCCAGTCCTGCCAGAGATTGCATCTTGGGACTTCGCGACTGTGACAAGCTTGAGTATGACAACCGAGATGCAGGACTTTCTCGTCCAGGATCCCCTTGCTACGGAGTCTCAGTACAGCACATTTTGGATGCCTCACGATTCATCAATGGGATATTCTTCTGCCGGAATGATAACTTTTCTCCCGCGACTTGCCGCCCAGTCACCTAATCGCTACGGATTCCCTTGCACAGTTGACGCCCGTTGGGTCAATTCTCTTACGACAAAATCAGATGGCGACAGAGGACCTGTGGTGAATGCGGACCTTTGGTTCGACTATCTTGATGGAAACTCGGCAATTTCGCAAGCTTTCTTTAATTTAGATTGGCTTCACGCTCTGGCACCAAACGTCTCCATATGGAATGTCGATGGTAGCGATTCTGGAAAATTTGGGACGGCTATAAGTGGACTGTTCGGGGCTTACTATCCGTTATACACAGATATCCTAAATGATCCAGGGGATCCATACTGGAGCTGGATACAAGTCGTGGAACTAATTCTTGCTTCATACATCGTCGACGGCATGTCTCGTGTCGGCCTGGAAGAACATATGGGGCAACAGTCCGTCGATAATTCGCGAATTGTGACAGTGACAACCACAATCCAAGGTGAGTCTGGCTTTGTGTGGTAGCTCTTCTGACATATTAGGGTACGCGTATATGGCGTCAGCCACTGCAGACTACTTGGCTATCGCTGTGCTACTTGGCCATGCCACCATTGCGTTTGTTTATACTGGCTATGTTCTCTGGACTCGTCGGACATCAGGATGTTGGGACACCATTGAAGAGCTTGTTGCGTTGGCACATAGCTCACGACCCACCTCTGCCTTGGCAAATACGAGTACCGGTATACATCGATCTTCGACAATGTCACAGCGTGTGAGGATCAGAGTATCGCCTGAAAGCCCTGGAGAGGAAGTCCAGCTGATTTTCGGGGACTCTGCCCAACAATGGCAAAAGGCTGAAATCAATAGGAAGTATGGCAGGCAAAATGTGTATGAATTTGGTCAGGAAATAGAGACACGCAAGCTGCGTCGAAAGCCGGTACCACAGCAAAGAGACTCCGAACGAGCATTGTTATACTCGCAGACGCCGTCGTCTTAACAGGCCAGCGGTGGTATGGACGATCGATGACACTCTATTCAACCTTGACCAGCATGATACTCATACCATGCTTACTTTACCGTTCAGATTGGCAAAGGATCAGACCAAAGCGTACTTAGTTAGTCGGGTGCTAGCAAGGAGATGTTGGGGGATTGCCCTCTCCTTCCATCGATTGGTGAACCTTGCAATCAGATGGTCATGTGGGTTCAATATTTGGAAATTTCGAACCGATATGGAGGATGACCAATTGGTCTGTTGCTAATGTTTCACTTTGCTTTGCCGCCGCCTTACATGGCTCGGAACCCCAAAACGGTTGGATAAACGAATGATAAGTATCGATGTCGGACAATCCACCGCTTACACGCGACGGATATTATATCCTAGTATGATTGGAAGGCTGAGCAAGATGATGGAATCTAAGGGCGGTACGATCACAAGTTCCTGTGGCATCTTGAATGGTTGCCAGGGTCAAATGACTCCCCCTCCTGTTTTCATTCGTTGAACAATAGACAGCACCCCTTTGCTTGGAAAGAGTTATCACCTTTATGCAGTATATAGGAGAGAAATAGGAGAGGAAAAGGGGCCAACCAAGTATGTATAAATACCAGCAACCTTAGCAGGAGCAGTTACAGGAAGACAGAACATTCAATACATTTCAATTGTACTCTTAGTTCGATACGAGCCTTGGGCGCTGCTCTCAAAATTACCGCCGTTGCTGCTCTTCATATCTCCATTTATGGAGACACTATTGTATTTAAGCGATGCTCAGAAGAATAGGAAAGGCACAGCACTAAATGGGGCATGAAGAGAAATTGCCAAGCTGAACATCAAGCAAACTGGAATTGTTGTTGGCTTTGGCAATAACCACCTCAGTCCAGACTGCTCGCTCTTTATATCATTTTCTGCGTGCTACGCAGCAGTGGGGGAGTGATGTAACGAGTACGAAGGCGCAAATTATCCATCAATTCATGCTGCTCATGCTGCTGAGAATGAGGAATATCGGGCGTTCGGGCAGGGGTTTGGGGGCTTGCATTGTTGTATTTTCCTAGGCGCATTGACTTTCGAGAGCCCCTGGAGACCCAATTCCCCGCTCAATGTCCTGCGTGTGTGATTCACAAATATCAGAACCAGGTTGCCACGTATAGTCAAAAGTCCGGTGTAGATGATCATTGCATCCAGTGGAGGCAGAATACGTGAATGAAATAATTGACGAAGACCTTTACGCATCTCTGTTAGCATCTAATAGATAGCCTACAGCATGACACAAGTTAGAGAGAGCGGTAACGAGTCTAAGAACGGGCCACTCTCATGGTGAAATGAGGACGATCTCTCGCACGCATCACACCTTCGTCCCCAAAATGGGGGGAAGTGGCTGCGAGCAGTTCTGCTCTTCTAGGCTAATATGACCTGCAGTTCGTCCCAGCGTAATATACAACGTCAGTTACCTGCTCTCACCTGCGACCATCTTCAACATATCTGTGGCAAGTCCATAAGCCTCATCTCTGGCCCGGACACAAACTTTATCCGTGTTCTTCTTGTCGAAACCATGAACACACCCTGTCATCCTCCGAAGTATCACGTTCCTGCCACTTGTCGCACCTTCAGTCTTAGCTTTCCCAGCTAACTCTTCCGCCTCGAGCGCCGACGAGTCCAACTCCCCCGTTATGACTAGCATGTTGGTAGGGTAGTTGGACGTATCGGCATACGCTGGCGAGATTCTCGGATCTCGAGGATCCATCTCCCCTATGTATGAATCCCGGAAGATCCGAGTCCAGACCGGCGAGCGCGGCTTCGCGTTCGGTGCTGGAGCCTTCCTCAAGCTCGGGTCCCTTGCGAGGTTCGTCGCCGGATAGAAAGCAATGACAGACTGGAAGGTGCCGGGGGGAAACGGCGTTGGGGCGATGAGCGCGAGCGTACCCCCCGATGAGAACCCGGACACGGAGACTTGCGAGGCCTTGTACTCTTCTGGTCGGTCAAGCACGTATTTGACGGCATCCTCAACGTCGTTGACCGCCGCGGGAAACGGGAACTCCGGTCCCAGGCGATACTCGACATCGAGAACCACATAACCGGTAGTCGTGGCGACGAGCCGACAGAAACTGTCATCCGCGCCATGGAGAGGAAGCGCAAATCCGGAGCCGTAAAGGTTGACCAAGGCTGGATGGGGGCTCCTGCTTCCAGCGTATTCTGTGGAAGGTTTGTAGAGATAGGCTTTGATAGTGCGGCGGCTGTCGCGTGACGGGATTCTTAGTACAGAGTCGGGTTTGGGAGTCGGAGGAGAAGCAAAGAGTTTAACGATGAGGCGGAAAAAGGAGACGAGGAATTTGAGGCGTACATAGCGCACGAACGCAGAGAGTCTAGCCATTGTGGTCTGATGGCCACCAGCTTGAGTAAAACAGATGGTGAATTTTCTAATGTGAGTGGGAATACGGGCGAAGTTGAGCTATCGAATGGGGAACTTATAGTATATCGGAGTTGGGTTGTCTTAAGCAGGCAGCCGCGAAGATGCTTGCATGTATTCGCCGTTCGTATTCGTGTGTGTCATGGGTGATCGCTCACCGGCGCGCTTGCGGGATTAACGATCGCCCTGACCCACCGGTTGTGGGGTTGTGATTTGGGGAGGACTTCGAAGGGTTCCAGGGGACCACCAGACCTTATAGCTTTCGAAGCGTGTACGATGCGTACATCTTTCCAAAGGGTCTTGACAAGCCTTGGCGCGGACAAATATCACAACACAATACAGAACGCAGAAATGATGGTTGACGTTGGTAGACTCTACATATATTCGGCTGTGGAGGCCGCGAATCTGCATCAATTACTCTCATCTAGTTCATCGAAGTGTCTCTCCCGTCTACGATACCTCTGAGACTTTCGTGAACTTTGCTGAGGCTCCTTGACAACCTCAACAAGTTCCTCAAAGTAGTGGCTAACATCAGGATTCATAGTTGTAGGTTCTGACATTTTAAGAAATCGTGGATCGATGGTCACGTATTGGCGCCTTTTATCCTGTAGTAAATCACTCTTTGCAGACTTGCAGACAATCCTGTCATCCCACAGGTCTAAAAAGCAATCCTCCTCGTCGCTTGACTATTCAAAAATTCTCTTTAGAACGGTGTTTGAAAGGCTGAGGGTCTGGACACCACGTCGTTTTATTCTTCCGCTGGTGAGCGAATATGAACCGCCACAGCCACACCACTTACTGGTAATTTCTCGCCGTAGCCAGGCCCAACGGCGACAAGCTCTGTTAGTGCGGTGTACAGAATAACAGGATGAGAGCTTTGTGTTGACCTGTGAGATGGCTGCCTGCTAGGCTGCAGCACAGGCAATACCGAAGGATAATCTTTAGATAGGTATATAGATGGGCTCTATTCTGCACTCATTGGAAGAGCCAGAGCATTCATTCAAATTCAAGTTGCACACCAAGTTAGACACTTTGAGTGCCATACCGTTAACCTAGGCACATGTGTAGCAGCAGGCGAGAAACGTACCTGTTCATGCGCCGTTGGCAATCTTTGACGGGGCAGGCATCGTCAATGGGACGCGATCCGGGGAGATGTGGGACGTTTGAGTCCTGAAGACAGATGGTATGAAGGTCACCGAATGTATCACACATCTCGTCCGTCGTCAACGGATATGGAGACGCCATTTTCTCGGCGAGTCGTCCTCGTTTGGGGAATAACTCGTAGATATTTACTCTGGGGCTAGCTTTGTCTTGCAATTGTCTTTAGCCACTTCTTTCCTCCGAGTTAGGATTCTCTAATCCTGGCGTGTTGGCCAGAAGGACTGGCGTCGCGTTTGCACATGTCACTTGAGACAACATGCAACCTCAGCCTTTCCATTTTTTTGATAGTGCTAAGAGATTGAATCAATCAATTATCCACGTTACTTGGTCCATCACGGCGCTCTTGAACCTAGGTCTCTTGATACAGGCGTATCGCATTCTGCTTCAGTTTCTTATAATAGTTCGTCACTCGGCGCGTGGTGGTGCTTGAAGACCCTCGAGCCCCTTGAGCGTTCGGACCTCAGTCTCAAGTTCGCGAAGGTGCGGATCCTGTTTCAGCTCTTCTTCAAGGTGCGCAGGGAGTTCATCAGGCAGGCCGTCCTCATGAACCTTTTCGAGACTTTGGAAATATTCGATACGACGCCGGTCACTCTCCTCGTCTCAGAATGTGGCCTAACCGGTGACCGAGGAACGGTTTGCCACGTAACTTTGACCGAAAACTCGAGGATCGGCTTGAGTCAAGTGCTGTGAACGTTCGGCGGCGGTATTCCGTCTGAGAATGGGAGTCAGTAGAGTAACATGGGTATTGGGAGGTTTTGGAAGGAGGAAGGGATCGGGTAGGAGACCTCTTTTGCATTGTTGAACAATTGATGGCCTATCGTTCACGACTAACCGAGTTATTTTGCAACATTCGCTCACCAGACTGTATCTCCATTAACAGGCAACAATGGTGGCGTACACTCGTTAGATAGATATATAGACTCACTGCCGCTCTCTGGCCGAATTCAATCAGAGCATTCTTTCGATGAAGAGAAGTTGGACAACAAGATAGCCAGAATAAGATTTATTCCAGCGATACTATCGCAAGATTGGCGGCAACGCTTTGCTTACCACCAGATCACCTCCACCAGACCATCCTCTACTCCACTGTGGAACAGAGGAGATGGTAGTCATCTCGGACAGGTTGACACCCCCTTCGGGCCCACAGAACACCGCAGTACCCTCCCCCGCTGATGACCATATGAGTCAACTCCCCAACTCACAAACCAGGCGATCCAGACCGTGTACGAAGTTGTGCGATACAGTCACCATGGTCATTCCTTTTCTCCGCCGACAACGACCCCAGCACGAGACTAGCTAGACTTCTAACACGATAGCCTCTCTAAGACGAATCTGTGGCTCTTTTCTTAACGAGATGGAGCCGTCAAGCAGTACAGGCAAGCTCAAGAGAGAGCTCCCAACACCCCACCGTTGAGGTGTTCATTGAGTTCTGTCAGGGGCTGGGGGGCTGGGTGGCTGCCAGTGTGGCTGTGCAATTCTGTTTTAGGTTGGCGAGGCGAGCCCTGAACACTTTGAGAAGGACCTATAACTCAGCCCCTAAGTTCCCAGGATTTGGGTGTTTTGAGTTAGTAGCTCTGAACCGTAGCTGTAGCATCATCGGCGGAGAAAGGAAATGTTGTAGCTCAGTGGGCACTACTGCCCCTAGCTTGTGTGCGCCACAGCACCTTCCGTAGGCCGCCGACCCGTGACGAAGCGATAGCTAGTGATGAGATGCAAACTCTTATCTCTGATCTCGGCCTTGACCTGCTCCATCATGACACGAACCTGATCCGGGGTATATCCCAAGATCCTCGAGAAGAGCGCGGGTGTATGGCTGTCCACGCTCATTTGCATGTGTATCCTCTCCCACTTCCCGAGCTCCTTCAGATGCGGACCCTTGGCCCACGGCCCAACTGGAATCCGGTGCACCTCCTCCTTTACGTCGACGAAGCCCGCATCAATGATCCACTGTTTTTGAAACTGTGCGACGTTGATGCGTTTGTTGAAACCCTTGCTCGCTTCGTCGAGCTGGGTGGTCCAGGTTACCGACCAGCGCGCCCTGTCACACGAGTCGTCGTCGGCGAAGAATTCGGCATCATACTCTTGCATTTCGACGTATCCACCGGGGTTGAGATTGTTGTAGACTCGGCGATAGAACTTTGACCAGTCGGACGCTGTGCCGCACAGAGCCCGGCCGTGGATGTAATCGAAGGCCTCGTGGGGGCGGTATGTCCAGTCACTTTCGTAGTCATCGACGTAGAATGTGCAGTTGGGAGGGACCCATTGGGGCTGGATCGGCGACAAATCTACACCAATGACGGTAGCGGAGGGAAATTCGTCCGCCATATCAATCGCCCAGATGCCGGTTCCGGTTCCCAAATCAAGTATACGTCGAGGGTTAGAGAGGGGCGCCGTGTAAAGGCGGCCATGAAGTAGGAGTCGCCAGATATGGTGTTGCAGGTCGAGGCGCTCTTGCTCGGTATCATCATTGGGCAGAACATACTCGCCTTCGCGATAGGCATGGTAACGGCGACCATTTTCGTATCGGTAGTTGTAGATCGATGATGCTATCGACCCGGTCCGCGCACTCCCGGAAACACTGCCATACGTAGAGTCGGCATCCGCCTCAGCATCGACCTCGTCAGCGGCGACGTTCTCTAGGAAACAACAGGCGTCACATGACGAACCGAGAAGTAGTTACGGATGTTGATTAAGCTTACCGTCAACTTGTAGAGGTTGGGAGGGATCTCCAGAGGCTTCGATAGCGTCGGATGGTGGTAGGCGCAGTGATTCAGACATGGAGGGTTTCTACCGTGTATGTAGTTGACCACATGAGGGCGAGCTCGAGACACATCAGGTTATGAATCTTTTAACAAAATTCAGCGGTGAAATTGAATGCGTCGAATGGTGAAGATGCAACTCTCTTGGCGAAGTGGCACCATGCGTACTATGGTGTCATGGGTAAAATCGTGTAAACCTGCCCTAGTCTACCGTTGACAGAAAGAAGCAGCGAGTACGCTTTGGCCCAACAGGAGTGCCCCGCTCAACCAAATCTCGGGCTGTTCGATTTGAGAACAAGGGCGGCGAGGTGTTTCGTACCCTAGCCAAGCGCGTCTTAGCACACCAATTACCTTTGACACCGTCGTAGTATAGTAGTTGTTGTGTGCTTCATTTCTCCTCTAGCGGTTCCTTCTGAAGCATCCTATACGCTAGGCCAGTCCATCTTCAATGCCGGCCCCGCTTCCCGCTTCGGACTCGTTGCTTCAATAATGATCAACTGTACCTTCAGGTGGTTGTATCTAGTGGTAATAAGAATGGCTTATCAATTTCGAGGGGTAGGCCCCAGCCCCACCATTCTCAGGGTGTAAGCACACCATACCACGAGAGATCTTGCTGCAATGCATAAGCAAGGGCATTTAAAATTATATAAATCCCTCCAGAAGAGTCCTTTGCCATCGTTTAGATATGCGCCTAGAGACAAACTTCCCTTTAATATCTCTTGTCGTGTCCGCATAGGCACCTCGAATAAAAATCGTAAGAAATTCGAGGGTGCGGTCTCCCAGAAGGCATATAAGCGTGTCCCAAATCTGCAGCCAAGGAGCTTTTACTGTGATGCCACGTTGCAACCCCTCATTAGGTCTTCCAATGTCACCGTAAGTTGTAAACTCCCGGGATGGCACGTTAGAAGCCTTCACCCTTCTCCAAACTATTTGCGAACATGTCGAAACTCATCGTTGTCATCGGCATCACAGGCAACCAAGGCGGCTCCGTGGCGCAAAGGTTTCTAAAAGACTCGAATTACCGTGTCAGAGGTTTGACCCGCAACCCTGATGCCCCCAAAGCAAAAGAGTTCGCCGCGCAAGGCGTGGAAATCATACGGGCTGATCTGGACGATGTTGAAAGTCTCAAGAAAGCATTTGACGGCGCCAACGTAATATTCACCGTCACGAATTACTGGGAACCGTTCTTTCGACCCGACTGTCGGCAAGAAGCAAGAGAACAGGGCATCTCCTGTAGAAGGCATGCATACGATGTCGAGTATCGACATGGCAAAAACATGGCCGACGCCGCTGCCACGGTGGTCGATTCATTAGAGCCCAATGGTTTTCTTGTCTCCACGTTAAGTCATGCCGGCAAATGCAGTAAAGGCACCTTCAAAGAGTTGTACCATTTTGATGCTAAGGCCGATATCTTCCCGGATTATGTCGACGACAACCACCCCGATTTGGCGGCGAAGATGTCGTGCATTCAGACCGGATGTTTTTTCACTAGCTACCGACTTCTTCCTGAATCGTATCTTAAAAAGGTTGATATCACCGGGAATCGGTACTTGTATTGTTGTGGCTAACACGAGACTATCAGTTATCGGACGGTAGCTTCCAAATGAGTCTCACCACAAATCCTGAGAAGCCAGTACCGCACCTTGACGTCAACGCTGACACGGGTAATTTCGTCTATGCTGTATCGCAACGATCACCTGGCGGTCACTACATGGCCGAGGGGACCACTTGCAGCTGGTCGGACTGGATCCGAACCTGGGCAGAGATCATGAACCAGAAAGGCTCATACAAGCAGGCCACGGTGCAGCAAATGATAGACGCCACGCCCGACAAGGAGTTTGGTAGAGAGGTTGCTGACATGTTTCTCTATTGCTCCGAACCCGGATACGATGGAGGCATGGAATTGATAACGGCGGCGGATATGAGGAAGGTGAGTATAATGCACCGTCTGCCAATCTCGATTGCTGATCGGTGTCGTAGGAAGGTATTGATTGTCCCATGACGAGTCTAGAGGACTTTGTCCGCAGGACGGATTGGACCAGTATTCTCTCACAATAACGACGTGCCAAAGAGGCGGTGTTGGGGGCCGTGTATCTTGAACGATAGGCAGAGCAATGGTTTTCCAGGCAGCCGCGTCAACACTTGAAGTTTACTAGCTTGTCGGCCAGGGAACCCGAACTGGCCTCCGCCACAATTTGGAGGTGCATTTTCGGGTTAAGCGTGCTTCTTATCTGGCTTGAATAATCTACCTTCGGCCCGGGTCCCAAAAAGGCCGCTGTCGAACTTTGAGAAGGGGCGGATAGAAAGGTGAAAACTCGTGTGAAGATTACAGCTATGGAAAGGGCGCGAAAAGAGTGTACAGAGTAACAAAAGGTGGTGTACAAACTAACATCTCGAATTCGAGTTATGCCAGGACTTCTCGGCACGTGATACTGCATCTGTAAGGCAGCGGCTGTTCTGTACGCTTTTTGAATTGCCAAAATCTCAACAACGAGCACTTTCCTTGCGCTGTAATTACTGTCACGTATACACTGTAGCTCTCTTGATCGAATTCTTCAATTATTACTAAGTTTTCTACTATTGTCGTCGAGTGAGTCGAGGTTTTGGGTAAGTTGCGCTTCGCTGGCTGAAGGGTGCGGCGTACTTTATCCGTAGAGTGGATCACTACGCCAGAATAGCACTAACTTCACCGCCGTTCTGTGAGCGTATTTGAGCGATTTGAAAGCTGAAAGGTCGTATGCCTAGTAATTGAGTGGATTGTTGCACGATGTGAAAAAGTGTTGAGTCTTTTGCGTCGTGTTTGTGGCACTCCTTGAGGGGTCTTGGAGCCGGTGTACAGAATAGCCGCTGCCCTCGAATTCGTCGAGCCAAGCCACTGTAGCCACTTATATCACGCCTGATCACGAGCATTGCTACTACCCCCTACCATGTGGCCCAAATGAAACTAAAAGTAGATGGGGTCGCCCGCCGCAATTCTCTAACGCGGAGCAGGACCAGTAGCTCAAAGTTCAAAAATTTATTTCGCCACCTCCCCCGCCGCAGCCAAACGCCATCGCAGTGAACAGTTGGATAGTAGCAAGTGCCCCTTTACTGGGAATAGTGGTTATCACTCCTGTGTAGGATATAGGGGTAGAAGAAAAGGGGCCAACAAAATGCGTATAAATACCAGCAACCTGGCAGGACCAGTTGCTGTTGAAGAAGACGAGCAGTGGAACTATAAATTCTCACTATTTTATGAGGGCAGAGAGGGGTTTATATAGTTCAGATCCTTCTCCTCTGATTATCAAGCATCGGAATGTTTCCATGGTTGATTTATCAGTCAAGGCCTCAAATCACAACGGTTGCTAGATAGACAGTGCTGTTGACCTATGAGATGGTTGCCTGCTAGGCTGTAGCATAGGTAACAACGTTGAGATATACTGTGTTGAAGATATATAGGTGGGTATTGCACTCCTCCAAATTCAAGTTGCACAAAGTTTGACAAGAGCATTCAATTCGTATTATCTTGGCTGTCCCGGTTTGACAGTTCGCATTGAGATTGAGGAAGAAGAGTCTATTAAGGCATAGGTCGGCGCCGTAAGGAGGAGCGTATGCGAGTAACTATGAGTCACTTAGGGGGATTGAAGAGCTGTCAAACTTCTTGTACAACTTGAGTTGAATGAGTGCTCTGATTTTCTATCAAACTGAGGTCCTGCCTCGCATGTTTATATAGAGAAAGATTGGTGCCACATTTCGGCGTCTCCGTGCTCAGCTCCATAGATGAGATCCTTGCACCGCTGAGAACGTCGCCACACCACTGTTCAACAAGAGCCGTACGCGTGATAAGAGCCCTTTTACAGATAGAGGTAAAGGCAGCAGTCTCTCGTGTATACCCAAAGTCGTTAAAAGGGCCGTTGTTATCGCTAGTATCCTTTATCCAGAAGACTAAACAAACATTCACTCTACTAGATAAGCTGCGCGAGGTAACTCTTCATCGCCATTTACAGTAATGTTGAACAGGAGGCTATTGTGTATAGGCTCCACCACTGAAACACTGGTGAGAAGTGTCCATAGACGACGACGTTACTGACGGTTGCTCTGCGTAACGACGTAGCATTTGCACGTCTATAAAGAGACCCTGAACAGCTCGACGAGTAGATAGAGAACAGAGCACTCCTTCAACTCAAGTTGCACAAGAAGTTTGACAAATAAGTACTCGTTTCTCTTGATACAGAGTTAGTCTTTTTGTTGAACTTCGTGGATTGAAAGAGCGCTCTGGCTCTCCTCATGAGTGTAGAGCCCATCTATATATCTATCTAACGAGAGTACGTCACCATTGCTGCCTGTCAATGGTGATACAGCCTATTGAGCGAGTGTTGCAGAATGTCCTAGTCTGTTGTAAATGATTGGCTAGCATTTGTTCGATGCTATTGTCCAACACTTTTCAAATATCCAGACTTATGAACATTTGAATTAATCGAGCATTAGACATCGGAATCGAAAGGCCATTATTAACTCTCGGTTATATTTTCTCTACGTCGCTTGGTAAGCGACTTTCCTAAACATACCGCTTAGCCTTTTTTTGCTATTATCATTTGATTGAGATTAATCGAGCCCCTCTTACGGAGAAATTTATATTTCCTATCGAAGCAAGAGTAAGTATGGGGCCAGAACGGAGAAGGATCAGGTGTCAAACAATCACTGGTAGTACATTGATTGTTGCTAAAATGCTCTGATTTCTATCAAACTACGGTCCTGCCTCAGATCCTTGTCTAGCTGAGTATTCCAGTATTATAGCTGAACATGTTGCCATATACTGTTCGACAGTATACCATGAGATGCTATCCAAGGGCCATCTAGATATCGAGGCCAGTGCCATACACTATCCCCGGCCCTACCCGGCCAGATGGTCCACGGATTGGATCCGATGGCGGCAGCCTTTCATCAGATCCGATCCATGGATCAGTAAGGGCTTGTCTGAGGTGGTCCACAGACTGGATCCGATGTGTGGATCATCTCGATATCGAGGATATCAAGATCTATCGAGTAGGGTGCCCCCAGACCACATGGTCCGCGGATTGGATCCGATGACGGGGCGGGCAAAGGGGGTGTGATTCTACGGAGGACTTGTCCTATTTCGAAGGGGTCCAGGGGACCGTCACATTATATAGTTTCGAAGCGTGTACGAAGCGTACAACGCCTCCAGAGGTCTTTACAAGCCTTGGCGTCGCCACGTATCACAGGCTATGTCTGCCAATCACGTGAGGAAGTTGGCTTGGCAATGTTGCAACTTGCACCTCTTCCTCCTTATTCAGTCTTGCTCTCTTGTTAGATAGAACAACAACGCATTCCTTCTCTAGACTCCACAGTCTATCATTTACCACATTCATCTGATTCAGGCCCACTAAAACTGAAGCCAACACAATCATTTGTACAATAATGGCATCTCCAGGAGGATGGTTAAGTGCTTACGCCGATTTTTTCAAGCCACAATCCAACGTTCGGCTTTTCACCGTCGGCAAAAATGGTGTTGAAGAGCTGTCGGTAGAATCTTTATCATCACAAGGCAATATCTCCAATCCAGGCTCACCTTGCGCCGGCTCAAGAATATATGTTTTTGAAACAAGAGGAAGTAGAGCGGACCTCCAGGGGACCGCTGGCATTCAGATCTCTGAAAGCCTCTTCAAAACCATCTGTTCAACATGGCATATCTCTCCTCGCTTCCTGGAGCAGATGTCAAGACCTGGCGCTTTACCGCGCTTTGAATACTTGCTTGAGCGAGAAGAGCCGACTGTCAAGATAAGCAAGCTGATTGCTATTAACATCGGGTTCCGATGGGGTTCTGGCCATGGCGAATTCATCATTGCACTCGGCAAGTACTCCTTGGCATCTCGCACGTTCAGTATGTTTTGCTCCTCGAGGGGTATTCTAGAATACGATGGGTTGAACTCCGAATTGTTGAGACTATATTCTGTTTCCGACCTAATGGAACGGTACGAGGTTGAGATTCAACGACATCCACTCACACTAATCTGTCTTCTTATGGAGTGCTGCGAGCGATTCATCGATATCAAGTCCCAAAAGTATAATCTCAATATGTTACAAATAGGAGACTCTCTTCAAGCCTTGTATCCGTCAGCCTTTGCCGAATGGATCAGATCATGGAATATAAACTCCGCAGCGAAGTCTACGCAGAACACCCTTTTGTTCGATTGCTACAATGATGTGACCTGGATCGGGAAGAATTGTTTTGAGCTGATGGACATCTGCCGACAATATCTTTGGCTTTCAGAGTACCTTGAGAAGTCTTATCATCAAACGATACCGCAAAGCATAGTTCGTGGCTTGATCCACCGCACTGAGATTCATTCTCGCATCCTCGAATACTTGGAAAAGATGATTAACACGCAGTTCAGCCATCAATACAACTACTTGGTCCAGAAAGATGCGGAAGTGTCCATTCAAATCTCAAGAGCAACGAAGAAAGACGGCGAGTCGATGAAGACCCTGGCATATCTTACACTGTTTTTCCTTCCGATAACTTTCGTCTGTGCCATCTTCTCGACAACTGTCTTCAATTTCCAGAATTGGCATATATCCAACTCCAGAGTGGTGTCTCCAGGATGGTGGGTTTTTGTCTTGAGCTGTGTGGCAGCAATGATCGCTACGCTCTGTGGTTGGTTTCTTCTTGTTGTCCGGCAGCACGACTGAAGCTAAACGGAGACCATGACGATAATCACGCTGAGATGGATGCCAATGATGCTGATGATTAGCGATAACCCTTCGGCGTTCTGCGGTCATCTTTGTTAAAAGTACTGGCCACGACATAGTGTCCATCTAAAGAGGGACTTGCGCTGCAGTATTAAATCACAATCAAATATAAGGAGATTTCTTCAAAGGCCTTAGATCCCGAATCGGTGTCAAAGGGTTCGATCAACGCGTTACTGATTATTCAAGGAGTGAGGGACTTCGATCAAACCTGCGCTTAGTCATAAGTCGGCGCGGTATTCACATCATCGAAAAGATCCCCATCTGTACGTTCAAACTCCCCAGCGTCTTGGTGAAGGTCGTTGACTGTGAACATGCCGACATGGTTCAGCGGTGGAGTAGCAGGGATACTGATATCCAACCATTCTGGTGGTCGTCCATCATCCGCTGGAACTTGACCTCTGTCGGCCGGGGGTTCAACTTGAATTTGAATGAATGCTCTGGCTTTCCCAATGAGTGCAGGATAGAGCCGTCAGCACTGATCGTCGAGAGACAGCAGAATTCTAAAAGGAGGTTATCGGGTATGGAGGTGGCGTCGCTGACGCCGAAGGGATGCAGACGCTGACTTCGGGAAAGGACTTAAGCGCAAGATTGAAGGCGACCTATGGGAATGTCTATAAAAGGAAAAAAAAGTCGTGAAGAGCATATGAGGTAAGATTGGTAGATCGACGCAGGCATGTGTTGCTGGAAAATCTGTTGATTGTCCCCTTTCAAGCTCGCACAAAGTGTAACAAAACAACTACTCCTAGCCTCCTTTTTCATTGACCTTACCAAGAGCACTGCGGTCTACATTGATATAGTCACAGGCTTCCAGCCGGAGGTCCAATTGACCCATGTCTTCAACAGCTTGTATGCGAGAGTAATACCGGACTGGCTCGTCTTCCTCCCGTATCTTGACCACCCATTTGTCATCGGGACCGTAGACCATTACTTTTCCCCCCCACAGAAAACCTTTCGACGGGATCCTTACCATAAGCAAAGTCGATATAGTCACCGCAGACCTTATGAGCCAGCTCTATCTGCTGTGCGTCATCTCCTCGAAAAGATTAAGAAATATGTACATTAGGTCGATCGCGTGGTACGCCGTGCCTTTGAGCACATTGCCCAGAGGGGATCGTTGGTCAAAGTGGTATAAGTACGTCTGCGGCACATGAGACCGTTTCACGTGGATCCAATCTTGCGCAACAAAGAGTGCGTCACCTGCCATTTCTCATAGAGCTTATGCACGTCCGTTGCGGGTGTGCTGGGTTTCATATCGTAAAGGCCCAGAATTGCCTCCGCGTGCTCTGGTTTCATGAATTTGGACATTTTTCCAGCGCTTTCATGAATGTCAGGTCTTGAATCTGCATCCGAAAGGTAATGGCCTCGTCGGCAGTGTCGCCGATCATGTAAGACTTCAACCACGATGGTGGTGTCGAGATGGCCGTAAAAGTTGGATGCTTCATCGGGAATCTTTCATCGTCGCAAGGGTTAGCGCTACAGACGAAGACTCCCTCAACGGGAATCGTAGCAGCGGCAACGACGTGGTCGGGCAATGCTCTTAGTTTCTCTGGGCTACCAGGACCTTGGATATTGAAGTATCGTACGAGTGCCTGATACCGTTTCTCATATTGGTCCAAACTCCACATTGGGATGGTGTTCAGGGTCCCAGACATGACGGCGCGATGAAACACGGCAGGATTTGCAGCCGCGATCTGGTATGCGCATGAAATCCCACCGGCAGACAATCCAAAGATGGTGACATTGCCTTTGTCGCCTCCGAATTGGCGATGTAGCGCTGTATCCAGGCCAGTTCTGTCTGTCGATCCGTTAAGCCGAAATTACCTACTCCAGATAAACCGTCCTTTTCGAGGTCCTCTTTGATCTCACTGGAAGCCAGAAACCCGTCATAGCCCACGGGGTAGTTGAAATTGACCATCACAACGGGCGTTCCTCGCTCGATAGAGTAGAACATAGCGTTGACGGCATCAAAGACGGATGCGTTGGCGCCTCCATAGACGAAGGATGTAGACCATAACGGGAAGGGATCCTTCAACTTCGGACTCAGAGTAACAATGTTCGGAACCAGACAATCTTGAAATGTGGAAAATCTGGCACTGGCGTCAAAATGCTGGGTCGAACCGCGTCATACTCTGGCGGATTGGGGCCACTGCATCTGGATCCGTCGTAGTAGTTGTTAGGCCAGCATGTCGCCAACGTCGACCTCGTCCATCGTTTGGCAAGCCACCCATACGGAATTCCACAATATTGTGACAATCCTGTGCCATATTCCCAGCCTTTGAGGGATCCCAGTCCGTCGATTTGCACTTCCCGGGTGCCCGTGGGGGCACAAGGAGGCATTATATTTGGCGAAGGCGAATTCTTCTTTGATTTGATAATAGAAATCTTGAGAATCAATTAGTCGACCCAAGGAAAGGGAACAAAGAGAATCCTTTGCCCTATAAATTTATATGAATATTTGTGAACGGATATATTTCACGGCGGGTCTTCCTGTACTGGTCCGGTAGAAGCGAGGACTTTCCGCGGTTCTCAAAGATCAAGACGGAGACAGATAAGTTGACGACTTTGATTGGATTCATCGAGGAATTTAATACGAGATTGATGTTGCCCCTCTATATACTCACTACAGGCAGAGTGGCATTCTAGAATCAGTCCACATTTGGCAGGTGGACGCGCAATGACTAGCAAAGGGAGTATTGAGAAGGGCGTTTTACTGATTCATGGCCCCCGGTTTGTTTGTATAGAAATTTCATCTACAGTACGCGGTTGGAGCCATCATAGGGGCCTGAAGGTGACATTTGGCCCTACAAGCTGGTCATAGGCATTCTCAACAGCTCCGCGAATAGTTCGCGTCGTCGTTTTTCTCGAGTGTAATACAGCCAGAAAATCGATAATAATGCAGGAGGAGGCTTTCTGGTCACGACATCCTAAGGCACGATCCATACCAGGCACGCTACGCATTGTACAACCTCGCATGTCGGCCACCTCGTCCCAGGACTAAGAGGAAGAGTCTTCCCCAGCCCCAGGCAAGTATCGGCACAGACACTTAGAGACAAGTTCCCCAACCAAAGCCACCAGCATTCGTGGCGCATTTGCGCCTTTCGCAGATCGGCATCACCAGGAACGACAAATTGGATATTTTGGCCGATATATATCTGAGAGGAGCCCTGGGCGCTGTCTTTGGACCTGGAAGGCTGGGGATATGTCTCTGGGCCAAGTGTCAAGTCAATGTGGGCTGGCATCACGGGGTTCAGCACCGACAGTCTTCCTTTAGGCCAGAAGGATCCCTAGATCGGCGACAGGGAGAGATGATTCTACCGAATCCAAAATAAATATCGGCGCCACTGCCAGCTCCGTGTTGGTAGTCGCAGGGTACTCCAGCGAAGACATGGTCCAAGCACGGCTTTGCGGACACAACTTGGCTCATTTCATATTCTCTGAAGAGCGTAGAGGCCTAAAGCTACCGCGTAGCCCCAAGCTTCCCGACGAGCTATTGGTTACGGAGTAACGGTTGCTGAAATCGTTTGTGAGGAGGTGAGATGGAATGCTAACATTGATATAGCCTCGTGTGCTAAGGATCCCCTCTTCGCATGCCGAAAATTTACCCATCAGTGGATCAGCTCCTTGTATCAGAAGTGGATCCACGTTGCGGTCAATGCACTGACTGCGAGATTGAAGTACAGTATAATCGAAATATGAGGCACCATCGCAAGTCAAATGCGGATTTACCGGCAACGACTTTACAGATTCAATATTTAATATCCGGTTTGCTAAGAACCACATAATACTGCGGACTGAGTGCAACGGCCATTGAACGACCCTCCTTCTGAACACTGAAGCTAGACACCTGCATGCAGGCAATCGACAGCTAGTTAGAGCATCCGTTCTCGGTGACGCTTTTCGCGTGGCATGATCGCTTAAGAACACGTTCGTCTATCAGGGTGGCCAACAGATAACCAGCTGTCTACGTCAAGGGACACGCTCCTTGGACGCGACTCGGAGTCAGTATTGATTGCAACTCCACTAAGACATTTGCTGGCAAGATCATATTAAAAAGATACCAATTTTGCCTATTTGGTCTCCTGGCAGCTCCTTTGGACCCCTCTGTCACAGTGGCTTTTGCTAACCCCACATGAAGGTTTGGTTATATGTGGGGAAAACTGGCTGGGGTTTTGTAAAGCCGGGATGTGGCTATTATTGCCTAAGAACCTTCCCTACCGTGTATGTGACATAGTTCTGGGCCCTCGAAACTCCTCACATCGAATTGTCAGGTACACTTCATTGGCGAAATCCCAGGACAATCTGTCAACAAGACAATGGCACAAAGACAGAGAAACCTCATTTGTGAGGTGATACCACTGTACCTGGAGCGACGGAAGCGCCATTGGCTGTCTCCGTATATTCCCGTGTTGTCGGGGCCGACAACGCGGCATACGCTTTTGCCTGGTGGAAATCTCGTGCCCATCACGATGATCTTGGGAAGGGTTCTGGTTTTGCCAATGCTGAGAAGGTCCTTCTGGGAGATGTCTTTCCCAAGCTTCTGAAGCCGCCAGCTGCGTTCTATCTCCCTCTGCGAGCAGACAAAATGCGTCTATTTGATTCTCCATGCTTTGAATGTCGCTAATTGGTCTCCTCCCCGGTACTACATGTAGTTTCTAATGGTTTTCTTAACAGTCATCGATATCCGTCGTTCTAGCGAGAAGGAACACGAGGACCTGAAGCGGAGGCTACAAAAGTCCATGGACCACATATCCAAGGCCTTGGCGGGGTTGTGGTAGGATGCCAGGACGATGATGAGGATCATCTAGTGGTTGGGCTAAGCCGGAACTCATACGAGGCTGCCGAATCCTTCGAGACTCAACAAGCAGAACTATACGAGTTGATGATGGAAAGAATTGGAGAGGATAGAGAGATTGAAAATCGCGTCCGCCTTCTCAATGATTCTATCTACAAGTCGTAGTGTTTGAGATTGGTGTTGTAGTTTGGTCAAAATAAATGTACTTGTTAGAGTCGTTGAGTCCCGCATGATGAATCGAACGGCACTAGATTTCACTTAATCCCTCATTTTCATACAGTAAAGCCTTCTGGAGTCAGGGCGTGCATCGTTGATCTCCAGCCCATGAAGCGGCCTAAAGTCCATGCCCGGAGCGGGGGATCGACTTGAGATGTGGAGTACAGGTAACTAGCTCCTGACCGTCGTTCGGAGAGCGCATCGTGGCCCACCAGGTTGACGGGCGTCAACCAGAGTTTGGTGCAAATGTCGTACCAAACTTTACAAATCTGCGCGTAATAATATGTCAACTGGTTGACTCTGTTGCTGACACAAGGAAAACACAGTCAAATGGCAGCTAGGGGTTAAATTTTCGAATCTCCTTGAGAAACTTAAGTAGCCGTATTGACCCTGGATCAACTTTGCTTGTAATGCGACTTCCGTCGTCAGGGCTACGTTCCAAAGATAACAATCTTTTCATACATGGCAGGGATACACCTGGACATCTACCATGCTCATTCCCAAATTCTTCAGCCTTTGCAACTTGACCTGCATCGCCCTTCTTGCTCAAGTTCAAGCGCAAACTGACTCCGGCCTGGGTTTAGCTCAGCTTCCTGCTTGTGCGGTATGCATTTCTTTTGAGAATAGACACAAAGCTTCAACTTGATCCTGACGGCGCCACATCAGGAAGCTTGCGTTTCGTCGGGGCCCGCTGCATCCTGCGCTCTTGACGACAAAGCATACATCTGCAGTGATGGCGCATACAATGGCATCATTACTTGCAGTAGGGCTCAATGTAATGCCATCGATATATTGAATAAGCATTCAAAATGTCGATTCGGTGACTGCGGAATGCTGAGATCTGGGAGGTGCTGTGAATATTACCAGCACGGTATGCAGCAAAACACCGCACAATTCTGCCCAACTCGTCGTCATGTTGAGTGCCGTCTTCCTCACCATCTCCCTGCTTTTCTGCTTCCTCCGGATCTACGTCCACACACCACTTACCCTCAAGTTTAAACCCGATGACGGAATAGTCATTATCGCCGCGGTGAGCACACCAGACTGTGCTACGTGAGATAAAGAGATTATCTAACCTATTGGCCTCCTTCTAGGTCTTTGCTGTGGCCGAGTCTGCAGCCAATAGCTTGCAAGATCAACGGATCGGCTGCTCAAGTCGAAGATGCGCAACGATTTCTGATATGCGCCTTGGACGGACAGGAAGTGCAGCAAGATCCTTCCTTTGATGGCCGTGAAAATACAAAACGTGCAGACTTTGGACAGGCCGGGTGTGGCCCTGGGTGCTCGATCGAAGTAGCTAGCATCACCTACCTCGTCTGTTCGCCTCGCCATTCCATCGCGACAGGCAGTGTGGCTATGAATGAGCAAAAACCTCACGGCTGTTGTGATCCCAGACAATGCCACCAATCGACAGATCCCAGGTCTCTCATCGTGGCAGATCACGGCACAGAGTCGCATTATCTCGCGGGATCCAAGCTCGATTCTCGGGCTGGCTACTATAGTGGCGAGAAGCCCCGAGTTAATATCAAGTCTTCATGGGACCGGGCACATTTCGTTGCAAGAACTTAGGAAAAGACTCGCCCCTGGAAGCTACAGGACCACGATTATTAACCATCAAGCGTCCGAGCCGTTTCAGATTGACGCGCGCTCAAATGGAACAGGGTCCACGAAAGAGGCCTCTACCAAAATCCCGCAGCTATCGACAGAGGGTTTTACATCATGGAGACCTTTTGCAATGACACCGCTTGGCAGTATCTCAATCCATGTGGTGCCGGTTTTACTAATTGCGATAATGCTTGGGTTCCTCCTAAAATCTGAACGCTCTCAAGGCATAGCCGACTTGCCAGCAGACAACTCACTGGTCCATTATGGATGGACTTTGTTTCCGGCAGCGGTGTTTCTTGGTATAAAATTCTTTTCGGGACGCTCGATAACGCTCTTTCCACCATGCAACCATTCTACGTGCTCAGTGATCGTTGCCTCGACCGCGAGAGAGAGTTGGATGTCAAGGATTACAATCAGCTCCTCACTCCGCAGAAACTTTGGTATGGAATCATCCACAGGCATATGGCCATGACATCTTCGGCATTTGCGGCGATCTGCGCACCTTTCTTGACAATTATTGCTAGCGGCTTGTTCAGGTACGTTAGTAGTCATCTTCCATTCAGCAAAGCTTCGACCACCGCTCTGAGTTGTCTAATGCTGACATCTTGCTCTCTGAAAAGCCCCGGTGCAGCTATTTCACAACAGACCGGAATCATAGCTCAAACAACGGCCTGGTTTAACACTTCCGACACGCACGCCCCGTACGGTGGGTCATTCAACAATAGCGACCCCCCAATGATAACACGCATTATGTACTCCAATGCCGGCTTTCCACAATGGACCTATTCCGAGCTTGCGCTTGCTGAGGTCGGCTTTGAAGCGGGAGTCACAGGGAACATTACCAGGACTCACAATGCCGCCTCAGTGCCGTCGCAGCTCGCCATCGAGGTTCCAGCGCTTCGCGTAGTCATGAACTGTACAACACGTCCATACACGAGCGCCGCACCTGCTCCCATTGTCTCAAGTTTTCAATCGTCGGCTCCGACTTTCCTTGAAGTCAACATGACCTTCCCTGAAGCGGCAACCGAAGGTGATAACTTCCAACAAGGAAGTCCTCGATGGAACTATGCTAACGGCGCGCTAACTACACAATGGGCCTACAATAACAAGCCTGGCATAGTCGGTTACTGGACCCCGGCCTTTTTTGGCGATGCTCCCTGGCCAACGACTATGAGTCTCTTCGCAGAAGTCGACGCGAATGGCAATCCCAAGAACATCACCATCCTAACCTGCATGCCATACATTGAGACTGTGCGAGCCAACGCGGTCTTCAACCTTCCATCCTTTGAACTAGCGGCCCCTGCCACAGCCATCGAATCCGCGGCCAAATACTTCAACAACGACTCCTTCTGGGCCATGACTCCCTTCAGCATAGCGGGAGGCACATTCGACCAAGTCCTCATCCCCGTCAACCTGACGAAACCATCCCCACTCTCTGCCTCCGACAGTTTCTTCCAAGCCCTCTTCCAGAGCCACGCAGTCTCCTGGGTCCGGCAAACACCAGAAAACTCATTGATGCAGTCGGACACCTATATCGAATGATCATGGCTCAGTGTCTGCATACGCAGCAAGGCCGTTGTTTGCCCGTGGATGCTCTACAGCAAGCCGCTCCGCAGCCCGGCCCTGGCATCATCAGAGATCCCAATGGTCGCCGCCTGTATCAGAGTGCCACTGCATCCTACATTCTCGTCACTCTATCGGCAATTATGCCCGTGTGCGCGCTGTTCGTCACATTCACGTTCAAGCCCCAGGGTCTATTGAGCAAATTACTGAACAGCATTGTAGCGAGGGCGGGTTTGCTAGCAGGATCTAGGTTACTAGAGATGGCGCCGCTAGGGGTGGAGTGGTGTAGCGATGAGGAGTTGAAAAAGGTAGAGGCGTTTGACGGGTTGGCATTGAGATTAAGATGGTGCATAGAGGGTGCCAATGCGGTTAGGTACGGCATTGAGGGTTTTGATATTCGGCAGTGTTGGAACGAGAAAGGGGCTGCCTTGTGATGTCTTCTGCCCGTGACAGACAAAGCCATGGGTACTTTGGCTTTGAAGCAGCAGAAATGTGCACATGGCTCACTTTTGTGAGTTCTCCTTGAGTTGTATGCTGAGGCTACTTCTGTGGAACCCTCGTGACCCTGCCTATAAGAAAATTACGGTCGCATGAACGACTTCCCACCTGATTCGCAAAAGGTCCGTCATCATAGCGCAAACAAGCCTCGTTCAACACAAGACCGCCATCGAGCCCAAACCACTATCACAAGTCATAGAGGACCCATATACAACGCCTCAGAGTCCAACATCAACACCTGGGAGTCATCACCATGCCGTAAGGCTGCTGTCAAATTGGGTGTAACTTGAGATGTCTTGAATGCTCGGTTCTCTATCTACTTGTAGTGTTCCTAACGTCTCCTTTATAGACGAGAGAATATCTCGTCGTCGTGCAGAGCAACCATTAGAAATACCGTTGTCTATGGAAACCATTTACCAGTGTTTCAGTGGCGGAGTCCATGTATTATAACTCCCTTGTTCAAACACGACCCTTGCCACAACGACGACCGCCACAACGACGGCTGGAATGACTACTGCGGGCCATGGCACGGCTGACGACGGTGCGCACAATGAAGGCGGGCAAGACGACGGCGGCAACGCGTCACCACAGGTAGACTGCCCGATTATTTAGGATAGGGCTTTGATTTTAGATACCCAACTCTACCCGAAACCGGATGGGTCGGGTTTTAGGGTCGGGCTAACCCAACCTGTTGCACAGCCTAACTAAAGCGCCTAAGTAGAAGACGGCGAAAATTGGGGTTGCTTTAGCCGACAAAATTCATCACACTTCTGGCCTGGAGCCAGTCTGTCCTTTGTTATTTTCACGCGAATACCCTTACTTTCAGGACTTGGAAGTCCGATTATGCAGTCCCGTACCACATCCACATCCCTTGACCTGTCAGTCTCAAACAACACCATATCGAAACGGGTCATGATGCGAGCCACTGCGAGAAACAGCTCTGCATACACTAGACTGAGTTGTGACCGCCTGTTAGTCTGGGACGCCGGGGATGTTAGGAAGATGCATGCTCACTTTATCCCCAGGCAGATCCTAGAGCCTCGACCGAAGCCCATGAAATATCTGGGCTTTAGTTCGAGATCGTCGAGCCAGCGTTGCGGGTTAAATTTATAGGGATCTGGGAAGATTTTAGGGTTCGTATGGTGCAAATAGTGCGATTGCATAACTGGTGTCTGCATGAAATTGCACGAGTTAGCTGGACTGATGTGCAATTGGAACTGTGAACTCACGCCTGCGGGGATCACCCATTCACCATACCTGATTTGCTCATTAGGAGCATATCTAGGCATACGGCTCGACACGACGTGAGATAGGCGGATGCCCTCAGTTATAACCGCCGACTGTGTTGCTAGCGTCAGTAAGGAGTGTTCAACCTTGAAAGCGATCGGAGGGGGTAGCGGGTCAGGCACGCAGACTTACGAAATACGGTATGGCTTCGAGCTTAGCCAGACGCATGGTCGAGCCCGGTTCAGGCATATGTGGTTTCAATTCCACGCGCAGGCGATCCAAGACCGCTGGGCTATCAATCAGATGGAACATGAGCACTGCCAGCGTCCTGGCAGTCGTTTCGGTACCCGCGATCTGAAGCAAATTCGCCTCCGCGGAGAGACGAGCGGGAGCCTTCTCAATCGGAGGAAGATTGCTCTGGACAATATCTTGAAAGATTGTCCGCTGCGAAGCTTTCTCTGACGAGCCTTCCCCTCTGGGCAAAAGTGCGTCCTGAATCATCTCTCGAAAGAACTCCCGATTTTTGGGGATCAGTGCAGCAGCCGGGCTGATTCTCTCCACAATGTGCATTGGCAGCATCAGCAGAACCATCTTGGATATCCATGCGAAGTGCCGACCAAAAGGGCCTAATTGGCTCAACTTGCTGTACGCTTCGAGCTCCTCGCCGGCCCAGTCTGCCCGCTGCAGCTTCCGGACATCCTTTCCATACGCATACACGGAAATGATGTCCATAGTCAAAGCTCCAGTTGCGTGAAGCAGTGGTATAATCTCCCCATCTCGGTGGGTCATGGCGAAGCGCTCAGCGAGCTCGTCGACCTTGCTGATGATTAGACCCTCCAGGGCCTGAATGTTGCGCTTACTAAAGAAGGGACTCAGCGCCGCCCTTCGCATACGATGGACATCATGCTCGACTGTTTGGAATAAGGACCACCCGAGCGGCCCGTTGCGCTCTGAGCGGTAGAACCAGGCATCCCTATTGCGTTTGTGTTTGCCACTGGCGTAAATATCGTCCAGGAAGTCCGGGTCGTTGATGTGCAGGTGGGCTGGATTGATGCGCACGATAGGCCCATATTGTTGGTGCAGTTTTTCGATTTGCCAAAGATAGCGAAGTTTGTGAGGGTATAGATCGTAGTAGAATTCGTACAGATATGTCGCTCCTGCAAGTTTGGGGCCTGGGAATTTCGCCAGAGGGTGGAAGTAGAGGCGGTAGATGAATTTGATGATCCAATACAACAAGAATAATCCCAGCAGAATTACGACAATACTCCGCGCTTCGTCGAACTGAGGCTCAAATTTGCTGAGGTGGACTTTGTTCATCTCGACGGTGGATGGCTACTGATGCAGCAAGGTCTGACAGCACTACATCATTCCAGCAATGCTTTTCAACGAAAACGGTAAATATTGACCATTTCCCCTTTGATGCAATTCAAGTGGCGAAGCCCATCGCCGTCGGAATTGACCCTTTGGAGTCCGATCCCCTTCGGGAAACTTCCGCCATCCACATCCCGACCCTTCCAGATTGTAGCTCTAGTGATGTAGTGATTCAAAGTCAACTAGATCTAGGATCTTTCGCGTTTGTCTCAGCTATCTACCTCGTGCGATACTACCAGAAAAGATGAACGCATTGTTTGACGGTCCCTTTGTGATTGGGATCGGCCTGTTGGCTTTTGTACTCTATGTTCTCAAGCGGGCATACCCAAGGCCGTATCCAGGAATCCCATACAATTCTGCGTCCTCAAGAAAATTATGGGGAGACGCGCCGGGGCTGCTTGCAGCAATAAACCAGGACCCAAACAAATGGGTCTTCGAACAGAACAGGAATCTCAACGCACCTATTGCTCAGCTCTTTCTTGCACCCTTTGCAAAACCCACAATCATCATTGACGACGTCCGCGAGGTCAAAGACATCCTCAGCAATCGCACGAACGTATTCGACCGAGCTGCTAGGACACAAGATGCCTATCGCAATCTTCTTCCGCACTGCAGTTTAGTCAAACTTACCACGCCTGCATTCAAAGCTCAGAGACGCTTCTGGGAGGGCGTGACTGGCACGCCTTTTCTACGACGCGTCGCTGAACCCAAGATATACCGATGCGCCCTGGGATTGATTGATCTGTTAAAAGCCCAAGCTGAAATGGCTGGTGGTCGGCCGTTTCACTGCTTTGACGGCTTCGACGTGGCAGCGTTCGAATTGATTTGGGAAGTGGTATTCGGTACCCCTGAGAACGCGATCAATAATGCACGCAATGATGTCCTTAAGGCAACCCCCAAAACGGTCCAACCTCCGTCACTGGACTCGGCGGCCGAATTACCAGCCATTCGCAAGCCTTACATGTGCGATACAGTGTCGTTCTTCATAAGCACCATAGCGAAGTCATTGAGGTCAGTCTTTCCAGCATGGAAACTTTGGTATCTCAGACAGCAGCCCGTCTACAAGGAGAGATTGGCTTGGAAAATTAACACTATCAACGGGCATATTGAAAGCACCCGCGCCAAGCTTGCAGAACTCTCGGAAGACCAACTCGTTGAGCTTGAGGAGACTTCTTCCGTGGTCACCGGAGTACGGCGCCATCTTCTGGCTCAAATACGTCAAGGGAAGCCCAACAACGTCAATTTTTCCTCATCGGTCCGAGACGAAATTCATGATGAGCTGTTCATGCTTCTCGTTGCCGTAAGTAAAAGACCAACTTCGTCAGAAGACCAATTGTGGGGCAAAGAGCTGACGTCTGACAATTCACAGGGGCACGAGACGAAGGCTGTTCTGCTCTCCTGGTCTGTAAAGTTCCTCATCGCCAGCCCAGAAAAGCAACAGAAGCTGCGAAAAGCACTGGCCGATGCCTTCCCGGGAAGATCAAAAGGAGAGCAGCCTTCTTTGAAAGCCATCTCGAGCACTTCAATCCCGTACCTGGACGCATATATGGAGGAATCCATTCGGGTGGCAAACACGTCTCCTCGTTTTGTTAGAAAAACTACAACTGACACCCAGGTGCTCGGATACCAAATCCCGAAGGGCGCTACCGTATTTCTCAACCCTTATATTGGCACGCAGCCGTTCGACATCCCTGAGAATGTGAGATCCCAGACGTCACGCAGCTCCAAGGACAGCTTCGAGTTGTACTGGGGCCCGAACGGTATGGATGATTTTCAGCCAGAGCGGTGGCTTGCAGAAAACGGGTCCTTTAATCCTCGCCAATTCCCACGTTTGGCATTCTCTGCTGGACCTCGGATGTGCTATGGTATGTCTAACCCCTTGTAATGTTCTCAGTTATTACTTTGCTTGGCCACTGAGGTAGATGGATCAGAGACCCTTAGCTGACAATGGTGTGTGTAAATAGGCAGAAATCTCGCGTTGATGGAATTCCGCATAAATCTTGTGCTCCTGGTCTTAAACTTCGACTTCGAGCCTCTCCCTAAGGGCCTCGACAGTATGGAGTCTCAACAGCGACTTTTTCGAATGCCACGGCAATGTTACGTCAGGCTCAGTCCGCTTTAAAGTTGTTACGGTCTTTTCATGCTCAAATTTGGATCCAAAGAGACGATCTTACATCAGATATTGAAGTCAAAAGGCTTAGGAGCTTGAACGTTTGGCGAAAGATGTGGCGGGTAACAGCTCAAGAATTGGGTACAAAGGCGAAGGATGAGCTCGCTCGTCTTCAGACGCCACTGTATCCTGGTGACTGGACGCTTTCTCTCTTCGAAGCAGTATTTCCTCTTCCCAAATCCAACCGGGCGCTACGGACGACAGGCACCTGCGTAAACGTCAGACACTAACTACATTGCGAGGATCCTGGCCCAACATCCCTTGTCCAGATGCTGCTGACACATGCTCGGAATGCACCATCAACCGAATCAGTCGAGATATACAAAGTCTTGCGCAATTGTTGGATGAGTGATATTGTGGTGCAGTCTAGGCCCCATTCTAATGAAGATGGCGATAACGATATTACCATATATAACGTTGCGCAATGTTGCGTAACGTCGAAACACTGCCTCCGACTACGATAACCCGCATGATTCAGTGAGATTCTGTCAAACTTCTTCTCTTATTGAAAGAGTGCTCTGATCGAATTTGCTCAGAGGGTGGCATTGACTGTCGGACCGAGAGAGGATTGATAGTGTCGAACAGGGGACTATAGGCTCCACCGTTGAAACGCTGGTGAGAGGTTACCATGGACGACGATATTGATGGTGGTTGCTCTGCGTGGCAATGAGGTGTTCGCATGTCTGTGAAGAAATCCTTAACCACTCGGCAAGTAGATAGAGAACCGAGCACTCTTTCATATCCCAGAGCATTCAATACATCTCAAGTTGTACAGATAGCCTGTGATTCTGGCCAAGAGGCCAAGGACGGCGCCTATAAAACGGCCACAATTGTTCATAGATTAGGCTAGTCTTTAACACACTTTTTCACAGCCACCAAAGGCTGCGGTGCACGTGACTAGGCTAAACCCAATGGGGATTGCCAACGTTGACCCTGTCTGCCAATGGTGATACAGTCTGGTGAGCAAATGTTGCAAAATAACCCTGGTCTGTCGTGAACGATAGGCCACCTATTGTTAACAGATTCGATCTGCAGAATTTGAGTATCAACCCACGTAGCATGTGAAGGAACATGGCCTTATCTAACAGCTCCTAATTCGCTGATTCCGATAAGAAACATGCGAGGTGGAGCCAGTAGTTGTAAAATCAAAATTAATGCGTATCCCGTTTTGGTAAGTTCCGAGTTTAACGCTAGATGCAGAAGCGCTGCTCGGCCCGAAAGTGGACCCTTGGCTGTTGTTCATTTTCACTCTTCGGGCCTATCCGCGGGTGGTAGTGGCCAATGCTAGCTCTTACTAATAGAGTTTTAGATAATCACGGTCAGTGATTGGTCCTATCCCCCGCTCGTGCTGATCAGGTCTGTATGCATTAGCCTATCATTCGGGTGTAACAACAGGCCGGCTTCTAATCTGAAACGCGTTTGTCGCCCGGGATCCAACGCGTAAACAAACGGGATTAGGCAACTACTTTGGAGGGGTGTTATGGGGGCTCCGAACCAGTATCTGTCTCGACTCAACCAACAACCAACACACCACACAATAGGTCGAAGTGGGAGCGTGTGCGCAAGGATCTCTTCAAAAGCATAATAAGTAAGAACGTCGAGATAGTCGAAAGTAGAATGATTGATGTCACGCTCCCCCTTCTTTTTCTTCTTGTCCTCTCTACGTGCCCCCTCGCGTTTACACCATTTGCTTTCTCTATCACGTGACTACTTGGCAGCGGCCTAAATACGCGACCACGTCCACTTCAACCCATCACACTACGCATGCTCTGCTACTTAAGCCCCTACCCCGAACACCAGAATTTGGCAAACGCAACGGCGCGCTAAACTTACATTCTCAACCCGTCCTCGCACTTGTGCTTACATTCTGTCAAATTTGAGGTGCAAATGAGATGTATTGAATGCTCTGTCTGTTTGGCAACTGGTCCTACCGAATACATGCTTGGTTGACCCCTTTTCTACTCCTGTTTTTCCCCCTATATCCTGCACAGGAGTGATAGCCCTTTTCCTAGTAAAGGGTTACTGCTCATTGTTCGACACATTGGGCTAAAATACGCAGCACCGGCGGCATAGAGGACCGCTCCCCACGAGCGCTGGAGCGATCGCCGGATCTTCACACCATGGCGAACCTAGACATTTCACAAAAGCCAGATGGGGGAGACGTCGAGCCTCAAAACCAAGAAACCGATTTGAGAACGGAGAAAGTGCACGTGGAGCAAGAGTCTGCACCATTCAGACAGACGGAACCGCACGGGCAATCAGAGGCAGACCAGCAAGAGAAGAAGCAGAATGATGACGATCCGTTCAAGCATCTGCCCGAGCACGAGAAGGCAATACTCAAGAGGCAGCTGGATCTGCCAGTCGTCAAGGTCAACTACATGACCTTGTTCCGTTATGCGACAAGGAACGACAAGATTATCCTGGTCATGGCCGGGCTAGGAGCGATCATAGGTGGTGCACTCCTGCCGCTTATGACCGTACTGTTTGGACAACTTGCAGGTACCTTCCAGAGCTTCTCCCTAGGCACAATATCCGCAAGCCAATTCACCCACGAGCTTGGCAAGTACTCTCTGTACTTTGTCTATCTCGCCATTGGCGAGTTTGTGATGGTATATCTGGCCACCGTGGGCTTCCTGTACACAGGTGAACACATCTCATCAAAGATAAGAGAGCAGTTCTTGGCCGCTATTCTCAGGCAGAACATCGCTTTCTTCGACGGACTCGGTGCCGGTGAGATTACTACACGCATTACAGCAGATACCAATCTTGTCCAGGAAGGTCTCTCAGAAAAAGCTGGATTGACCTTGACGGCCATTTCCACCTTTGTGGCAGCGTTCGTCATTGGTTTCATCAGGTACTGGAAGCTCACGCTGATTCTGACTTCAACCGTGGTAGCTATCGTTGTCACGCTGGGCGCTGTGGGCTCACTTGTCGGCAAGCTCAGCAAAAAGTACATTGGCCATTTTGCCGAAGGCGGAACGGTTGCAGAAGAGGTCATTAGCTCCATCCGAAATGCGACTGCATTCCACACTCAGGACAAGCTGGCTCGACAATACGACACATATCTCATCGCGGCAGAGAAGTCAGGATTCAAACTCAAGGCCACCACCAGTCTCATGATCGGTTTTCTGTTTCTGTAAGTACTGCGAATGGCACAAAGCCCCTGCCATCCGAGACCCGCTCGGTTCGATAACTTCAAACGCCATGTTGTTCTGACCTTGTCTGCTAGGTACAACTACCTCAACTATGCACTTGCTTTCTGGATGGGCTCCCGCTTCCTAGTGGATGGATCCGTCAACTTATCGCAGATCCTTACCATTCAAATGGCCATCATGATCGGGGCTTTTGCTCTAGGGAATGTTGCACCTAATATTCAAGCCCTCACCTCAGCTGTCTCTGCCGCAAATAAGATCTACGCAATGATTGATCGGGTGTCTCCTCTCGATCCTGTATCGACCGAGGGCGAGAAGCTGGATTCGGTGCAAGGCAACGTGGAGCTCAGGAACATCAGACACATATATCCTTCCCGGCCCGAGGTTGTTGTGATGGATGACGTGAACCTGCTGATACCCGCCGGCAAGTCCACCGCTCTTGTTGGTGCTTCAGGTTCTGGGAAAAGCACTATTGTCGGACTGATTGAACGTTTCTACGACCCGGTCGGTGGATGCGTGTACATCGACGGTCATGACATCAAGGGTTTGAATCTACGCTGGCTGCGACAACAAATATCTCTGGTGAGCCAGGAGCCCGTCTTGTTCGCTACTACCATATATGGCAACATCAAGCACGGTCTCATCGGGACGACCCACGAGCAGAAGTCTGAAGAAGCAATTCGCGAGCTGGTGGAACGTGCTGCTCGAATGGCGGACGTAAGTAAAGCGAATGGCACAACGCCATGCTCAGACACGAAGTTGATGTTCTAACCTTGTTGTCTTTCAGGCCCACGAATTCATCACTACCCTTCCTGAAGGCTACGAAACCAACATTGGAGAACGAGGGTTCCTTCTCTCAGGCGGTCAGAAGCAACGCATTGCCATTGCAAGAGCCATAGTTAGCGATCCAAAGATCTTGCTGCTTGATGAAGCAACATCCGCACTCGACACGAAGAGTGAGGGTGTTGTCCAAGCCGCGCTCGACAAAGCTGCCCAAGGACGAACCACTGTGATTATTGCTCACCGACTGTCCACTATCAAGCATGCCGACAACATTGTGGTTATGTCTCAAGGACGTATTGTCGAGCAGGGTACCCACGGCGAACTTCTCGAGAAGCAAGGAGCTTACTGCACCTTGATCAAGGCCCAGCGAATCGCCGCCGAGCAAGAATCTGGAGACCAAGATGAAGATCTCATACTGTCTGAAAATGATGGCAAGATGGTGCAATCCAAATTTAGTAAGGAGGACAGCTACTCGGGCCAGGAGGCTCATGGAGAGGGCGTTAATGATCTTCAGCTGGGCCAGACACAGGCAGACTGGACTACATCGAGGATGGCACTTCCGAAGAAGCAACAAGAGGACAGGGACGACAATTATACCTTATGGACGCTGATACGGTTTGTCGCCGGCTTCAACAAGCAAGAATGGAAGTTGATGGTCTTTGGACTTTCGCTTTCTTTCATTATCGGAGGAGGGAATCCAACGCAGGCTGTTTTCTTAGCCAAGTCCATTGCGGCTCTTTCGCTTCCTCTTTCAGAGCACGCTGAGATACGACGGCAAGCCAACTTTTGGTCTCTGATGTATTTGATGCTGGCCTTTGCACAGTTCTTCGCTCTTATCACCCAGGGTATTGCGTTTTCATACTGCGCAGAGCGGCTTATTCACCGGGTCCGCGACCAAGCATTCCGATATATTCTACGGCAAGATATCGCTTTTTTCGATAAGAACTCGTCGGGCGCCCTCACTTCGTTCTTATCTACCGAGACCACCAACCTGGCTGGACTGTCTGGAGCTACTCTCATGACGATTCTCTTGCTTGTCACCACTTTAGTTGCCGCCTCCACCATTGGTCTGGCCGTGGGATGGAAACTTAGTCTGGTGTGCATCTCCACCATTCCAATCCTTCTCGCTTGCGGGTACTTCCGTCTGGCTATACTTTCCCGATTCGAGAAGGAGAAGAAGAAAGCCTACGAAGAGTCTGCAAGCTACGCTTGTGAGGCCACCTCCGCCATCCGAACCGTGGCTTTCTTAACCCGCGAGGACGACGTTTGGAATCATTACCACGAACAGCTCCTGGGACAAGGCCGCAAGTTTACCATGTCAATTCTCAAGTCATCCGTGCTTTATGCAGCATCTCAATCGTTCCAGTTTCTTTGCATGGCACTCGGCTTCTGGTATGGAGGTACCTTGTTCGGCAGACATGAATATACAATGTGAGTAGTCACAGATCTCTTGAAAGCAGCATGCAGTAAATTCTGACACTTGTTTTAGGTTCCAATTTTTCCTGTGCTTCAGCGCGATTATTTTCGGGGCGCAATCTGCAGGAACTGTTTTTAGCTATGCACCCGACATGGCTAAGGCCAGACACGCTGCTGTTAGTCTCAAAACTCTCTTCGACAGGAAGCCGGACATCGATAGCTGGAGCCAAGATGGCGAGCAGGTCCAGAGCATAGAAGGCCGTATTGAGTTCAGGAACGTGCACTTTAGGTACCCAACGAGACCTAATCAGCCCGTTCTGCGAGATCTCAATTTGCAAATCAAGCCTGGACAGCACGTCGCTTTGGTTGGAGCCAGTGGATGTGGCAAGTCGACCACGATTTCCCTATTGGAAAGATTCTACGATCCACTCATCGGCGGTATCTATGTTGACGGTAAGGAAATCTCATCATTCAACATCAACGAATACCGCTCCCATCTAGCGCTTGTTAGTCAAGAACCAACTCTCTATAGCGGCACCATCCGCGAGAACATTCTGCTAGGTACAGACCGAGTCGACGTTCCAGAAGAGGAAATAGTGCAAGTCTGCAAAGATGCAAATATCTACGACTTGATCATCAGTCTGCCGGAAGGACTCAATACACTTGTTGGCAGTAAGGGCAGCATGTTGTCAGGTGGTCAGAAACAGCGTGTCGCGATTGCGAGGGCACTGCTCCGCAACCCCAAGATCCTCTTGCTAGATGAGGCCACCTCAGCTCTCGACTCAGAGTCTGAAAAGGTCGTGCAAGCTGCTTTGGATGTCGCCGCGATAGGCCGTACAACGATCGCCGTGGCACATCGTCTGAGTACGGTGGAGAAGGCAGACATGATCTATGTCTTCAACCAGGGCCGAATCATCGAGTGCGGCACACACTCTGACCTAATGCAGAAGGGGAGCGCGTACTTTGAACTGGTCAACTTGCAGAGTCTGGGCAATGCGTAAATCTTTTGCGGTAGAAGTCGCTGGGAATGGCAGGTCACCATAGGCTGAGACTGTTGAGGTATAGGCAGCAAGCAGCGATGTCATCTTGCGCCTCCGCCTCTCCAACCCTCGAGAGGGGAGGCTCCTCCCTCCCAACGCCTCCTGACGCCTCTATACCTTCTTAAATAGGCAATTCATGGTATACACTACAAGAGTCCTGAGTCGAGCTAATGCTTGTGTAGCCGAGATCGAAGCGACGAAGTCGAAGGCACTATTTATTGAAGGTAGGGAGGTGTTGAACTGTGAGACAATATGTGGCAACGTTTTCAGCGTGGCAATGAATGTTCAACTAGACAAGGGTTTCGTCTACGAGTTGAACACGGAGACACCGAAAGATGGCGACAATCTTTGTCTATATCAACATGCGAGGCAGGACCTCAACTTGATAGAGAACAGAGCACTCCTTCAACTCAAGTTGTACCACAAGTTTGACAGGAGGGGACTATCGACGACGTAGTCGACGAGGTCCTCTCAATGCTTGGAAAGATACTCTGCGAGATTTTCGTATACAAAACACCAAGCAAAAAGTCTCGACGACCTCTCACCGCATCTACAGAACCAATCATTTTCTGCAGAGCTTTGCAGAGCCTTAAGCGAGATTAGAGAGTTGTTGAGAGGCCTCCCAAGGAGGCGGGTACGCCCCCTTAGAGGGAAAGCGCCTCCGCCTCTTCTGGGAGTTGACTCCTGACAGCAAGAAAATCAGACCATTTGTCCACTGGATCAGGTGATGTTTGCCATCACCCACATGTGAAGTCTGTCCAACTACTGTGGTACTAAGGGTAATTTTCGTCGGCGGAGTAATCAGCACGTGATTCGGTCTAATGTTGCTCCGGGGGCTATTTAGCCAAACTTCACTAACGCGATCCCTAAAGCTTTAACTAAATACCACCTATACTCTCAGGCAGACTTGGGCCTCTGTGGTGCCCGGAACCGCATACCGATAGTCACGTGCGTCCACCCCACCGACGAATGTTACCCTTGATACCACAGTACACCATCCCAAAGTTCTATCCGTCCCATGAGCGCCCCACCCCCAGTTACTGTGGAGTCATCACAGGAGGCTATGTTCGCAGGCTGCACTCCGTATCAGGAAACATCCGAGTCGGCGGCGCTCGATGGAAAAGTTTTGGATGTTCGGCGATGCCGATTCAGGAAACCTTGGAAACGTCGGGGATACGCCATGCCTTTAGAACTTATAATCCACCACTCCAGGAGTACAACGGCATCGCCGATTCCTGGATTATCCGAGAATCTGTGCATCTCAATTTAACCGAGACACACTTTCCAAAAAATGTCACCAATCAGCAGCGGCACCAATGGCGTCCATGGAGACGGCGGACAAGGCAAGGCTGGCAGCCCGACCCCGACGGCTGCCACCCCTATTGCGATCGTTGGTATGGCATGTCGTTTCCCTGGGAACGTGACCTCACCATCTCAACTTTGGGAGCTGTGCGCATCTGGCAAGGATGGCTGGCAGCCTGTTCCAGAGTCACGCTTCGATGTCAAGTCATTGTATCACAAAAACAGCTCCAGAGCCGGCAGAGTAAGTTGGCAGGACATCATCGAATCACCCAAGTGTAATCAACTGACCGTGATTTTAGAGCCATGTCGAAGGCGGCTATTTCATGGGCGAGGATATCGCATTGTTCGATGCTGCCTTCTTTAATCTGGCTGCGGATGTTGCCAGCGTAAGTCTGGGAGTCCGGGAGGAGGCCTGCTCTACGACCCTTATCTTCGTAAATCTGACTGCTCTCCCCAGGGACTTGATCCCCAGGCTAGACTGCTGCTTGAGTCTGTCTACGAGGCTACTGAAGACGGTGAGCCCCCTGCTTCCCATTCTTGAGAGCACTGACTGACCTTAAGTATAGCCGGTATCCCCATCGAAACTCTTGCTGGCTCCAATACTTCTGTGTACGCGGGTACCTTCAACAAAGATTACCACGAGATCCAGACCAAAGATGCGGAGGTTCTTCCCCATGCCTTTCTTGCAGGCACTGGCACTGCCATGATTGCTAACCGTATATCTCACTTTTTTGACCTGCAAGGCCCGAGCATGTCTATAGATACCGGCTGCAGTGCCGGTATGGTTGCGGTCCACCAAGGGTGTCAAAGCATCCGCTCGGGAGAGAGCGACATCTCGGTTGTCGGCGCCGCCAGCACCCTCCTCACCCAGGATGCCTTTATCTCGGCATCTACCATCGGGTGAGCATCCTCTTTTCTTCGGCGTCTCGCCCTGTGGAAGCTACAGACAAAGATGCTAACGGACATACCCATCAAAGTGCCATCGGCGCAGAAGGAAAATGCTTTGCATGGGACGAGCGTGCCCACGGCTACGGTCGTGGCGAGGGGGTCGCAGCACTCATCCTCCAGCCTCTCGACGCTGCACTCAAGGTCGGTAACCGAGTCCACGCAGTCATCAGAGATACTGGGCTCAACCAGGACGGAAAGACCACTACGATTACCTCGCCTTCTGCAGACGCCCAAGTTAAGCTGATTCGGGAATGCTACGCTCGTGCAGGGTTTGATCTCGCCGACACCGGCTACGTGGAAGCTCACATGACCGGCACGGCAGCGGGTGACCCTGTCGAGGCCGAAGCACTGGCCAGGACGTTTGGCAAGTCCCGCGAAGCACACGATCCTGTTTTTGTCGGGTCCGTGAAGACGAATCTTGGACATACCGAGCCCGTCAGTGGCCTTGCCGCTCTCATCAAAACGACATTCGCTCTCAAGAACGGACTTATCCCGCCAAATCTCAATTATGAAAAGACAAATCCGGAGATCGATGTACAGGCTTGCCACTTGAAGGTGCCGACAACGCCAGTGCCGTGGCCCCAGGGCAAGTTGCTGCGTGCTTCGGTCAACAATTTTGGATACGGAGGAACTAACGGCCACACGATCCTGGAAGCCGCTGAACTCCACATCAACGGAGCTCCCAGCAATGGAATCCGCAATGAATTTCACAATAGCAATGGACATGCCAATGGCGGTCGATCGCATGTTTTCATCCTGAGCGCCAAAGACTCAGTCGCCTGTCAAACCATGATGGGTCGCTTCGCTGACCATGTGGCAACGACGATGCCTTCCACCAGTGACCTTGCCTATACTCTAGCTCACCGGCGATCAATGCATCCTTGGGTCGCGGCTGTCCGCGCTCGAACTATCGACGAACTGGTGGAGCGTCTACGAGATCCAATACTCCGACCTTCGAGCACTTCCAAGCGGCCACGTCTTGCATTCGTCTTCAACGGCCAAGGTGCGCAATGGCATGCGATGGGACGAGAACTCATCCACGCTTATCCGGCTTTTGGTTGTAGCATCCGAGAGGCCGATAGTATCCTTAAGGAGTTTGGTGCATCTTGGTCGCTCGAAGGTATGTATGAACTTTATTTACAGAGAGTTGCAATGTCCCGGTTCATTATCGAATGCTAATGCTAACTCCTTGTCCCAGACGAACTCATGCGCGATGGAGCTACAACACGCGTGGCCGAAATTCATCTTAGCCAGCCTATTAGCGTCGCTGTTCAGCTCTGCCTTACCAACTTGTTGGCATCTTGGGATGTTTTCCCAACAGCCGTGACCAGCCACTCCAGTGGCGAGATTGCCGCTGCGTATGCCACCAGGGTACTGTCATTCAAAGAAGCGCTTGGTGTTGCGTACTACCGCGGCGAACTTGCTCTGAAGCATCAAAAGCTGCATTCTTTGGCTGGAGGGATGCTTGCCGCAGCTATAGGACCAGAAAGTGCTGAGAAATACATCAACGATACTTCTGGCGGACGTGTTGTCGTGGCCTGCGTCAATAGCCCTAGCAGTGTCACGCTTTCAGGGGACTTGGTCGCCCTCGATGAGATAGCTTCCCGCCTGGAAAAGGATGGCGTCTTCGCCAGGAAGCTCAAGGTCCCCATGGCCTACCACTCCCACCACATGTCACATATCTCGCAGGAGTACATCGACCGACTTTCAGCCATCCTTCCTGTGCCTAAGAAGGCTTGGGGCGATGCTGCAATATTCATGTCGCCTGTCACGGGAGACAAAATCTCATCGCCAATGACCTTAGCTCCCGAGCATTGGGCCCGCAACATGACGCACCCGGTCCTTTTCGGTCAGGCGTTCGACAACATGTGTTTCCGGGATGGCGGCCTCAATGTTGATATGGTCGTGGAAATTGGTGCACACAGCACTCTGGCAGGCCCGATACGACAAATTCTCAAGGCACGGAACGTCGAGCTGCCCTATGTATCATGTCTCAAGCGGCCCGTCGACGCTGTTGAAACCATGCAGGATCTTGCCTGTGCCCTGATCGGTCGAGGCTACCCGGTCAATATCAGGGTAGTAAACTCACCCTTTGAAATGGAAGGTCAACCGGTCGAAAACGCATTTGTCACCGACCTTCCCACATATCCTTGGAATCATACGAAACGCTTCTGGGTTGAGCCTAGGATCAGCAGAGACCAAAGATACAAGAAATTTCCACCCCACGAGCTGCTTGGTACGCCGGTAAACGGAGGCAATGCTCTCATACCAACTTGGCGTAACTTTATTCGCCTGTCTGAAGTCGAATGGTTGAAAGATCATCAGATCGATGGCTCGGTAGTGTTTCCCGGCGCTGGTTACATTGCTTCAGCAATCGAGGCCGTTCGTCTCCTCACGGATCCTTCGGAAGCGACGATTCAAGAATACAAACTACGGGATATTGATATCATGAACGCAATGGTGATTCCGGATTCCGTTTTTGGACTGGAAACCCAGCTTAGCCTCCAACGCTGCAGCGATAAGCAACTCGATCATGCGGGCTGGTACGAGTTCAAACTTTGCTCTTTGACGCCTGGTGGCTCATGTATAGAGCACTGTAAAGGATTCGTCGCCGCCGACACAAACGACGTGTCTAAAGTGAGGACTGCTGAACTATCTCGTAGAGTGGAAGCGCCTCGGGTCGAGACATACCTTCAGCAAGGCGTTGGAAGCGAAAAAGATACTGCTGTGACCACAGTCGATATCGAGGCTCTTTTTGGAGGCCTCCGCGAAAGAGGAATCTACCATGGACCAGCGTTTCAGAATCTGATCGACAGCCACGCAGCTGGACACCGGGCAATCACCAACTTCGCTGTAGCACCAGTCGCATGCACGGAACATGACTATGTTCTGCACCCAACTACACTCGACTCTGTATTGCAAGCTTCCTTCAGTAGCCTGCCCAAACAAATGGACAAGGACACTATGGTTCTGCCCAGGTCGATACGCAGCTTGACCGTGCCAAGATCCTTCAAGAGACGGGGCGGAGACAAGTTACGTGCCTTCTCAGAGTTGGTGAAGGTCGACAAGCGTGGCTACACATCGGACATTTCCATCGCTGTGGCCATGCCGGACCCTCAGGACAGCGACTCAACATTTTCCAACTTCTTGCAAATGCACGGCTTTTTCGGTCAAGTGGTGCCTCGACGCACCGATGATACCGACCAGGAGGCTGGAATCTGCTCGAAAAGCTGCTGGGAGCTGGATATTCTCCACAACGTGCCTGCGGACTTGCGGTCTTCCCTGGCCATTCCTTTGGCGGAACATGAAGTCGAAACTGAGAGGAAGCTCGTTCGAGCATCGTACCACTTCATCCGCGACGCTATGTCTGAGCTGGAAGGCCAGAATTCTGAAGCATGGGAATGGCATCACAAGCGCATGTATGACTGGATGAAGACTGTCGTTCAACAAGGCCACGACGGAAAGCTCGGACCGGGATGCCAGTCGTGGTCAAGAACCAGCAAGGGTCTCCAGAACATGCTTGCAGACGAGCTGAATGCCCAGAACGCCGCCGGCAGGCTTACAGTGCGAGTCGGGCGTAACCTTGCGGCCATTATCCGTGGCGAAGTCACGCCGCTTGAATTGATGATGGAAGGAAATCTGCTCAATCAATTCTACATGGATCACGAAGCCCTCAAGACTCGTTCCTACAAACATCTCTCCACCATTGCGGAGCTCTATGCCGTCAAAAATCCAGGCGCCAATGTGCTCGAGATCGGTGCTGGTACCGGCGGTGCAACAACAACAGTACTGGAGGGTTTTGGCACCAGGGGAGATGGTACTGGATCCATACTTGGACATTACACTTTCACGGACATCTCTCCAGGCTTCTTCGAAGCGGCTAGGTCAAAGTTCGCGGCCTGGTCGTCCTTGATGGACTTCAAGAAGCTGGACATTGAGGTTGACCCGCTTGAGCAAGGCTTTACTAGTGGCGCTTACGACTTGATCGTGGCGGCGTCGTGTCTTCATGCCACTAAAAACCTCAACACGACTATGTCGCACGTCCGGAAACTCCTCAAAGCAGGTGGCACATTGTTGCTAATCGAAGCCACGGCGGACCGCCTGGAAGGACAATTGATCTTTGGCACTCTGCCCGGATGGTGGCTTGGAGAGGAACCCGAAAGGCAAATGAGCCCGAACGCACCTCTCGACATGTGGAAGCGGGTTCTGCTTGAAACGGGCTTCACTGGTGTGGACTTTGACGTACCCGACTACGAAGAGCCAGATTTCCAGTCTGCGCGTGTCATGCTATCAAGGGCATCGACCACCGTGCAGTGTCCTTTCTCCATTGTGCTGCCACCAAGCCAGCAACCCTCTGGAGAACGGGAAGCATGGTTGCGTGATGTGTCGAATGCCATGAAGTCGCTTACTGGCAAATCTCCGTCGATTGTATCACTTGAGAACGTGAAAGCTTGGCAGGACACGGTCTGCATTTTCACGGCCGAGATGGAAGGCCCTTTCGTAGATGGCATGGACGAGACCACCTTCGATCAGCTCAAGGCGCTTTTCAATCATAGCTCCGGCCTACTGTGGCTTAGCTGCGGTGGCCTAATTGACGCGACGGAGCCTTCCTTTGGCGCTACCGACGGCCTTATACGAACAATGAGACAGGAAGATGCAGGGAAAAAATGGATCCGACTAGATTTCGAGAATGATACGAAACCATGGTCAAGCGATAAGATTGGGCATGTTGTTCATGTGTTGCAGCAAAGTTTCGATGCCACTCTTGACCCTGCCGACGTGGAGTGGGAGTATGCCGTCAAAGACTCGATTCTTCAGGTGCCTAGGACATACCCGGACAAGACTCAAGATGCTCTCGCGAGAAGCATCTCGATGGACCCGCCCCCGGAGTTGCAACCATTCCATCAGCCGGGACGACCTCTGATATGGGAGACGCCCAAGTCAGGCGCCACCGGAATCAACCCATATTTCGTCGACAACACAGAGATCGCCTCTACTGATGTCCCTAGCGGCATGGTTGAGGTGGTAGCCAAGGCATTTGGTCTCAACTTCCGCGAGGTGATGGTCGCTTTGGGAGAACTCGATGAGCCCCTTAAAGGACATGAGTGCGCCGGGATCATAACAGCCCTGGGCCCAGACACCGAAGCAAGCGGGCTAAAGATTGGTGACCGTGTGTGTGCTTTGGTTAGAGGTCGCCTTGCTAGCAGAGGCAGAACATGGTGGACGTCAGTGGCGAAGCTGCCCGACGACATAGATCTCTCGTGGGAGCACGCGGCTTCGTTTCCGGCGGCATACGTCACGGCCTACGGAAGTCTTATGCAGATTGCAAGGCTACAAAGGGGCGAAAGTGTCCTCGTTCATGCGGCATCCGGAGGGACTGGCCAAGCGGCTGTGATCCTGGCCCAGTCCGTCGGCGCCGAAGTGTATGCGACTTGCAGCACAAAGGCAAAACGAGACCTCCTCGTCCAGACATACGGCATTGGCCCTGACCACATATTCTCCAGCAGAGACGCCAGCTTCGCTCCAGCCATCATGGCAGCCACGAACGGGAAGGGTGTCGACGTAGTGCTCAACTCGTTGTCAGGACCGTTGTTAAAAGCGACGTGGGATTGTGTGGCCCGCTTCGGCCGCCTCGTCGATATTACCAAGGTCGACATCGAAGCGAACCGTGACCTGCAGACTGCACCTTTCGATCGCTGCGCGGTTTACACCGGCTTCGACTTACTGCAGCTCACAGAATACCGTGGCCGTCAGACGCATGAAGCCCTGGTGGAGTGTGTCCGTATCGTTCGTGAACGCCACGGCGCTCCAGTCCACCCCATCACTTCGTTTTCAATCACCGATATGGCCACGGCAATGCGTCAAATGCAGGGTGGCGCACATATGGGAAAGCTTGTGCTTGTGCCAAATCCTGGCGATAAGGTCAATGTAAGTGTCACTTTGATTCATACTTCGGATAATCAGAGGAAATGCTGACCAGTGTTGGCCCCACAGGTTATCAAACGCCCACCGCCTGTTGCTCTGGACAAAGCTGACGCTACATACCTGATATCCGGTGGTCTGGGTGGTATTGGTCGCGCTGTCGCAGAGTGGATCATCCGCAAGAGAGCCAAGAATGTTGTGCTTGTTTCTCGCAGAGCCAGTTCCCGCCCTGACGCGGCCAAATTTCGCGAGGAAGCAGAAGCTGCCGGATGCAGGCTTTTGATACGCGACTGCGATGTCTCGGATGAGAATGGCCTCCTCGAACTTGTGCGGCAAGTTGCTGATGCCGGGTTACCTCCGATCACGGGAGCAATCAATGGTGCCATGGTGCTGGACGACACAGTCATGGAGCGCATGACATTCCAGCAATGGTCCAACGGCGTACGACCCAAGATCAACAGCAGCCATAACCTACACAAACATCTTCCTAACATGTCCTTCTACATCATGCTGTCATCTGTCGCCGGCGTAGCGGGCCACATGTCCCAGGCCAACTACGCTGCCGGAAATACGTTCCAGGATGCTCTCGCTCGCCATCGCACGGCAAATGGCAAGCCAGCCGTCACTATCGACCTTGGCGCTGTACGATCCGTCGGCTACGTAGCACAAAGAGAAGCGAGCGGTGATGAACGCCTCCGTGCACGTGTTGAAAATGTCGGCTTTGGCTCCGTCGACATCGAAGCCGTCCTCGGAATCATCGAAGCCGGAATCAGAGACCCGCTGCGAGGTTCCCTCGCGGACAGCCAGATCATCGTCGGGCCCAACTTCCACGCCTTCGCCTCCGAATCCGCTATGCGGCACGACCGTCGCTTTGGCACGCTGAGGATTGCGAGCCAGCGCGGCCTCAACACTGCTGCAATGCAGGATACCAAGTCCACCACGGCTGCGTTCGTCCAGGCTTTCGCTTCTGCGTCTAGCATTGACGCGGCCTCTAAACTGCTCGTGGTCGCTCTCGCCGCTAAGCTATCGGACATATTCAACATTCCGGCGTCCGATATCGATCCCGAGCTGCCACTATCACGGTACGGTGTTGACTCTCTCGTAGGGGTGGAGCTGCGCAACTGGATTAGCAGTACCGTCAAAGCCAAGGTCTCAGTGTTTGAGATACTTCAGACGGCGTCGCTCAACGAATTTGGCCTCCTGGTGGCGGACAAAAGCGAGTACATAACTCCGAAGGGTGAGGCAGACCAGGCGGAGTCACAGAAGAGCTGAGATCCACTCTCTGCTCCACAGTCCTCTTTGTGCGCCATTACGAGGGAAGGCGATTACCAAATTCACGCCGCGGGACAAGAAACCCTCAGAAGGACCCTGATATTGGAACAGTCGGCTGCTAAGAGTTGACCAGACGCGACCTCCCAATTACGACACGAAATATCTCAACAGAAGAACAAGGCATCACAATCCCGAGACGGAAGAATCATCCTAGCCATTCAAGCTATCCGATCATCATCGAATTGGAACAAGAGGATGCGATGCGAAGCGCGCAGCAATGATGCCGCATCCGATGCTGATGCTGTCAGCGCCTGGCTCCGCCCTCCGTATATTGAGGACTCTCCGTATACACTTGAGGTTGGGCGAAACCAAGTAGAACATCCCTAACATATGCTAGCTCCGAGTTTCGCAACCTCATATCTATTTGGTTTGTAAGTGGATTTTGGTGAGAGATCGGTACACTTTTCGATACCAGGAAGTATAATATGCGCACCTATGTCGTGGAACCGAAGAAGCAAAAGCTGCGGCAGAAGAAGGCCAAAAAGGAATATCTGTAAAAGGGAGATTCCTAGATGAGCGCTTGCATAAGAGTTTACCTGCGACGTTTCGTATCAGGCGAGCGGCATCTATCTAGAGCGAGTCCCAAGTAAGATATAAAACTTAGGTTATCTTAGATAGAAATGAGAAGACATAAGACCGGGTGAGGCTAGCAGAGACTTGGGATGTGCAGCAGAGCAAGACGCGGTTAATTCTTGCGTGTATAGTGTTGTAGAGCGTGTTGCGAATTTTAGGCAGTAGAAGCATTGATTGTATTCTATATACTCCAGATCCTTTGATCTATACAGTCAATCGAGCATCATATCACAACAGAGCGAACGGGGCTGAAGGCTAGAAATAAGGATCCTGAATCCAATGTGCACCGATTCTACTTGTAAAGTGCGGTCCGATGTTAGAACTACGTAAATTTAGAACCACAGAGATCCTGAAACATAGGGGGTAAGAATGAGTGTATTTGCTGTTAATAAAGAATGTCGATTGTTAGGGCTTTTCTGTGTTGTTCTTGATCCCGGTCCTTCAGGGCTTATCATAAGTAACCAGTCCATCCCCGAGATGAGAGCAGGCGGGCCGAATCGGGTCGGAGGGCTCGCAAATCTCTTTACCACAATAGCGAGAAACCTAAGCGCAATAGCTGCTGTTCCACTTCCATGAAACAACACATCGTCGCAAGAAAACTATGTCCAGGCCTCATCGTGCGTTGGAAACCGAAACTCTGGGATTTCTGATGGCTTCCTCTTCTTCACTCGTATTTTTGCGCTGGGAGATGGAATGCGCAAAATCCCGACCCAACTATCGGATGGCCTGTTCGGCAGCATCTCGAAGTCATAGTGCAGTAAAATGTAAGCCAACATAAGTTTCAGTTCCGCTGCAGCAAAGAAACGACCAGGACAAGCTTGTCGTCCATTGCCAAATGCTAGATAGTCGTTGCTGGTAGCGGCAAATGACATGCGTGACCGCTCCACGTGATCGGGAAGCCTCTCGCCGCTGTTGACATCTCGCCGTAAATCGACGAACCGGAACGGGTGGAAGAATTCCGGCGACGGGTATTTATTGGCATCTGTTAATACAGCGAGGCTGGGTACTGCAACGAAGTTACCGTGGGGAATGTGAACTCCCAAAGGAGTCGTTAGGCCGTCTTTTGCTACAACAACTCTCCGCAGAGCCACTGCAGTCAGAGTGTTGAGACGTGCACTCTCGCGGAATACAGAATCGAGTTTCTCCATCTTGTACATCGAGTTCTTGGTCCAGACACCCTGCGTCTCAGCTAAGACGCTTGTGATCTCAGTGCGAAGTTCATCAAGAACCTCAGCTTTGGACGAGATAAGGTCCAGGACGAGATTTGTGATCGTCAGGGATGAAGTATGAATGGATACCAGGTTCAACAGAAGAATTCGGCCTGCTAGTGTTCTGGGCTTCCACATACGTGGATCGCCGCTGGCAATAGCTTGCTCGATACTCCATTGCAGGAAGTCGTTCTTGGCCGCAGCAAACTTGTCCTTGTCTTCTTTCATATTATCGATACGATCTCGCAGACGACCCTCAATCTCTGGTAGTAAAATGTTGGTGAATCGTCGCTCGAAAAAATGATTCGGTAAGGTGAAGAGCGGCGAAGCCAATGGTCGCAAGGGCTCCCATACGAAGCTTAAAAACCTGGCGCTTAAAGGCAGACACCTAGCAAAACCAAGGCCGGCGTTGAGCAGTGCTGGATCACGGCAATAGGGAAGACCGACAAAGGCACGGTTTGTGACTTCACCCACAACGCGACCGAGAGTGTCCCACACGCCTACGTCACGAAATGTCTCAGTGTCGCTACCCCAGATCTCCTCGAAGCAGAAAGCCGTTTCCTCGTTCAACGCGGACAGCAGATTGCCAATTTGATTCGTTAATGTGGTTGTGATGAGATGTTGGTGCGCCGCATTTAAAATAATGAAGTTATCCGCTACGGTGTATCTGTAGAGAAGTCCTTCCTTGATAACCGCGCGAAGATTGAGCACCGACTCTGGCTGCTCGCTGACAAATTGCGTCTCAGAGGCAGGCAAGACGATGAAGCTGGCTCCTCCAGGACCGGCAACAGGCAAGATTGCCGCCTGATCAGGGTATTGCTGGTATCCTTCCAGTGCTGCCTTTTTCACGTCGAGCGAGTTTCGCAGTGTCGCTTGGAAAAAGGGAAACCAGTCGCCTTTGCGTGCGCCAATGATAGGGAGACCTTTGGGAAGACGTGGGCCAGAGCTAGAAGAGATTCTCCACGCCATATAGCATAAGAGAACCGCTCCAGTCAACATGCCATACGGAATTCCCATAGTGCGGAATGTGTCTCGGTGCACCTTGCCCCAAGCTGAGTTTACTATAAGGTTCAGAATTGAGTGATCAATTCTTCACAAGATAATCTGCAACGGTGGGTCGCTGACATGCCCCGGCTCCTATCCAGAGTGACCGCCAGATTAGGAAATATCCGAGGTCCAGTCGCCGAAACAAACGGAAGAGACTTTTGTGTATTTCAAGGTTCGGCTGTGTTGGTAAAGCGGTCCTAGCCGGATGATTTCATGGTATAGCTCCCACATTTTGGGATCGTCAGCTAGCCAAGTTCACGACCACCTATCTTTCTTGGACCTCTTCTGCCATTCTTTGGAGCATTGCACTTGCTGCTATGAAGATTTTAGCGCTGCACGGACTAGGAGCCTCCGGCGCCTTACTAAAAGATCAGTTGGCACCATTTATTAGAGAATTGGGCGCAAGCTATCAATTTGTTTTCCTTGATGGAGCAATACCGTGTGGAAGAGGACCCGGTAAGCTTTGCCATCCATACACAGACGTATCTCACTCGCTACCTTGAGCGTAGGAAATGCGAGCCTAACTTTTGATAGCGGTTCCAGGTTGGGAGCCTGGGCCTTTTCAGTCTTACGCCACGGGCTTCTCTCCGCAAGAGATGCGAGAGACGCTTCAGAGGATAGACGTTTTCGTCAAAGAAAATGGTCCTTTCAACGGTGTTCTCGGGTTCAGCCTTGGTTCTGCAATGGCCATTAGCTACATCCTTGACCAGCAACGCCGAAACCCAGACACCCGGCCGCCCTTCTGCTTTGCCTTACTCTTTTCTCCAATCTTCGTCGCCTCAGCCGACGACCACTGCTACGAGGGCCTCGTCAACCGCATCCTCGATGACGACCACGCAAATTTCCGGGGAGAGTTCCCGGACGGCGATTTTGCATCGCTGCTAGACTCGAAGGAGGAGTGTATCTTCAGTGAATATCTGAAAGTTGTCTTGTCAATGCACTCAAGCGTTGGAAACATCTTGCCAAACACCCGTCTCGACTTTCTTTCGTTTGAGGCACAGGCAGGGAATGTACCGCGCCTATTACATCCGGAAATATACAAGGAGCGCATACGCATCCCGACTGTGCACGTTTCGGGGGAGAAGGATATATATGCTATGGCGGAGCAAACGCGCGTGGCAGAGGGGTTATGTACGCCTTCGTTAGCGCAAGTGCATCGGCACGATGGAGGACATGACATACCGTTCAAGAGGTCGGATGTCCAGACTATAATCTCGATGGCAAAAGTTGCAGCCGAAAAGGGAAGGCAGCTGCAAGAACTGTATGACTTTTGAGAGACGACATGCCATTCTGAATAGCTGCGAAGATACCCCGTCGATAGGGCCGTTCGAACGCTCAGATGCCTTATTGACGCCGGGCGAAAGTTACATACATACCGGCTATGCTGTTTAGAAAATAAAGACAAGACACCTGCGTTCCGCAAGCCGGAAGTGATGAACCAATCCATGCCGTCAATGTCATCGCGAAGATGCCGCTAGACTCACGTCATAAACAGACGCAGAATTGCCGTGCAAACTATTGTCTAGTACAAAGTTCCGCCGTCATATGCAAAAGTCATACTAAGAGAGGAAGAAGGCATAGCGGCTGAACTCGTCATCATCCTGCAAAAAGTCCGTTTCTTCCTCAGACAAAGTCATCACAAATTCAATGCCACCATGCTGTTTGCGTGGAATCACAAAGCACGTGCGGTACCCACGATTGCACATTCCCATCATTGGGCGGAAAGCTTCTGGCCTTCCGCCGTTAGCAAATACATGTTCTCCGAAGCAAGTCTCATTGAATGGCAGTGCCATTGGCGACAATATGCCTACGGATGCCGACTGAGGTGACATGCGAGAAGCGCGCATCTGCACATTGCGACTGTCGTACTCTGGAAGAGACCGCAGCAGACCATACGCTTCTAGCAGAGCATTCTGACCTGCTTTTTTCGTGGCATTCGTGCGAATCATCTTGGCCACCCATGGAATACTCGTACCTTGAGCTATCAGAGTGCGTAACGGAAGTGTGAATACGTGCTCGAAGTTCAGATTGCCGAGATAGCTGGTAGGCAGAAGATGCGGGATATCTGGCCGTGCATCGAAAGGCATTGCAAGCGTCGCCTTTTCATCCACATCCGTGTTTTGTCGTGCTACTCTCACCGCCGCCCAGGCCCTGATGACACTCCTCCAAATAAAAGCACAGATGACATCATTCCCAGAAACGTCGGTAGAATTGTGTACTGTAGCAAGCTCTTTACGGAGTGCCGTGTACATGTGCTGTGGCATATAAAACAGCCTGGGCTTCATATCAGGCGCCTGATATATGTCATGACTTGCACCAGACCCAGCATTAGTTTCGGCACTGTCATCGAACTTGGGTGCGTCTTTGCTTGCCTGGTCGCGCCCATCAGCTTCGACGAGGTGCTGCGAGGTTGAGGCCTGATGTTTATCAAAGGGTTGAAGGGATAGGTCCCTCGCTTGAGCCAAAGTAATGTCCAAAGCAGCCCGATCGACGCTCGCTGCGGGAATTGGCAGGAGTGATTGACTTCCAATTGCTGGCTTGTCCAAGAGGCTCCTACAATGGTCCGCCCACAACTTGGTCACATTGAGCATCGCAGTCCCGTCTGAAGCCGGCGCCGCGATGGACAAAACCAGGAAGCAGCCGCCGGGAACGAAATTCGCCTGCGCTGCGAATACTTCCGCTCCTGACTCGAAATCTGGTTCGAATGGCAATGTCCAAAGCAAGACCTCATCGTCAAAAAAGTCCAGGGGAAAGCCAGCCTCTCGCAGGTCGGCAAACGATGTAGACGCAGGCAGTTCATTAAAGCGTAGAGGAATCTCAGAAATCTGAGAGCACCCTCGGCCGTGATCAATGGGATCGTAGCGTATCTCGAGCTGACCCCTTCGCCACCCTGACCGATCTTGAGATTGTGAATACATTCTACCATTGAGCCATGGCGTCTGCAGGATTGTCAGGCGTAGACCTTCGCGAAGGCAGGTGAACGCATCTTCAGGAGATACATTTTGCTTCAGGCCAAGGTATATGATGCTCTGGGGGATGTTGCAGGGCGCGATATGGTCCAGAGGCCCAAGGGGGATGTGAAGTATGTTATTTTTTGAAGCCATAATCCGCATGTGTCCAAGCCATGTGAAAGATCGAATGCGTCGACAGTCAGGTAACGATTGTCTGCTTAAGTTGGAATGTAGAAACTGGTGCAGCTACAATCAAAGTAGGCAATAAGCAGACTGTTCCTCTTCGCTCTTGTAAACGTCGGATGTTTCCGCATTGGGGAGGTCACCGGGTTTGTGAACAAAACGAATAAAATGGGATTAGGCTGTGCAACGGGTCGGGTCGGGTTGGGTTTTCGGAGATCCTTACACTACCGATTTGTAGGACTGAGAGGATCGATTGATTGAATCTATCTGAGCGAAACGCAAGTGTGAAATATGTCAAGGTGCTAGTGACTGAGAATAAAAGCGGCCTTCGACAAGGCCTCACTTGGTAATTAATATAGTTCCACTCGTAATATTACACAAGCGACAAAAATGCCACGAGTGCGTCATGTACCGCGGTTCGATGGTCTCGACCTCTGATAAACTGTGGACTCTAGGGAAGGAATGTGTTATTGTTATATGAGGAAGAGTGCAACATTGCCAAGGTGTCGAACAAGGTCTCATTGAACGGCCAAATGGTAGCAAGTGCCCCTTTCGTTGAAAAGGAGGTTATCACCCCTATGCAGGTTTTAGGGGTAGAAATAGGAGAAAAAAAGGGGTCGACTCAACGTGTATATATACCAGTAACCTGGCAGGACCGGTTGGGGGTAGACAGAGCATTCAATACATCTCAAGTTGTTCCCCAGTTTGACACAAGGTAACACGTCGCGTGATTGGTCAACAGTGTCCATGTGATATGTAGCTTGTAAAGATCTTCGGAAGTGTTGTACGCTTGGTCGAAAGTATATAATCTGACTGTTGAACAAACGATAACCTATCGTTCATGGCAAACCTACTCGTTTTGTAACACCCACCCCCTGGCGTGCAACACGTAGATAGATATATAGATGGACTCTATCCCACACTCATTTGAAGAGCCCAGAGCATTTATACATCTCGAGTGGCACCCAGTTTGACACTGACGGTCCCTTGGACCCTTTAGAAATAGGACAAGCTCTCCGTAAAATTACACCCAACCTCTAAGCGTAGAGCTACAGGGGGGTGACAAATCTTTTGTTGTCGACGTTAATTCTGTGCCTCTTTTCCCGAAAGGGTATTTTCGCGGCAACGTGTGTAGGTTGACCCATGGGCGGATCGACTGCCTCTTCCATCGGATCCTCAGCAGCGATCCCCGCTTCGGCCAGTGCAATCGGCAAGGCCACTGTACGTAACGTTCCCGCGACTGCCTGCGCTGCTCCGTGTTGAATAGGTTCCAACAGCTTCATGATCCTGGCCAAGGGTCGGGCTGTCCACACGAACGAGACGTGATCCAGCACCACTCCCAGGATCTTGACGGATGTTCTTGGGGAACCTCTTCGCCTCCTATGGTCAGCGGTCGGTCACTTCGCCTTCCTTCCGTGCGGGTAAAATAGATAAACATCGTCTTTTTCTATTCAAACGTCGCTCCGCTGCTGGCTTCCCATGCCTCTGCTTTAGTCACAAATTACTTTGGATCCTAGTGTGTTGTCATCTGCCGACACTCCCGTGACCCACGCTGAATAGTTATCTATAAACGGTATCGATCCTTGGTGAGCATTGATGACGTTCTGTACTAGGTTGGCGTTAACGAAGAGGAAAAGAATGGGCGACAGGGGCGATCCTGAAGCAGTTCCGGATGGCGAAGATCGTAGGTGGGCGAGTCATGGCCGTTCACGGTGATCATCACTCGGCGTTCGCTGCAGAAGCTGTCAATCCATCGCACCAGATTCTCTGGAATGCGCGTCTCTCTGAGCCGGTGAAGGAGGACGTCCTTACAGACCCCATTGTGCGCTCCCTTCACGTCGAAGCTGACTAAGCTCAGCACCTTGCGGTCGTGCCAGGCGTCGAAGATTCGTTCCTGGAGCATTATGGGTGCTTGGGTTGTGGATCTTCGTTTCCGCGCTCCGAAGTGGTTGTTGGGGATGAGGTGCCAGGTTTCGGCGAGGTAGGAGATGCGCTCGGCGAGGGCGGCGTCCAGCATATTTCCCTGCGTCGAAAGCAGGGAGATCAGTCGGTAGGCGCTCGGCTGTTCGTAGTCCTCTTGGCCACTTTGAATGTTCGAGGGAGTTGCCTTCTGGTTAGCGAGTGGTGGAAGATCTTGTCTCTCACAGTCGGTCACAGCTTCTGCCATACCACGATCGACATGTCGTCAAACCTAGGAGCTTTCTACGGGTTCAATGCAAAGACCGCTCGTTCGATTTTATTCTGCGCGAGGGAGATGTCGGGAAGCGTCGTCGCTCGGGCCTCGGGGAAGAACGTGGTCAGCAAAGTCTGTGCAATGCCTTCATCGTCCTCCACTTCCTGTCCGTCGGTAGTCCGAAGAGAGGGAATTCGGGCAAATACATTGGTGGAGTCGGCAAGGAGATCAGAGCACCAATTCCACGCAAGTTTGACAGTTATGAGCCCAACTTGCACTTTGGGATAGCCGCTCGTGTCCGGGTAGTCAGTCAACCTGTCTACTCTTTACCCTCCATCGGATAGAAGCCTGCTGGCTATCGTCTGCGCTCATCGATTAGCCACTCTACCTGCACGTAGAGACCAGCACCTCGATCAGCACGATCACAGAGCATCACGGTCCGACCGATTACGCCGATACTACTAGTCTGGACACCACACTAACTCGAGGATCAGAAAGAAACGGAGATATTAGATGTGAAGTCGGGAAGACGGATACGCCATACACTGCAGCCACAAGATCTGACCTGTTGAACGGTTGGACAGTAGCATAAGCCCCTTTTCAGGGAAAAAGGGTTATCATTCCTATGTAGGATATAGAGGTAGGAATAGGAGAAGAAAAGGGGTCAACCAAACTTGTATAAACACCAGCAACCTGGCATAGACAGAGCATTCAATTCATATTCTCTTGGCATTCCACGTTTGACCGACTGGATACCACGAGACGAAGGTAGGATATCCTCTCGAAGACGACGACGACACGAAGATTAGGACACATTGTGAGCTACGATATCTGACCGGACACGACAATACTAAAGGAACTCGGACACTGTCATGGGGCGCCAAGACCCCATGCCAAGAACATGTATATAGCATGCGTTACGCAGAATACCCCTATTCGACTTCTAAGCGTGGAAGTCGATGTCGCCCCTGCACCTATATAGGTATCCTTTTGACGTCTTTACAGCCCGCTGGCGAGCCTGTCCCTGACATACACGGTACTGACCAGTATGCTACTAGGACTCAACTAGAGGCAGCCTGCGCTAGGCGTCTAGTTCGGGAGTCATCAGAGGGAGAACAATACACACTTCGAGTGCAAAGACGAGACAAAGGCAGATTACAACATTCCAAGATTAACGAGATCAGTACCTTCAACGGACAAAGGCATTCATACATTCATTTAGCAAACAGTCTTTCCAATTGATTCAGGCTACATCAATGGCGTCGATATGGCATCGATATAGCATGGGGGTGCGTCAGATAGCTAGGTGCCTATTGTGCCAAGAACACCTATTGCCGCCTATATATATAGGAGCTCTCCCCCTTCCATAGCTATATTCTACACACGAGTTTTCCCACCTTCTATCCGCACCCGCGCTCTGTTTGACATTAGCGTATATCGAAGCAGAGAATGTTAGCAGCGCACAACCCCGGTCTAGTGAATGACTTATGAACCATGCGGAACCTTGTAGGCGTATTGGATCGCATAAATTATTTCACAGAGCGCGTCGCATTCGGCTAAAACGGGTCAAGTTCCGAGTCGACTTTGGCACCCGACACGGCGTGGCCTTTCCCCTTAAGCCATACCCGAGAATGGAAGTTCCGACCTGGCTGCCGCGGTGTCGCTATAACATGTCTACGAGGCCCACGCCAGTCCATGCAAATGCTCTAGTTGAATTCTAGTGCTCACCACCTCCGCCCAACCGTATTCAAGATCTTCCTGCCGTACGTTTGCCCGAACATCCGAAAATCGATCATGTCTACATACCCCTTTAACGGCAAGTGTGCTATAGTGACCGGAGCGGGTTCAGGCATCGGCCACGCGTTGACTAAGATCCTCCTCTCATCTGGATACTCCGTCGTGCTCGCGGATCTCAAGCTCCGCCCAGAAGCTGAGCAGACGCTGGCGGAATATGAATCCACTCCAGGCTCGGCAACTGCCGTGTTCCATCCCACAGACGTATCGAATTGGAAGCAACTAGCATCCCTCTGGGAGGCCGCGATTGAGTGCTTTGGCCGCGTCGACATCGTCGCCAGCGTAGCAGGAATTTATGAGCCACCCTCGAGTAACTTTTGGAAGCCACCGGGGATCTCTCCGGTATCCCGTGACCCGGCCGACGCATCCACTGGACAATACATGACGTTCGCAGTCAACCAAATTGCTCCCATCAGGCTAGCGCAGATTGCCGTCGACTACTGGACACAACATCGCGACATTCAAGGCAATTTCCTGGCGGTCGCGAGCATTTCAGCATACCTTCACTCCATTGAGACACCATTGTACATGGCGAGCAAGGCGGCGTTGGTTAGCTTCGTTAGATCGCTGGGCGCGCTTCGAGATCTGTTTGGCATACGAATGTCGGCCGTATGCCCCGGTCCCGTTCTTGTACGTCTCCCGCCGGTCGTAAGAGCCAGCTTGCTCCTTCTCGATCTCTATAATTCGAGCATTCAACTGATTCAGACTGATTAGACTCCAATTTTCGAACCCGGATGGAACAAGAAGTTGACTGCAGATGACGTCTATCTCACACCGGAAGAGTGTGCAGCCGTAATTCTCCGTGTGATGCAAGAGCCCCAATGGGGGAATGGTAGTATTGTGGAAACCCAGAAAATAGGAGATAAGAAAGCGTCGGAAATCATTGTGCGCGATGTGCATCTGGAACAAGTTTATCCCACGAAATACGGGAAGCCGAGCGAACGTGTGATTCAAGGCAGGCAGGATCTTGTGAAGAGAATTCAGGAAACTGGACTGAGAGGTTAGCATGAGCAACTTGAGATCATCTGCTGGGCTCTTTAACACCTTGGGCTAGTAACTTTGCATCCAATTAGTCTTTAAACATTGACCAGTCCAAGTCTGAAACTGCCGGATGCCGCCAAAGGATCCAATACTATTGTTGGTGCGATATCTTCGACTGAATCTTATCCCACGATTCTCTAACTCTTGATTCTATATTGATCACAAGCTTCCGGGCTCCCCAATTCCAACTTACTCGATCCTTGATGTGAGCCAGAATTGCACATAGTTGATTAATGTGTAGAAGCACGGCATGATGAACAAGCCGTGACCGTATTTCTGGGGCGTCAATCTCGTAACGCCCAAGGAAGATAGCAACTCCCAGGAGTCCGGATGTATCAAAGGCCGGGTCGTCGTTGCTTGATGAGTGAAGGGCAGGTCCGCCAGTCTCCATTGCTCTCAGGTCCGATAATTGTCGGCTCTCAGGGCTGGATCCGTGGAACCGTTCCTGCGAAGGCAGACATGTGGTAACAGTCTCTGCCATGGTACCGAGCCGCTGTGCAATTGTGGCAAGAAGCATACCATTGTCAATGCAGGCATTACATTGCCGGCAGACAAGGACCTGTTCGGTCGTATCCATGCCGCGAGCGAGTGACATGAGAATAATGTCGAGGTCTGCACCTGAGTCCCGAGCATCAGTACCAAGACCTCGGGAGCCCATGTTCTCCAGTGTCTTTAGCATCATAGGGACGCACTGACACGATCTTTCTGATGCATAATTTCTTGATTGCTCGCGGGTGCGAGCACTGGTGCTCCTAGAAAACGAAGCAAGTCCCGATGTCGGAAATAAAGAAGCCATATTCGGTGTGGCAAGGGCATTGGCGGATGAGCTGTGCGTCTGTGACGTATGAGAGCGAGGTACAGGCGGTTCTACTGTCGAAGCTAAGTTTAGGACCGACTCCCAAGGTTGGGCGCCTCTTTGCAAGCCCTCTGTTTGATACTGCTGCACATCATGTACTGAAAAGCCGGCGTTACCTTGTTGTGACATTGTCAAGGACGACTGGTTCGGGTTGAGCATCCTGGAGGCCGACACTGAAGCGGACGAAATCAAGGACTGATCCGATAGATGCAAGTGCTGACTGCTCGATTGGCTTGATTCCAAGTCGTACAAAATGTCAGCTATGTTATTATCGACTTCCATGTTGCCAATCGGGGTTTGCGGACGTTTTCCTTGCGGGGGTAAGGCGCAGAAGACGGAAGCTGGTGTACGAGGCTGTTTATCCGCAGTAGGTGACTCTTGGCCGTCGTCCACGATGTGCTGGTTTACACTACTAGGAAAGTCCCAAAGCAAATCTGTCACCCCTGGTATAGGTGATAACGTCCATGAAAGGTCCGCGGATGTCGCAGATGGAGTTGGAACGGGCGTCCCAGAGCCTACGGCATCCACGTCTGCAGTTTCCACTTCTGGCTGTTCATGTGAATTTGGCCTTGAAGTATTCTCTTTCTCGAAACTAGCGTCTGGTGATAGCACGGCGGCCGAACCTCTGGACGACTGCGTGGACTGCCGGCGAAGCTTATCTGCAGAGTTGTCTGCGTTCGATGGGTAGGTACAAGGTTTGGGCACAGCGCGGCATCTTTCGCAGCCGTTCTTGTCGCCACTGCACTTAAGCTGTATTATAGAGGCTTTATCAGCGTATGATGTTAGCCGATGAATAGGAGTATTCACCTTTCGAGTACGGCAAGAATTGCATGCCTTCCTGGTGTAGCCCCGAGCCTCAAACCCATCAACCCTCCCTAGCTTAACGTGCTCAACGTCCTTTGTGTCTGTGTTGTATCGAAAAGTGCCGAACATTGGTTCTAAGAAGTAGGTGGTGTGCGTCGAGCTTACCTAGATAAATGGGAACACACGGCCTTAGACGTCTACCCTCTACATTTTATTTTGCAAAAAAAGAGGATCTTCAGTTTTGTTCCCTCGTTGCAGAAAAAAACATTAAGAGGGAAAAAGGTAATCAGAGATGCATTGGGACGGTTGAGTTCGGCCGTTGAGGGGTCGGGCTGTTGCGTCCAGTTAAATGCACCACTGGGGTTAAGGCATATCACTGCGTGATTCCCACTCCCACACGGTTTCCCACTTTTTCCAACTCTCATCGTACATCTTGCCCTCTGCGAGCACCCAGAGGGCAGGCTACGCGCCTGCGGGACGATGGACTCACACCTTCACGCAGTGTCCGGTGTTAAGCACTGGAAAAGTGTGAACTGTGACGAGTCCGCAGCTTCAACTTCAAAAAGAGTGGGACGACATTGAAAACCATCCGACCCAGCAGTATCCATCTCGTACCCGGAACCGAAGCAGGCTGGGATACGTGTCATACCCGGCACGTACGAGGGTAGCCGGATCCCTGGAAGGTACGTACTTGCAGCCCTGTTAATTCTGATGTATTCTATCTTAGGGAGCCCTCTGTGACGCTTACGACTCTGTTAAACTTCGAGAACGGGTCACTGTCCACGATCCAGAGGTTCATCTACGAGGGACCCTGTTAGACTCCGAGAACAAGCTCCCCCTCGACCTCTTAACCCTATACCAAAGGCCCTGTTAAACTTCGAGAACAAGTCACTGAAGGTATTGAATGGAGGAGGATAGTCTACTAAAAGGAACAAACCACCGCAAGGAAATACAAGCGGAAAGGTGGACATAAGCTTGATTAGCGAGGGATCGCAATGTGAGAAGAGTTGCTGGCTAGAACTCTCTCACGGTCCCCATGTAAGACATGGACGGCCTAGATGTGGGAAACTACGCTAGGTAACACGAAACGAGTCTCATATGAGAAGTATACGACTCGCGGGTTGTAGTGTGCATTGGTGCGATGGAATTCACACATGAGTCAGGGATTTCAATCTCGAGAAAACTGGAACCAGATCTGACGGTAGGTGGCAGAGAGTCTTCGCCGCAGAGTGTTTTCGACATGGTTCTTTGGTCAGATATTTTCAGGGGCAGAATAGGTTCCGACCGAAACTGACACTTCAGGCTGTGCACGAAGTATCCAAAGCAACGGTCCCGTAGTTGACAACTGCGTTCTCCGACATCTTCAAAAGTCCAGGGAAGCAGAAGAGGCAAATGTCGACCGGATGGAGGGTGTCGGCTCTTAAATGCTCTTGTCGATTCTCGACATGTGCGGTGCACATGCTGCCTTCGACTCCGTTCCCCTGTAGACCCCCTGTCCGAAACGCTTCTGACTTTACGCCCTGTGGAACTGGCTCGAGTCCTTCATGGAACGGTCGTTACACGCTATCTGCATTCGAACAGCATCCCTAGGCAGATTTCCTAAGATTTCGCCATCGGCTGTGCGCAGCTTGAGTCTCCCCTTCTCCGTCCAGTGCACTCTGGCATGTTCATGCCCCTACCTCTCCCTCGAGCCGTGCGCTCTCAGCCCTCCGCCAAACTAACCTGGACGTGCCTTTCAGATTTCTCGCAGAAGTGGAGACTTTAAAGACTGCATCCGCGAGTTCCAGGTCTGCCACTATCATTGGGGGGGGGGGAAAAAAATTTAAAAAAAAAAACCTAACCCACGGTGCGGTTCGACGCACATTGTGCCCGTCTTCGCCCCTTTCAATTGTGACAACCACCCCAGTTAGAGGGGAAGAAAGAATAGCTCCCTCGCACTGTAACACAAATTCCACCTCTTTCTGAACCTGGTCCCAGTCGCAGGCCCGCAACACCGCATTGCGCACTACAGCCTCCGGCAAGGCAGGGCTCGAGCTTGGCGACCACTTTCGCCGCCAATACTATCAAGCATGCCAGGGGTCATTCCTTGCGGTGCACATGTCACGGCAGTTCACGGTTGTGTGTCTTAGACAGCCCACTGTCTCATTCGTATGCAGGCCGCCCCTTGAGACATCGAAGATTAACCCTCTCTTCCACACTCGAACCACGAGAGGCGGCAGAGGAGGAATTGCCATTAGCCTGCCAAAAGTGTTCTCGATTTAGAATTCTCTACCAACTCGAGGGCAGATCAGAAAGGGAGAAACGTCGCGACGTCCACGAGAGTTGGGAATCACCTGACTGGCCACATCATCGCGACCGCAGATTCTGTACAGGAATCGAGGACGTTGACGTCATCGGGCTGCAACCGTGTTGTGAGCCGCCCTGGAGACTGAGGACATGGAAGACATTAATCGCGATTATTGGACGCTTCGGAGACTTTAGCAGCAACATGAATGGCTCTTCGACACGTCCCCTTGGAGCACTAAATCCATGATCTTTAGTGCTGAGACCAAGCCATCGAAGAAATGACTAAGATGAAATTGGTGAGCATCGATTGATTTCAATTGTCTCGAACTTTGCTAAATTGCACATCTGTAAGTCGGGAGCGCAATACGTCAACAAGATCTTCACTTTGTAACTAATGAAGCGTTAGGGGTCTTCCACCAATCCTTGCGGACGCCCCTCCATATTAGGCTGACAATTGGTCGCCTACTTATGATGAATCTGATTCTCTTTCGCCACATTTCACCATTTAGGTTTCCGCGCCGAGCGAAACTTGGCTAGAAGCCATGATCGGGACTTCTCACATTCATCCGCGGCACCAATCAGAATGTAAAGACAACTTGCATGAACCTATTCCCACATTCATTTCGAATATGTGTTGGAGAGTTCTCAAAAGAGGGCTCAAATTCATGCTTTTGTCGAGCTGTATGCCACCTTGATCATGTGGACCACGTCTTTCTTGATAGACAATTTCAGTTCTCTCAGAAGGGACTGTGAGTCATTTTGTGATTCAACGTCTCGCGCATAGAAGAAGCAACAATATCAGCTCGTCTTTTGGTTGAGCTCTTATAGCTTAGTGTCACACTAGCCCTTAGCTCTTAAAGAAAGCTAGTTAACACGTTGGGCCGCGATACAGCCCATGGCATGCACCTGTGTCTGGCCGAATCTGTCAAGGCAGAAACTACGTATTGATTATCTATTGGTTAGCAAAGATAGCGGACTCTACAAACAACGTAGCAGAGAAGACCCTAGAATTTGCAAACTCTTTTGGAGGGTGAGAACGAAATTCCATTGAGTGATGTGGCTAAATACGCTGACAAGAGCCCCTGCAGAGCCCGCAAGGAGCTAAGGAACAAGGTTAGGGCCTGAGCCTCCCCCGTCATATACTGTAATATCTAGGCCTTGACATGAGCCGGGTTAACCCGCGGGTTATGGGTCGGGTGGGGGCTTTTGGGCTATTACTCTTTTGACCTATAACCCTGCAGGGTTGGGCTAGTAAAAGGGGTCCAACCCACCCGAAACCCCGTTTGGTCGCCTAAAGTTTAGTTAAATTCGGGATGACATAGTGTGCGCAATCTAATAATGCGGGTCATTAGCGAGTGCACTACTTAACGAATTTTGGTGAGAAATTGAGTGGTACGCTCGCTTATGAACTACGTTAAATGAACGATCAAATTGGAATTCTCACTACTGTTGCTTTTATGAGCATTCCCTTTAATTCAATGATTGAAAAACTACTTGGTTAATGCCATATGTTACCGTGCTTAGCTTATTTATATGTTAGGATAACCCGACCCGACCCAGCCCAATTGAACGGGCTTCTGGGTCGGTTTGGGTCAAGCTTTGGTTGACCCCAAAACCCCCGTTCGGGCGGGCCAAGGGGTAGTAAAAGTCCGGCCCGACCCGGCCCATGTCAAGGCCTAGACGGCGTGCAACCCCCCCCCCCTCCTCCCCTCTCTTATCGTCGTCACGAGAGTACTCCCCTTGCGGCGCTGGCCTATTTAGAAGGGGTCCAAGGGACCATCAGACTATATTGTAGCGGGGCGCTACGTGCATGGATTATGTAAGGGGCAAGCAAACACGGGTGGGTGGAAAGTTGGCGAGTGCATTGAACTTTTCTTGTGATTAGAGCTTTGTGTGTGGTTGCTCAACGACTTTGACGACGACATCCTCCCTGCATGACAGGCACTCAAGTGCTAAACCGTTCATCACCTTTACAATATAGTTTCTAAGCGCGTACAAAGCGTACGACGCCTTCGAAGGTCCTTACGAGCGCCCATTCGCCAGGTTTTGCCATATGAATCTGGGGCTTCGCGGGGCCCCGTCGGAACTCCACGAGATGCCCCAAGGCGTTCATTAGCTGGAGCTGCTGAATCGACAGCCTATAAAGTCTCATGATCACTTGGGAATTCGACAAGCACTAGCACTCAGTATTTGCCCGTTTCTGTTCACTGCTCCCGGATTGGTTCCAACGATGGCTGCAAACGTCGAAGACATCAAGTACGGAGTCATAAGTCAGACCTCGCCCGTGATGATGGAGCATCAACGGGACAAGGCAACCCCGTCAGATGCAGTTCTCATATCGAGCAATCCTCGCGTAATGCTGGCGAAGAGGTCCAGACCCCCTATGACGTGGCAACTGGGAGCGGCCGTTATGGCAAGTACATTCCACACTCTGTAGTACTATACCGCCCTGACATTAATCGATCTTGTTATAGTAGGTTGCGCTCGGCTTCGTTGCTCCCGTCGCAGCCATTGGGCTGTTAACCGGCGTCCCTCACTCAGCTCGCAACAGAGCTAGGAGACATCCAAAACCTGCCATGGACTGTTAGCGCCTTTTCAGTTGCCGGTGCAGTCTCATTCGCTATTGCTGAGAGTCTGAGCGGTATATTTGGCCGGCGTTATGTCATCATATCAGGCAATATATCATGGCCATTATCGGATGCGTGAGTTCTACACCAAAGCATTTTGCGGCTTAGGACAAACAGGCTCACTAGGTACAGATTGTTTCCGCCACTACCAACAAAACCCCTTGGACTTGTTGCTGGGGAGACGATTATCGGATTCGCCTGTGGAGTTATTTTCGTTGGCTATGCCAGCGTGTCAGAAATGCTTCCCAACAAATAGCGGTGTGTATATGCCTTTTTTCACATCCAAATAGCTATTAATTTACTGACCGCATCTACAGAGGCGCTGGTATCGCATTGACAGAGTTCTTTATTCAACACCGTGGGTTCTAGTCAGTACCTTAATGGCCACCTCCATATACACTCGAACTGCACTCTCCTGGCGCTGGTTCTCTATCATCGGCACTATCTACGCCACTGTCAGCGTTACCGGCGTCACTCTTTTCTATTTTCCACCTTCACGTCCGGCTCACGACTATGGCAAACCCCGCTGGCAAGAATTTCGAGAATTAGACTTCATTGTCTACTTGCTCTTTGGCGGAGGTCTGCGTATAGCTCTCGTTGGCCTCTCTTGGGCTGGTACACAATATGCGTGGGACTCTGCGGCTTTTCTCGCTCCACTTATTATTGGGATTTGCGCCGTCGCGGCGAGCTTCATCTACGACTTCACGGTTCCTGAGTCACCTTTATTCCCATTGTCGCTGCTGCGAGAGTTTCGGAGATATACCATATTCGTGGTGATCGCTTTTGTGGCCGGATTCATCTATCGTTCGATGGCAGCAATGCTCCCTCAGGTTACTCTCTTCGTATTCACGAGCGATCCCATACAGATTGGCATAATTCAGATTCCTAATGGTGTTGGTCAACTCATTTTTGGCGCTGTGTCATCAGCAGAGATCGGACTCATTGGTCACCTGAGGCTTCAGCTTATCTTTTGGGTGACTTTGATGACCGTCAGCATCGTCTGTCTAGCCGCAACAATTCCTAACCACAAAGCAGCGTTTATGGCAGTTCGGACTTTCGGAATGGGACCATTCCCGACCGTTACCGTTGTGGCATATGTCATAGTCAGCCTGAATGTCCCCCTTCGACACCTGAGAGTTGCCATCGGTCTCATTGGAACATTCCGCAGCGCCGGCGGCAGCCTGGGGAATGCTATTCTTCAAACAATTTTGAACTCAATCGTCGAAAGCGAGCTCGCGCCTGCTATCATCAGCGCCGGCACCCAGCATGGCTTCCCCCTTGAACATGCTGGGGAACTGATTCAGGCTACAGTTTCGAATGCAGTGGGGGTGCCATACGTCTTCCGTTCGGTTCCCGGAGCAAGCTACAGCAGCTGCTCCGAAGGGCGTTTACGCATATGCGTTTCAACGGGTTTTCCTCACCATCATTCCCTTCGGCGTAACTGCCATCGCATGTGCATTGTTGGCAAATGATCCGTCAAAGTATCTCACCAATCACATAGTAGTCCAGATGGAAAAGGAAGATCTTTTCGGCCACGAAAAGAAGCAACATGATACCCACTTGGCTGATGTTAGCGCTGCAGATAAAACAAAGGCATGAGGCGGCCAGGGCGAGATAGCGGTCTTCTTGTACGAGGTAGAAGCCGAGAGTGTCCGTACTTGATACTTCCTGCGGGATATCCTTAACGTAGCCATGAATGCATTCTGCCGAGAAAGTGACAACACTCCCTGACGTTTTTATTTCTATCGTCGCATACCTCTAATCTTTTTCCAAGTGTGGGAGCAGGTAAGGAATCAGAAGGCGGTAGGGTCGAACCTAACTTAGTTAGGTACTAAGCTGTTGCAATGGGACAGCTTCCGGGGTACACTTTTCAGATGCTCCTTATCTGGCTTGTCCAACTTCGAGGTCATCTATTGGAGCCTGCAAAGTGGTGTCCAACCTGGGCAGACGTATCAAATTACGCTGTGAACCAGGAGGTGGCCCAAAATCGAGAAGTACTGGAGCATAAAGTCCTATTTACTAAGCAGACTTTCTCAGATCTCAAAATCCTCAAAACATCGAAAAGCGTAAATGAGTTGATCTTTCAGCTTAGCTAGAACAATGAAAACATTCCCATACGCTCGTGGCACCCTCTCAAGCCTACCGGCCCCATGTTGATACTCTTAGAATATTTGGTATATAAAATTCACAACCAGAAAACAAATGGACTTTTGCATAATTGACCTGTGCTTCTTCCTGATTTAGAACATTAGTGTGAGTCATTATTCAGAGGATAACAGCAATGCTGCCCTTCAATAAGGGACTTGAAGGATTAGCCTGTTCAAGCAGCGAGAGGGCCGTGCCTGGACTTCAAGTTCAGCCACTAGAGCTTGTTGTGCCCACAACTCGGTGCCAAGTAAAACCGCGGGCCCGATGCTTCGGCCGCCGAACCGCTTATCTGTCGCCCAATTTGAACCATATGGATTCTCTATCATCCATTCTTCCCACTCCTCTTAGAAGATCCATGACGCTAAATAACAGGGCCTTCCCCGTCCATACTAGGTTAGTGTTTGATTACAACCTGTGGCTCAAGTCCGTCGAACGTCTTTCCTTCGGTTCTGCTACCAGTTTGCCAAACACGAGTTGCACCTTCAGTTGTCAGGTTTCCGGCAGTCCAAAGGTCTCGTTGATCTTGCTTTTGATGGCTGGTTCAGAGTTGAAGTGCTGTAAGTTTGCGCCGAGACCCGCGGCTTTCAAGGCAGTCCAGACTGTACTCGGTCAGAGTGCGTGTTGAACAAAGGGATATTGTGTATAGGCTCCACAGCTGAAACACTGGTGAGAGGTTTCCATGGACGACGACGTTACTGATGGTTGCTCTGCGTAACGACGTAGTATTCGCATATCAGCAAAAGGAGCCTCAGTACTTCGACAAGTAGATAGAGAACAGAGCATTCAATACACCCCGAGTGGCACCTTGTTTTGACGGTAACGCATGTTATATGGGATTGCCTCGGGAGAGCGAGTCGGGAGAGCGAGTTTCGAACAACAGCGAGTGGGTCTGGGGCTGTCTAAACACAATTGAGCCTAGTGGTGCGAGCGTCGTCCGGTGGATGGTGAGGTACCTCAAATCCTTAGTAAAATGGGGGGTTTTCAGGTACCTTTCCATCCACTTTTGCTTCCCTCGCATAATTGGCCCCTCTTGGTGCTTCCTTTCCAACGTCGTTGATCCCTTTGGGCAGAACCCTTTGCACTCGCCTTTACAGGTCTTTTTGCACCCAATTTTGACGTTGTTGCGTGTTCAGAGCGTCTCTGTTTGTCATGGCACAACCTGGAATCCCCTCGAACGGTCTTGGCAGGCCCACTGTGGCTGTCGAATAGCCTTGTGTGCCTGCGTGGTAGCTTTGCAGCATGACTGTATCGCTGGCTATAAGTATCTAGGACGGGTTTGCATTGCTTTCACGCTCTTTGTCTCTCGTCTTGTACTTTATAGTGCAGTGGATAGTAATATCATTGTCGAATCTCTGCTCTCGTTCCCTCGTACGTCCCCACCCTGACACCTGTGCTGTAGCCTGCGGCTGCCTACAGCTGCCTGCGGCAGCCTAGACTAGTAACTGTGTATTTATAGTCGCTCATTATCCTTAGATGGTCAGATAGACAAGTCTCCATAGCCCAATGTACATTGTTGAGAGAATGAATGCAGGAGTGCATGCACATTGGGCTATGGAGACTTGTCTATCTGACTATCTAAGGATAATGAGCGACTTTAAATACACAGTTACTCGTCTAGGCTGCCCTAGGCTGCCGCAGGCTACAGCACAGGCATGAGTACAGTCTGGATAATGTCAACATACATGCACTCCTGCATCCATTCTCTCAACAATATGTGGCAACGATTTCAGCGTGGCAATGGATGTTCAGCTGGACAAGGGTTTCGTCTACGAGCTGAACACGGAGACACCGAAAGATGGCGACAATCTTTGTCTATATCAACATGCGAGGCAGGACCTCAACTTGATAGAAAACAGAGCACTCCTTCAACTCAAGTTGTACCACAAGTTTGACACATATCGACATCGAGGCTCGTTCGTTAACGCTCGGTTACGAGCGCGATCAGTAAGAGCTCGTCTAGGTCACAAATTGGATCCGATGAAATACCACGACTCATCGGATCCAATCCGTGGACCATGTCGATATCGAATAGGGTGCCCACCCCCCGGCCGCTTGGTCCACAGACTGGATCCGATTTGGGGGTGGCCCCGGAAAATATTTAATCCGACGGGTTATGGCTCGGAAAATGTTTAATCCGTTGAGGGTAGATTGCCCGCGGGATTTCATCGGATCCAATCCATGGACATCTATCGAGTATAGAGTCCACTCGGGCCACATGGTCCACGGATTAGATCCGATGACGACGCGGCAAGGGGAGTGCCGACGTACCCAGTTGCCCACGTGACACTGCCAAGGCTTACGTGATTGGCCAGCAAGTCGCTCTTGGCGTCGCCACATAACGCCAGCCCTAACCAGGCGATTCCGAATTCGGAAAAAAAATAAATTAAAAAAAAATCAAGCTTATATTTTATAATGCCAAAAACTGCTTCAAAATTGACACCAAATCGTGGTTGACCTATCAAGGACGAAACTTCGTGGGCACACTAAGTTTCAGTCGAACCGATAGAATTGAGGGACCTTACTAGTGTTCGATCATAGGTAAGGCAAGAGGGTTGTCCGGCCTAGATTTCTAGGTGCCCTAGATGGGTAAACGTAATGCTCCAGCCAGTGATTGTTGATGTTAAACTAAGTGATATCGAGGGAGGTCACTGATTCAAACCTTTCTGTCGGTGAACTTGTCTAGCTCAAGCTTTCATTGGTTGTGGCGCCCCATTTATCAGTTCGTCAGTGATGGACTATAGGAGGGGAGCTTTGGTGTTGATTATTTTTGTCGTGGCGAAGGGTGTGTGTTGTAGAGATATCTCCTTCCTCGTGTGTGTGTGTGTGTGTCATGGCACAACCTGGAAGCCCCTTAAACAGTCTTGGCAGGCCCGCTGTGGCTGTCGAATAGCCTTGTGTGTCTATGAGCTATTGTTCTTCTACAACTTGTTCTGCTAGCTTGCTGAAATATATACACGTTTAGTTGGGGGGCGCCCCGGGAGAGCGAGTCCTGACCGCGAGTTTCGAACAACAGCGAGTGGGTCTCGAGCTGTCTAGGCACCAATTGAGCCTAGCTGTGCGAGCGTTGTCCGGTGGATGGCGAGGTACCTCAAATCCCTAGTAAAATGGGGGGTTTTCAGGTCATCTCAAGTTGCACGAGAAGTTTGACAGCAACCCTCGCTCAATAGGCTGTATCACCATTAGCAAGCAGCATTGGTGACGTACACTCGTTAGATAGATATATAGATAGGCTCTATTCTACATTCATTAGGAGAGCCAGAGCACTCTTTCAATTCACGAAGTTTGACACACCGCCATCGGATTGTAACAACAGTGCTAAGAGAGGATGTGGGGAGAGGGATCATAAATCGTTGCGAGCGTACAAGGTAGGGTGTGGAATGGCAATGTACTGAAACATGTCTCTATCTAAGGGTTCGAGGGCTCTTCTTATACCTTCGATCCGTTTATCTTCCTGCCTCCTTTCCAACGCCCAGCCCCCTTCCTGCCACCTTCGCAGTGGCTGGGAATTCGTGGCGTGATGGGTGTTACACGGATCCAGTCCGTGGACTATATGGCCGGCTAGAAGTCGATATCGAGAGGTGTTACTTCTGTACACCAGCTGCTATACCCCCATAGAACGTCATAACACTGCGTAAAAAGACCTATTTTTTTTTTTTTTTTTTTGATAGATCTTGTGTAGAGATACTTAGCTAATAATGAAACCTCTTTTGTAGAATGGCGGTAAAATATGTGCTATTCTGGCGTAATGGTCCACCCTTTCAAAAGCGGTACGTCGTACCATTTAGCGTATGAAACGCAACTTTTTCCCACCACTCTCTTTACCTTACATTAACGTAGAAAAATCGAAGTTTTTGGGTCGATCTAATTTTAAAGGCTACAAAGTAGCTATATTAAGAAGTCACAGAATTTCTAGAGCACTCGTCGTTAAGATTTCGGCAATCCAATTTTGCGAAAAGAGTAACGAGCTAGCGCAGAAGTCCCTTGGCACGTAATCCTTGGCATTTAGTCCCGTGACAAAAATCCATTACGGTATTTGTTGCCTAGGCAACGGTAAATTTGGACATCAATCAAACGCGCCGCTGCCGATAACATGTCTCACTAGTCTGGCACCATACAAAAGGCACACCACACACAACTGCGACCATAGGTAAGTCTCGAGCTTTTGAATTGCAAAAGTCAAATGCTAAATATGGCGTCCAGACAGAACTCCGACCAGCTTCGCATCGAGATTTCGATACCTCATTCAAAACGCCACCGAACGCGTGCCATACCTTTCCTTGAAGCCTCTCCAGAGAGCCTCCATCGAAGAGGAGGGTTACCACTCGACGGGAATATAGCCTCGTCAGAGAAAGAATCACCCGTCATGCCTATCTCCCAGACGCCTAAGAAGACAATAACCAAAAGCAGTGTCGCCAATGAGACACCCCAGAATGCAGTAAATTCTGTCCCCCACGACGATACTCAAATTCATCGCTTACCCGTTTTCATCTCTAGCCTTGGCTGCATGACACACGTGGAGGACACAAAGATCTCCATTTTTGAGAAGCTTCATAATAAGATGTCCAAGAACGCAAAGTTCACCGAAACCCAAATTAAGAGGGCAGAGGAGGCACTCAAGATATCCAATGAATGGAAAAAATGGCGGTCGGACATGGTCTCAAAGAGCTCGGGAATAATTTCTCAGAATATATTTTTCCGCATGCTTCGGAAAGCTCAAGAGGTTCTTCAAGCACAATCGACGGCAAAGACACGACAGGCTCAGAACGTCTTCATTAATATCGGAACAAAGGTACCCAAGTCCGGGATCAGTAATGAGGAGTACGCGGAAGGCCTGAAGCTTTTCAAACCCGATCTAGCTAGTATTGCCACCGATGTCAACAAGGAAAATGTGAGGTATTGCGATATGAAGACAACCTGGGAACTCAAGAAATCGGCCGACCAGACATATGCACAGTCCCAAATACAACTCTCTCTTTTGAGATGCAACCAGGTGTTCCGAGACGACCCCTTTCGCCACTTCATCTACTCCATTCACGTCGCCGGCAGAACATTGCGTCTCTATCAACTGAACAGAGGGCAGGTGCTGTGTTACGAAAACGGGCTTAATATCGAGCAGAATACCTCAAGTTTTCTGCGCTTCGTCAACTGGCTCATGCTGGCCCCTGACGACGCCCAGGGCTTAGCCAAGGAACCTTCTGCCATCGGTCGAAGAGCCATCAGCTTCACTCCGGCCGGATGTAAGATACCATCGCCACTCGTGCGTGTGGGTGTCGACCTGGTCACGACCCGCGGCACGACGGTATGGCCTATTAAAATGCAAAAACCAAAGCCAAAAAAGAAAAAGTCAAGAAAGTCACAGGCCAAAAAGGACACAGAGAACCCACCTATAGAAGGTGACGGTCTTGCCGCGCTGAAAATGGCGTGGGTCTACGAGGCGCGCACGAGTGAAGCGGATATCCTTAGTGAACTGAGCGATATCGAGGAACTACCAAAGCTTTTTGAGTGGAAAGACGGACCTTTAACCACCGAGTTTGACGTTCTACCGGAGGCCAAACATTCAAGACAATATCTCAAAATGGGGCCGAACTATCGGTATATGGAGGTGACACACAGTACATCCTCCGTCATGGCCAACCAGACCCAGAAGAAAGAGGCTGAGAAGGGCTTGTTTATGCCGGAAGTGAAGGGAACTGCTGCCGAGTCGGCCGATGAGCCTTCGTACACGAGAAGGCAGCGATGGTACCTGGAAGAGTACTGTGGCGTTTCTGTGGACGGGCTTTCACAACATCAATACCCCCAACTTCGAGATGTCACGGAACTCGAGCGGATGAAGGCTCTCCGTTCAGCGGTACTCGCTATCCAGAAAATGTTTGACCGGGATCGGCCCATCGTCCACCGAGACATTTCTCCCTCGAATATCATGGTGACGTCGCCCGATATGCTGAAGGAGGAGGGCGGCCCTCCACCCGGGCGGCTGATTGACCTCGACATGGCTTGCGTGTACGGCGATCCTCAGTCCGGAGCTCCCTGGCGCACGGGCACTTACCTCTACATGGCAATCGACATTCTGATGGGAAACCACCCTCGGCACAACCCATGGCATGACATTGAGAGTATCTTCTGGGTTCTGGTGTTTGGAGAGCTGAAGCGGACTCCTAAAGGTGCGGAGGAACTCAAGAGTATTGCTTCCACAGGGGCATCCCAGCCCACCGAAGCCGAAAAAGGGGTAGCATTGGGGTCCAGAAAACTCGTTATTGTGAGTGATTCCTGGGATACTTGGATGGGTGATGAACCATCACGTCTCTTCAGAAAGACTTCGTTCCCCGTCATTCGGCTTATGCATCGACTGAGGGTCGAACTGTTTGGATTCAACGAAGGAAGGGAGTCAGATCGTTTAGTAACCTGGAAAGACGTCGCTGCCGCGGCGGGCGGACATATAATCCTCTCTCGGAAATACGACGCGCCTAGATTTGCGGTCCCTGACGAGAAAATTTGGGAGGAAGCTGAGGAGGAGATTGGGAAAGTCGAGAGAGGTATTGGCGAGCTCAGTTTGGAGGAAAAGATCGACTGGACTGGTCAAGACAAAGGCGACAATCCTGCTGACAAAAAAGGCGTCGGGAAGTCGGGGAAAGACCTATCCATCGAGAGGCTGAAGCAGGCAGTTACCACGATCATCGAGCGCATTGATAGGTGGTTTGCTGAGTGTATCGAGGACCTGGAAAAAGCTGAATAGCAAGAGCAGTCCATGAGCGAAGCTTCGTGAAGTTTTACCACAAAAGGCTATCGGAGACAACTCACATCCCATAATCAGTTGAGAGTATTTTCGTCCCTTGAAGAGGTGTATCGATTTTTCTTGAATCAGGTACAGTGAAACTTCGGGATAGATGATCTTGTCCCGAACCTTCTTCCCGCTAACGAGGAACCGCTTTGACATCTCGTCGATATCGCTGCGTGACGTACTGTCTCACCGGACGTTGAGCGCCAGAGATCTCCACAAGCCCTGTGAAATCGGCCGGATTTGTCGGCGACGTTCAGCCTATTTTTTATTGAAAGGTTTTATGAAGTTTCGCTTATGGATTGCTTTTGCTGCTCTAGGTCCCTAATACACTCAGCAAACCCACCCGTCGAGTGCCCGTTGTTTCGGGCCACAAACGCGTTAACTGGGTCTTGGAATAAACTTCAGTTACCAGGGTCTACGGTTCCTGATAGGCAGTGGACATGACCCAAGAATCGGGAATTTCTGGTTTGGGCAATACGTAGCGTCGAGGAGTGTGTAAAATGACTTCGTTTACAAATACTTTCTCGCTCGATTCAAGATCCGTCCTTCTTGTTGGCCTGGACGCGTGCCAGCAACCGGGGCCGCGTCTACAATGACTCTTTGAACGTCACTGGGCAATTCTATCGCAATGACTTGACCCACGCCAACGAGATTCTCGGTTATGAAGTGTTCAAAGACAAACGGGATATACGACCCGAGCTGGGTCCGTTGATTCGAGAGTTCAATCTCTCTGGTCGTGGGCCGAGGGAATTATGGATGAAGACAAGATTTTGTGTCGTGATGCCGTGAGTGCCCTATTTCAGCTCTCAAGAATGACCTCTGCGTTGGTCTCCTTAAACTCGCCAGATGGGGGAATACGGACCACAGCGGGCAGGAGACAGACCAGCACCCGCCCGCCCGCGCCTAGCTCCGGACTACCAATCGAGGGGATCATCCACATCGGATCAAACCCTTGCCCCTGCTCTGCGAATTGAAATCTGCAGTTCACCTCACTCTTCGCAAAGTCGAGCATCATTTGTAATCCGCATTGGAATGCATCGACAAAATACTTCTCGGCCGTTCTCCGCTTTTCCTCGTATTGTTTAAAAAGTCTTTAACACTCAGGCTTGAGTGTGAGCGACAAAGAAGGTTTACAGAACTCGTCAAGAATCCCGGCCAGCAGATTGTAGAGTCTTTGGGCCTTCTCTCCCAGGGTTGGAGAAACGACCTTCTTCAAACGGTTTATGTGCGCGAAAGTGTTTATCGGCTTCTCCAGATCGGGATGAGCTATGAACCATATGAGTGACTGCCTGATAGACCAGGGGAAACCATTTACCATTCATAAGCAACTGGCACAACGCATCTGGTGCTTCTCTCACACGATCCTTGAAGAGTTTCTATTTCCAGGCAGATCGCTCTCGACGCGAGAGCTCGCAGCAACCCCTCGATTCTAACTTGTTGTAAGATTTTTCGGAGAATTTGTGTCCTCTGTTCTTCTTCGGACATGCGGGGAAAGATCACCGTCAAAAGTTCCCAAGTTTTCCCGGTCAATTGCGTTCCATCTAGGTCCGTCCCGGGGACAAACTTCTAGAAGGGTGTGTACACCGCTTTGAACGGAATACAAGATCTTATCCATGGTTTCAGTTACATTCTGGCCACTGGGGGGGGGGGGGGGGAAGCCATAATGATACGTATTCTTTATCCTTCTTACGCAGTTAACCACTGCTGTCTCCCATGAAAGATTTTGCGCTTCGGGTTCTTTGGGGACGTTGTTTGGATCGGACGGTCGGGATGACTCTGAGACGTTGGCGCCACTATGGAGGATTTAGCTTAATATATGTAAAAAGTAAGAAGAGGGGGAGGTGTTTTGATCTTACCTTGTCGCAGCCACTCTCTTGCCGTAATTTGCGAGAAGGGCATCGATTTTCACGTTCGCCCCCTTGAGTTTGTGTTTTCCTGCCAGATGTGACTGGAACGCCTTTTTTTGCCCAAAATTCATCCGGCCACATCTAGGGCAGACGAGATAATATTCAATGCCATTCAGAATCCATACGCCATACTGCCTATTGTCGTCCCATTTATCACACCAACCGGTGTTGTTCTTTCGACTTTGTAGGGTTGCGTCTCGTTTATTCCGTAGGCCTACCACTCCATTGAGCACGTCGTCGTCGACGTCAGAGAGGCCCTCCTTACGACTAGAGTCATCGAGCGAGTCAATCCAGATCACACCAACGTCGTCGGCCAGTATGGCATCAAACGCTAGGAGTTCGCATCCATTATGGGGTACTCCGTCGGGGCTGCCCCTTCCGTACTTCAACGGGACGAACGTGACCGAGTTCCTGAGAACCTTCGACGATTTTTGCGATGATTTTGGATACGCACAGGAAGTGCGTGCCGCAAGAGTTGTGAGATATTGTACGGGAGCGATTAGTGCGTATCTGCGAAGCTTACCTGAGTACACTGCTGGAGTATGGAGTGACATGAAGACAGCGATGCTGAAAGAGTGGGAGAGTGAGGATGATGAACAAAGGATGAAAACGACGGCATTTCTCGAGGCACTATCTCAGCGGCCTCGTACCGCCACGGATGATATCAAATTGTACTGTCGACAGTTCAAGACGGCGGCAGACTATTTGATAAGCACAGGACGAACAACTACCTACCAAAGTGGTATATGGTTTTTGAGAGGATTGCCTGAGTTCTTGAGGAGAAAGGTTCTTGCGGACGGGAAAATCGATGTGAACGAACCCGACACAGTGAGATTTGAAGCCATCCACAAGAAAGCAATAGAAGAATGGGCAATTCATAAAGCCATCCAGTCCTTGGATCAGGTGCCGGCAAAGGAGGACGTCCAAGACCTTGCCGACAAGATACAGTCGAAACCTGTTGTCGACAAGGAGAAAAATGCGGAGACTGAGAATCCAAAGAACACCGAAGGTAATCCCAGTCAGGAAAGTTTCCCGCGGTTTAATCGCACCCCGGGGGTGCGATTGGCCGAGAAAGCGTTACAACCGGGATATGAGGACGAGTTGGTCGAAGCCATGACCAGGAAATTGGTTATGCCTCTTCGTGCGGAAATGGACATGCTGAGAGGAGAGATCAGAGGGTTGAGGAGTGTCAGGAGTCACGGGGTAATGAGAGAGCATTCCCATCCCCATGGAGATCAACTTCCTGAAGGGAGGTCTGGTGGAGTCCGCGACTTCATTTGTTACTTTTGCCGTGAAGGGAGCCATCACCGTAACGACTGCCCAGAGCTGTTGAAAATGATTTCGGAGGGTCTGATCCATTTGAACGAGGAAAGGAAGATTTGTCTAGGCCGATATGTGAAAGGAGCTCCCGCGGTCAAGTTTCCTGCTAATGGCATTGCTGGAAGGGACCACATTCGATACTTGATTGATTCTAGCAAGCCTGTGGAAGAAATGAGAGTTTCGTCGATTCGCCTCGGTATTGAAAGTTCCTCGAAGTCCGTTGAAGACGACTCGGAGGAAGAGTACATCGGACATAGGGTTGGCGTTGCAGCAGCACGGTCGAATCTGCGCGGAAAAGCGAAACAGTCAGAAACGAGTCACTCCGTCCAAGGGGTAAGCAAGGTGTTGAAGTCGAGACAAAGAGAGGAAGCATCTCTTCCAGTTGCAAAGAGTCTTCGAGGAGGCAACTATGTTCAGGCCGCCGTCGAGGAAGCGGAAAGCCAGAGAGTTCCGCAGACAGTGTCATTTTCCGAAGAAGTGCAAGAGATTCCGGATGACGAAAATGATACGATTATGGTAGAATCATCTGCGGAGGCATCTAAGGCGGCGCCAGCACGAAGATTAGCTATGCATGGGGAGATCCCCACGGTTGGAAAAGAGAAGTTGAGCAAGGTGCTCGGACGCATGAATGGCCCTGAGAAGCTCGCGAACCTATTGTTAAATCAGCGAGTCGATAATGTCACCGTGCAGGGCATCCTCTCCGGATCAGCAGACGTGCGTCGAATTCTATTCTCCCGAAAAGAGTGGGAATATGATGAGGATAAAGACGTGGTCAGCACGGCAAAGTCGCCAAACAGAGTATCTTCGCTCAGGATGGACGGACCGGGGCCACTGGTTGGATTTCAACAAGTAAGGTACCAAGCTGCGTGCCCTATTCTCCCCGTGGAAACGAGACTTGGAGTTAAGGAAGCGCTTTTGGACACCGGTGCTGAGGTAAACGTGATGTCATTCGAGATGGCCGAAGCGCTCGGCCTACCTTTAGAGCCGCCAGGAGCATTGCATGGGATTTCGTTCGATGGTTCATCCAAGAGATTCCTTGGCGTGATTAGGGATCTAGACGTCAAGGTGCTCGATGTGGTGGTGAATGTGCACATGTTCGTGGCGAAAGTGGTTGACCCGAAGTATAAAATGATACTTGGGAATCCCTATCAGGCCAGTGCGCGTGCTAAGATAACCAGAGACGAAGAGAGTAACTGTTTCGTCGAGTTAAGAGATCAGAAGACCCACAAGACCGTGAGGTTGCATGCGGCGTCCGCTGCATTTGAAGAAGGAGACAGGCCGGCGTTAAACTGACACGCGGGCAAAACGTTGGAAGGCCTCTGCCCGCGGGAGTGCGAGGCCTAGGGCGTCAGAGTGATCCTCTAGAAAGGAGAGACCCTATTTCAAGAGAAAGAGAGAGGAAGGAAGGTAAGTGCGGCGGATGGATGCGTTTTCAACCCTGTCGAATAGGACAGGTCACAGCATGGCGAGTATCGAGAAGGGTTGATGATTGGTCAATGGAACAGGATATGGCGTTAGGGTTGAGGCGGAGGCGTTATTTGGCTTCCCAAGCGCCAGGGGTGAGAGTGAATACCTTATACAAAAGAAAGGCAGACAAGGTCCAACCTGTCAACAGTTCGGTCAGCGATGGCAGTAAACCAGGAGGGAGCAGTAAGTGGCGAGAAGAAGCTATTGCTCGAGAGAAAGCTGCCGGATTGTATGACCGACCATACAGGTACGACCAGTGGTTACTACCGAGGCTCACGTTGATGGCGAGGGGTTCAAGACTTCGACCTGAACGTATCGAGAGAATGCTGGTGGGGGATATGCTGACTCCAGAAGAAAGAGACGTGATGCTGGAGATGCTGTACAATCGTGAAGGAGCGCTAGCTTGGACTTTTGATGAAATCGGACGCGTGAAAGAAGAAGTGGCACCTCCACAAGAGATAAGAACCGTGCCCCACGAGGCATGGCAAGCAAAAAGTTTTCATATTCCGAAGTCACTGGAGTCGAAGGTCATTGAGTTGGTAATGGACAGGAAGAAAAAGGGAGTGCTCGAGGACTGTCATGGACCGTATCGGAATCCCTACTTCTTGGTGCCCAAAAAGAATAAGGATTACCGTCTCGTGAATGCGGCGATGAACATCAACAGAGTGACAATCCGAGACGCTAACTTACCACCTTCTTCCGACGAATTTTCAGAGGACTTTGCAGGGATGCATGTTGTCTCTTTGATTGATTGGTTCTCCGGGTACGACCAAGTGACACTTGCAGAGCATTGCAGAGACATGACAGCCTTCCAAACACCGATTGGGTTGTTGAGACAAACGACGTTGCCGCAGGGAGCGACGAATTCAGTAGCCCAGTTTGTCAGGATTTCCAACAAGATACTCGAAGCACATGTACCAGAGAGGGCGCGACCATTTGTTGATGATATCGGAGTCAAAGGACCGAGGACAGACTATGCATATGAAGAAGTCGCCCCCGGCATTCGAAAATTCATACTTGAACATATCCGGAATCTCGATGAGGTCTTGTGCGATGTGGAGAGAGCGGGAGCCACCATCTCCGGAGAAAAATCGCAATTTTGCATGCCAGGGTTGCGAATTGTTGGATATGTATGTGATCGGGATGGAAGACATCCAGATAGTGTGAAGATTGAGAAGATTGTGAACTGGCCTTCGTGCAAAAATCCTACGGAACTGAAAGGATTTCTCGGCATCTGCGTCTATTATCGAGTGTGGATAGAAGGTTTCGCATACAAAGTCCAGGTCTTCTACAGACTCTTGAAGAAAGGAGTGGAATGGAGGTGGGGAGATGAAGAGGAAGAGGCAATGCGGCTGCTGAAGGTTGCATTGACAACCGCACCTGCATTGGTTAGCATTGATTATCTGCCAGGCGCTGGGGTCATCATACTCGCCTTTGATGCTAGCAAAAGAGGATGGGGAGCGGTACTCATGCAAGTGGAGAGGGGAGGCAAAAGAAGGCACCCTGCACGGTATGAGAGTGGTTTATGGTCTTCCGCAGAGTCTCGATATGACGCCGGCAAGAGAGAGTGTCGTGCATTGTTGAAAGCGCTCAAAAAGTTCAAGCATTGGCTGTATGGCGTCTCGTTCGTTGTCGAAACCGACGCAATGACATTGGCTGCGCAATTGAATCGCACCGCGACTGACCTGCCGGGCGCACTAGTCACGCAGTGGCTGGCGTGGATCCGTCTCTTTGACTTTGAGGTTCGTCATGTGCCGGGATCAAAGAATGCCGTCGCAGATGCGCTATCAAGAAGGCCCGCGACCGAGGAAGAGCAGCGTGAGGCAGAGAAAGAAGAGGACATTGATGCATGGGTTGAAGCTCAAATGAATGCGGTTAGAATCTGTCCGATCAGGATCGAGCATCAATCGCACCCCAGGGGTGCGATTAGGAACTCGCCTGATCCGGAAGGTTTGCCGGGCGGTGCCAGATTCAACGAGGAGGAGTACGATGAGGATTCCCGACAAATTGCGGAATTTTTGCTCTCCGGTGGGCATCGTCCGGATGGCATGTCCACGGCTGAATTTAGGAAATTCCGCAGGAAAGCATTGAACTTCTTTGTTCGGCAAGGGCATCTCTTCAGGAGAGCAGACAAAGTCAACCCAGTAAGGAGGGTCGTTGACGGGGAGGAGAGAAGGTTGAAGATTCTGAAATCATTGCATGATGACAGCGGCCACCGAGGAAGGGAGAGCACCTTTCGAAGGATCGCTGATCGATATTGGTGGGAAGGTATGTGGAAAGAGGTCAAAGAATATGTGAAGACATGCGAAGAATGTCAATACCGCGCATCCATTCGAATGGAAGAGGCAATGCATCCCACTTGGGTCGATGAACGATGGGAAAAGATTGGGTTGGACGTGGTCAACATGCCGCGTTCTCGTGGCATGAATTATCTAGTACAGGCCAGAAGTCACTTCTCCGGCTGGCTGGAATCCCGCGCGATTAGGAGCAATGACAGCCAGACTGTCGCAAAATTTCTGTGGGAGGAGGTAATATGTCGCCACGGTATCTTCCGAGAGATAGTGTGTGATGGAGGTCCCGAGAATAAAAAGCATGTGGCAGCCCTGATGGAGTCATATGGAATCAGGCGTTTGGTGACGTCTGCTTATCATCCTCAGTCGAATGGAGCTATCGAAGCAGGGCACAGGCCCGTTGTTGATGCTCTTGCAAAGATGAGCAAGTCACCTGCGAGCTGGACCAACCATTTACATGCTGTGCTGTGGGCTGACCGTACCACTGTGCGATCAAGCACGGGGATGACTCCATATGAAGTCGAATATGTGGACCGGCCTCTCCTTCCTATTGAACTGGATGTGTCAACGTGGAGTGTGATGTCTTGGGATGAAGTACGTTCCACCGATGAGCTTCTCGCTATGCGAGCTAAAGCTCTCGAGCGAAGAGAAGAAGACTTAGAGGAAGCCAGATTACATCTCCGCAGAATGCGAGAACATGGGAAGGAACAATTTGATTCGAGAAACAACATTCGCGAGGGTGCACTCGAACCTGGAATGTTGGTTCTGGTACATGACACCTTTGGCGGAATGGATATGTCAAAAGCTAACAAGTTGTCCTTTCGATGGTTGGGGCCGTATCGTATCGTGGGAACGAACGACAAGGGAACCTACACTCTGGCCGAGCTGGATGGAGCACAGCTAAGTGGAACCTATGCTGGGAATCGATTAAAACAATTCTTTCCTCGTGTTTCCACGTCTTCAGACGTCACCAGATCTCGAGAGTCGCATGTGGATGTGGAAGAGCAGGGCAGCATTGAAGAGTTAGAAGAGAGTCCTGTTCGTCGTTCGAGACGGAACAGGATGGATGCTGCTGCTCAACCTGTCATTGATGTTCATCCTGTGGAAGGACAACCTGTCATTGGTGATGAAACTCCTACGCTAAGGAGGAGACGAGGGCGACCACGCAAACTCAACGTGGTAGAAGAGACATATGAAGAGGCTGACCCGCGCTGATTCCCTCTTTCGTCCGATGCGTTGAAGTTGTTTTCCTAAGACTCGAGCTGGTGTTTCTGTGTTGTGAAGGTTTTGATATATTCACTTTTCTTTGAGTTGGCGTTAAAAAGGAGTTGGAGGAGTGCTTGATTCACTTTCACTTGCGGCTCATTGTTTGTTCAACACTGACAATGGCGTTATTGAGAGGGCATGAGGGTGATATCAACTTCACTTACATGTTTTTGAACTCTCTCTTTCAATACTGTCGCACCTATCCTTGATCAACTGGCGACGTTTCCTATGTCTCAACTGCGAATCGACTGAGTTGTGAAGCTACATCTTTCATGCTTTGACTACAAGACAACCTTTCGCCGATCACAATATGGCAGTTCAGGACTCCCTCTCGCTCTCTCCTGGTGACAGCTACCTTGCAGAACTGTTGCGCGTCGATGGGCGTACATGCGTCAACCTTCCCGAACTTTTCCAACACCTCTCAACATTTCCCAAAGAAGTAAAAGGGGAAGTTTTTCAAGAAAAGGTGGACTTACTCGCTATTGCACACGGAAAAATGGATGAAGTTTCGGAATCTTTTGTTCAGTTCAAAGAGAGGAATCCTGATATGGCTCCATACATTGTTGAGGATTCAGAATCGTGGATCAAAGTCAAGAATGCGGCAGTGCGTGCCACCGCGGCGCGTAGTCAGGCACTGGAGGCGCAGAGATTTGTATTTGCAACATGGGGAGAAGCGGCGGTCCGTCGAGATTTCGCACATCTGCTGACGGCAGGGGATACTACATGGTCGCGTCTTCGCAAACTTTGTCGCAAACAGCCGGATTACAACACTGCCATCGGCTTGATACGCAGAGCAATCTTCTGGCGATTGTCAAATCCATCTCCTGGTCGATCCCGCGACATGCTGCCGATGAGCAAGGACTTTGAACGTGTGACGAGCGGACAAGCTAATACCATTATCACGCGGAATGAACTGCTGAGTGGTGGATACAATGTTGCTGCCAATGGATGGCTTGTGCCTGTGGGTGCCATCACGGATATTCAAGAGCAGGCTGAGACACAATCACGAGGCACGAGGGATGGTGAAGAGGAAGCAGATGAGCCGCCATTCAATCGCACCCCGGGGGTGCGATTAACCAGGTCACGTGCAGCGCTTCTGGCGTTGTCAGAGAGCAACGAATCAGCCACAACGAGCAAGTCGCATCATTCTGTAAATCTCTCCGGCATCGAGAACGAAGATGAAACGTCCACAGATAACACTGCAGTTGCCAGGAAGAAGAGGAAGTTGAGACATGTGGATGACGGTGAATTTGTTCCTGAAGAAACCACGGATAGACATGTGTGTGGGTGTGATGCGGACATTTCAAAAGGCCTCTTGAGCAGGCTGAGGAGTAGGAAAACCTACGATGCATTCGAGCAGACGAACCTCATGAAAGCGTGGCATAGGGCAAAAGACAAGACATTCTGCTATGGGCATCTGCGCAATCTTGCAGCAATTGTCGGCTTCCGAGTAAAGTCGCTGAACTTTGATTTATTGCATACTCGGCTGGGACAATACTATGAACACATGGTTACTGGAACTCTTGGTGCGTGGAAAACCCACAGGGACACATACGCATTCTTCAGGATGGAAGCTCGCCCTCCTCGCCCTTCTGACAAGCTTGGACCTTACAAGTTTGCACCGCGAGCATTGCCTCCTTTATCCATCACCGCGAAGAACCAGCAGGAACTTTGCGCGTATTTGGGAATCGACAAAGCGGAATGGGACACGAATGGCTCGGTTGTTGTTGATTGCTTTGGTTGGTGGAGAACAATGCAGTACAGTGGTTGCGGATCTCCTGCCTGCCGTACTGTCATGGAAGTGATCAACCATGAGTTCGACATGTATAAATTTCACTTGCGTGAGATTAATGGGCGGCCTAACTATGGATGGTTACGGAACATGTTTTTCAGCCTTGGCCAGCAAGCCATGCGTCAAGATCCGGTCTACTATATGATGTATGTTGCACTTCGAGCTGATCGCAACGTCAACTTGGTCTCATACCCATACTACGCGAAGTATCAGAAGCCTGGGGACAAAACTGCATTCAAGCATATTGACATCAACATGAAGAATCTTGCTAAGTCAGAGAGAGGAGCATACCAGATTCAAGGCGCTGTGTCGCTTGATGACGAGGAGTCAGATGACTGTACGATCATCCTTCCTAAGATGCATCGACGATTTCAGGAGTGGGAAGCTCTTCTGGCCGAACGTGGCTTGAGTACTGACACCTTTGTGCATCGCATTGAGAAAGAGCATTTTACTAAGGACGACGTCATCAAGTTTAACACTAACTGGACAGCACAGCCTTGCAAGTCAACACAGGTACGAATCACGCAACCACATCTTCCGCATGGTGCAAAAGGTCCTGCCGTACGTGTTCGACGTACGATGTTGCCTTGGTTTGTTGCGTTGCAAGGAGACCTGGAGATATTGGAGGTCACAGAGAGCGGAACGTTCACGGATCTGTCGATCGCACACCGAGACCATGTTGCAGCAAAGAATTCGCCTTCCGGACTTGCCAATCGATACGGTGTCATCCCAACCGCCTTTCCCGCCTCGGTCATGCTGAATGGGCTTGGTCCTCTTTCCGACTCAATCGTGTGTCAGCTACGTCATGACAAGCCTACAGTCATTCAAGACAAGCGCCTTCTTCTTTTGGGCACAGTTGAGGAACGATGGGCCTATATCTGTGCATGGCGGCAAAACTGCGTCAACAGAGTGTGTGAACTGTTCGATCAGGTGGTAAATGAGGAGAAGGCACATTTTGGTATGCGGTCATACTTCTACCTCAAAGATATAGGCCGCGAACATGAGCCCTTTAGTCCTGATGAGGATCCTGCTGAGGAGAGCCCCAAGACGGTGGGTGTCATACATGGTTTTGAGGGTGCCGAAGCAAGCGAGGAAAGCTCCGAGTCTGAGTAGAAAGGCATATTGCTGTTGGCCGAGGGCGGCCAAGCTGTGGAGAGGGGAGGGATGTAGCGGGGCGCTACGTGCATGGCTTATGTAAGGGGCAAGCAAGCATGGGTGGGTAGAAAGATGGCGAGAGCATTGAGCCGTTCTTGTAATTAGAGCTTGGTGTGTAGTTGCTCAACAGCTTTGGCGACGACATCCTCCCTGCATGACAGGCACTCAAGTGCTAAACCGTTCATCACCTATACAATAGAAGAAGAAAAGGGGTCAACTCAACGTGTATATATACCAGTAACCTGGCAGGACCGGTTGGGTGTAAACAGAGCATTTAATATATCTCAAGTTGTTCCCCAGTTTGACAGTGGTCCACGGATTGGATCCGATGAAATACCACGACTTATCGGATCCAATCCATGAATCATCTCGACGTCGAGGCTTGTCGTTTACGCTCGATTACGAGACATCTCGAGTATGATTAGTAGAGCTTCTCTGGGTGGTCTACAGACTGGATCCGATGGGCGACGGGGGGACTTCATCGAATCCAATCCATGAACCACGAGTGGGAGCCCCCTGGGAGGCACATGGTTCACGGATTGGATCCGATGAGGGTGAGGCCGGAAAAATAGTTAATCCGACGACGGTTGTTCGGAAAATATTTGATCCGTTAGGGTGGTTCACTCATCGAATCCAATCCACGGACCATGTCGATGTCGAGTAGGAAGGGGGGGACATGGTCCACAGACTGGATCCGATGGCGACGTGGTAGGAACTTCTATGTAATAATGTCACGTGACTTTGCCAAGTCGTATGCTTACGTGATCGGTCAACACGACGGTCTTGGCGTCGCCGCACAACGCCAAGGGTGGTTCCAAAAAAAAAAAGCCAAAAAAATAAGGTTTATTATTTTATTCTGCCAAAAATTGCTTCAAAATTGACACCAAATCGTGGTTGACCTATCAAGGACGTAACCGAGTGGTAAAACACTCGGCTTGCAGTCGAACCGATAGAATTGAGGGACCTTACTAGTGTTCGATCATAGGTAAGGCAAGAGGGTTGTCCGGCCTAGATTTCTAGGTGCCCTAGATGGGTAAACGTAATGCTCCAGCCAGTGATTGTTGATGTTAAACTGAGTGATATCGAGGGGGGTCAAATCTTCCTGTCGGTGAACTTGTCTAGCTCAAGCATTCATTGGTTGTGGCGCCCCATTTATTAGTTCGTCAGTGATGGACTATAGGAGGGGAGCTTTGGTGTTGATTATTTTTGTTGTGGCGAAGCGTGTGTGTTGTAGAGATATCTCCTCGTGTGTGTGTGTGTGATGGCACAATCTGGAAGCCCCTCAAACGGTCTTGGCAGGCCCACTATGGCTGTCGAATAGCCTCGTGTGCCTGCCGATAGCCTTGTGTGCCTGCGTGGTAGTGAAGTTATGAGCTGTTGAACAATAGCATTGTGTTGACCTGTGAGACAATATGTGGCAACACTTTCAGCGTGGCAATCGGTATTCAGCTAGACAAAGATTTCATCTACGAGCTGAATACGGAGACACCGAAAGATGGCGACAATCTGTCGAATTTGTGGTACAACTTGAGTTGAAGGAGTGCTCTGTTCTCTATCAAGTTGAGGTCCTGCCTCGTATGTTTATATAGGCAAAGATTGTCGCCATCTTTCGATGTCTCCGTGTTCAGCTCGTAAACGAATCCCTTGTCCAGCTGAACGTTCGTTGCCACGCTGAAATCGTTGCCCCATATTGTCTCACAGTTTAACACAATCTTCGTTTATATAAACATGCTGTAGCGGGGCGCTACGTGCATGGATTATGTAAAGGGCAAGTAAATATGGGTGGGTAGAAAGATGGCGAGAGTATGGAACTTTTCTTGTAATGAGATCTTGATGTGTGGTTGCTTAACAGCTTTGACGACGATATCCTCCCTGTATGACAGGCACTCAAGTGCCAAACCGTTCATCACCTTTACAATACGAGGCAGGACCTCAACTTGATAGAAATAGAACACTCTTTTAATCCACGAAGTTCAACATGAGCCATTGTTCTTCTTATTGTTCTACAACTTGTTCTACAAACTTGCTGAAATATATACACGTTTAGTTACCTCTATTCTACCCCTTTTCTTGCCCCTATCTTCTGTATAATAGTGAACCCCCTTTCCTTCGGAAAAGGGATGCTGATAACTATTCAGTATCGTTGAATATTTATATCTTTCACAGAGATATATTAAATGCTCTATCTACCTCACAACCGATCCTGTTAGGTTCCTGATGTATATATATACGTTGGTTTGTTCTCTTTTCTTCTTCTATTTCCACTTTTAAATCCTATATAGAAGCGATAACCCCTCTTTCAATAAAGAGTCACCTGCTACTATTCAGTCGTTCAATGAGACCTTAACCGACAGTAAGCTTATATAACTTAAATTTAAATAAATACTCTAGCCCTTTCAAGAAGGGTAGAATAGAGCTGATTTATCCACACGACGTATATTACTGGGCTTTTCTAAGAGTGTGGAATAAAGTTTATCTAAATATTTATATACGCTAACGCTGTCGCTAATTAATGAAGTTGCATACTAGAAGGTGAATGTTATAAAATAAGTAAGTCGACTATACTCTCTCTCCTTAATATTTAATTAATTATAGCTCGAGGTCGACCTTTTCATTTCCGGGTCAAATGGTATGGGAAGCGGCGACGAGTTCGAGAGAAGCTCCGTCGTTAAGCTCGACATCGAATCAACCAATCTTACTTCATGACATTCTTCCTCACGTCGACATCAATCGAACCGAAAATCGAACCGATTTCGATCACGTCGACTTCGATTATTCTCGACGAGGTGATGTAACACCTATCACGCCACGAATTCCCAGCCACTACGAAGGTGGCAGGAAGGGTGTCACGTGGAGCGCTAGGCCTAGTTGGGACTAGCCCGCTAAAGCTCTCGTTTACTTCTTCCATTTCTGCAACCCCACACAACTCTTAAAAGAACAAGACACAGATAGACCATAACAACGACTACTTCAGTCAACCTTTGCCATTGCGATATTCCATTGCTTCCCCCTCTCGTCCCAGATATGACAAAGGGGGCTGGGCGTTGGAAAGGAGGCAGGAAGATGAACGGATCGAAGGTATAAGAAGAGCCTTCGAACCCTTAGATAGAGACAGGTTTCAGTACATTACTATTCCACACTCTACCTTGTACGCTCGCAACGATTTATGATCCCTCTCTTCACACCCTTCATTAGTACTGTTGTTATATGCGGAATGAATGAATTGAGTGCTCTGTTCCTGCAGAGGTTACTGCGTTCTATCTTCTATATAAATACTACAGAGTAATGAGAGTAGAGTCCCACAACACGACGACGGAGTCGCCGTGTTGTGGCAGTGCAAATCCCTGGCAAGCTGAGAGTGCCCCTTGCACGGCTAAGAGCCTTACACAGCTGAGAATGAGTGGCGACGACGAGGGAGTGGCCAGAAGTGCCAACACCACAACGTTGCCGCCGTGCGCAGTGCGAGCATTAAGATTCGGATAACGTGTTCACCGTTTAACCACTTCTATCATTATTTCTCGTATCAACAACGGCTCGGCACGTTATCGTCGTCCCGTTCCGCCACAACGCTATAACACAAGACGACATGGTCAGTGTGTTCAATGCGTTGAAGTCTTCTCTCACGTGATCGATGGCCACAGCGGTGTGATATGTGGCGACGCCAAGGCTTGTAAAGACCTTCGGAAGCGTTGTACGCTTCGTACACGCTTCGAAAGTATATAGTCTGACGGTCCCCTGGACCCTTCGAAATAGGACAAGTCCTCCGTAAAATCACAGCGGAAGGTGATAAAATTGGCCGACTTTCCGTGCGGGGTCCTCCACCTCACAGGTTGTCTTCGCAAGAGCGCTGCCTTCCAACCATTTAAGATCGAGACATTTAGCTATTCCATATCCTTATTTTCTTCGTCCAAACCATCCGGTCTCCACTCTATCCCCGCGGGGTAGTTAACGCCGACGCCCTGACCCTATACTAACTCTGTCGTGATTGTCATCTAGGCGAAGTTATGAACTATCCGAACACTCCGGTCCAGCCTGGGTTTACAGTTCCCGCCGGGTCATAAAGAAAACAGTAACCGAGGATGCTAATTGGTAACGTGAAGATACACATAACTGCCACCTGACATTGCCGAATAGTCCCGATCCGAAATAAGGCTTTTATGTGGCTGTCGTCGATCCAGAATGGTATTATCACTGCGGGAAGGAGACTGTTAAGTATGTGTGCAAAGGCCACGACCACCACACAGCCGACCGTGAGAAGCCAGATATCACCATTGTATATCCAGCCCCTGTACATCCGGTCCAAAAGAGGATTAGTTGTGGTCGCAAATAAACCCGAGATAAGCATGAGCAAGCACCAAGCTTTCACCTGAAAAAAGAACATTTCGAGGTAATATTTCTTGGCCCCTGGAAAGATTTTCAGAAATAGTCCAGAAGTTATCAGTATAGCTGAAAAGGCCCAGGAAGCTTGTAACAATATGATCAATCGATTGCCCTCTCTAGCGCGGGAAATCAGGCCACATATTGTAGATGTGTTGGTGGCAGTCTGGATACCAAGTGCAAAGGAAACCAGCCAGTGACCGTTTGCAGTGGGGACTTGTCCGAGTCTGAAGATATATGTTACGGGACCTAATATGGGACGTAGTGGGTTGCCCCGTCGCCGCCGAGGTTCGTAATCGAAAGAATTGTAGGTGCTCGATGGAGGGACGAGTATAGGAAGATCGAGGTGATGGGCAATGAAGATAATCGCCTCCCCGAAGACAATGGAGATGAAGAACATGAGCGCGATAGCTTTCGTCCAAGGGATGCCCTGCATTCCGACTAGCTTGATCGTCTGACACGGAATCCCGCTGACAAACAACAAGGCCAACCGCAGTAGAATCGAGGTTTCGACGCTCTTAGTGTCTCTGTCTTCATCCTTAAAGCGGATAACGAAGAGACGCTCGATGTCATAACGCGGCGCGGAGCTACAAGTGGCGCGTATGATTGCGACGAGGAAGTGTGCGGTGTCGGCGATGCAAATAAACGGCGACATGCGGGCATAGAAACGGAATGATTTATGCTCTTGGCCCAGAACTCTCCCGCAGGGTTGTATCATGGCTCCCAGAGCCAGCGGGACGAGAGCCCACCAGACAACTTGCCATTTGACTTCCGTAGGATTAGCAGCGTCTGCAAGCTTATGTTAATCGCTCTGCATCAAGGCCCTGATAGATAGATTCGACAACAGGCTGCCATACCTCTTTCAGGCGCCAAGACATTATCTCTGGCAAGAAGCCGCGCGAACCCTAAGAACCCCATAGTGCCCTGAATCTGCTTCCAGGCGAGTACTTAAGAACTTGGTTGAGCCTCTGCTGGTCGTTGGAATGGACGAAGCAGAAATAGTGTCAATATGTGATCTAAGTTGCTGGCCAAAGCGGTTGGCTCCCAAGGAGGATGTAGTTGCATTTTATGTCATGTTGCCTCTTAAAAACCAATGGAAACACGCCTCAGCTGCTCGACCCCGCTCGAACGGAGTCTCGAAAGTGGGATGTGCGGGTCGTTTCGCCCACCCCTGTAGGCGGTGAGAAGCATCTATTTATAGAACCACATCGAATACCCACGTTGTGACCCACTATTTTCCTTACTCAACCTGGCAGAATTAGAGGGGTGGGCGAGACCCATATTGAACCCCTTTCCGTACCCAGATTCGTGGCGAAACTTTATGCCACATGTGAAAGATTGCTGATCACGGCTTCACAAGCATAGTAGTAGGACTCTGAAGCTCATATTAAACTCTTCTATGAGCTTGAAAGGGAAACAGCTCGATGGTGGTGCTGCAGTGGTGGTGGCGGCCACGCACCTGTAGTTTTCGAAGCGGGAGGAGTCCCTCCTGGCCACAGCACGCGACTTGTACAGAACGGGAAATGTATCCGAATCTAAAAATAGTTTCGGGAAACTAGTCCCGGTTATTAATTACTTATTAAAGGTGGCACTGCGCCGGGCAAGGACGCTAAAACTTTGTGGCTGGTGCCAAGCTGGCTCTCTCATGTGGCTAGTGTGGCTGATGTTGTTGGTGTTGTTCCGTGGTGGACTATGGCTGCGATGTTACCTGTCATTTAAACTCCACCATTACTGGGTTCGGTCCTCGGCTGTTCGCGATCTGATTGCAAGTACTTGACAGGGGTGCGCTCCAGCAGCAGGCGGCGGCACCGATTATGGACAGCTGTAGTTACAGGTGAGATAATTGCAGGTATAATATTCCGATGCAACTGTTCTACATCTGTCATGTTTGAATCGCAATAGAATGAGTGTGAATGTCTCTCGGGCAGGAGAACAGTTGTGGGTTGTTTTCACAGTGCTGAAGTAGTTAAGGCCTGGAAGGATTTAATCTTGGTATTTTTGAGCGATAATGGTAAGTGAGATTATCCCTTGAGAGTCCCATTTCCAGTTTTACAATACAGTACAATAGTTTATTTTACTGTGGACGTTTTCTAGGCTTATTCCGCAGAATAGAAAGGGACATGTGATGTTGGCTGAAGCTATGATCGACAGATCCCGTAACCGTCACACAGACAGACATCTGTCGGCGGGCAATCCTCATCTTCACCGCTAAATAGTATTTGCCACACGCGTTCCCATACTCGGCCAGATATAAAGTCACTTAAGTCGGTGCGAATCAGCCAGTCGCGGAAATGCCGGTATTCAATCAAGGAATGACCTCAAATTCGGCTTCGACTGACCGCGAACTGGGCACAGCATGGGTGAGAGACAGTGGAGGGGACTGAATCCCAAGGGAATAGCTCTTTCCACGCCTCAGCCCAAAATATCTCTTCGGGAGTGTCAGGGTTATCTCCCGGGCGGAGTGGATGCACATAACTAGGACACCCGGGAGAAAGCTGGCATCGAAGGTTCATATACCCCAAACGCAGAACCCGGTCGAGTGAGAGCTGCTTAATCATGAGAGCGGCGTCGCGATTGAGAAGGTCCTCATTATGCCAGCTGTACTGATGAGAGTGTATAAATATCGTTACATCCGGTAGACACTCGTAGTGGTCAATAATGTAGGTCAAGTATCTAACTCATTCGTCGTCAGTTTATGGTGCTCAGGGGTACTAGTACTTACACCATCACCTCGTGGTTTTTATTTATCGGAACACTGTATAGTGCCGTTGTATTATTAACCACATATATCATGCGATCCAGGTATGGATCGGTACCCAGTTCTCGCTCAATCCAAGTTGTATCGTTTTTCTGTAGACTTGCGACGACGAGTGCGCGAGAACGGTTGGGTGAGATGGAAAGGAGGCCGAAGCTGGGTCGAGCATGGATGAGTCCAGGACCTGAATAGGGAATGCGGTCCTCTCTGTCCCATGACTTGGCCTGATTATGGACCCGTGAAGCGAAATCAGCTTCTAGAATGTTAATTCAGGGGATAGCTGGTTGCAGACAAGAAAGCCTTTCCTCAACCATTGAGTATTTTGGAGCCAGACCACCAGCATAGTAAGGACGATAAGGATGAGAATCCCGCCGTTTCTCGGTCGATCGAACAAAGGGTGACTCCAAGGCATAATGGGAGATCAAACGCACCAGCGAGTCAGAAAGCACTTCCCTGTCGCTGTCAATGAAAGCCAGGCCAAAAGGCGTGAAGAATTCAACGGCAACCATCGCGATGTCACCCACATTTTTCTGTCGGTTCCCTGCCCCACCTACATTCCCCTCGCGACTGGGGTGGTTCAGGGTCGTATGGCCGATTCGTAACACGGCACAAGACATCCTGAGTAATACCGTACTAGTAATCCCATTGGTCAAATTATGTCACCGACGATTGGAGGATAGTTTAGAGTACACTATTATCTATCAGGCAAAGCATGACCCACTTATTCCTTAGCTTTTAGGGAGAGAAAGTTGCGATGTGTCTGCAAAGGAGAGAGCAGTTTTGAGAGCCTCTACATCACATCAACTCGAATTTAACAGCTCGAGAGCTTAAAGCAGACTCTGGCAGCCTAAATCAGCTTTTTATCGACTTAAAGGAGACTAAAGGAGGCCGGGGTAGACTCAGAAGCCCAATACAAACCCCAGGGGACCTAAAATAAATCCCTCAAGAACCCAACATATGTCCTAGGGACTCGAAATAAATCCCTCAGGAGCCTAACGTAGACCCTAAAATTCTGAGTGCAACTCTCTAGGAACTAAAAATACGCTCTACCAGGAGCTTAAAGTGGACCTTGGGAGCCCAAATAGGCACATACTAAGAGCCCGTTTCTGCTTCCAGAAGCTAAATGTAGTCTTTAGAAAGCTGTCCGACGGTGGGTCCTGCTAGGCATTTTTCAGGGTCTTACGGATGCCTCCCTTCCATAAACTTGTCCTTCTCTTCCTTCTGCGAAGTATTGTACAATACTATACCTAAGCGCTATGGGAGGTGATTCAATTCAGCTAGACTTTGTTCAAAGAGAAATATGCGTACTCCTACTATAACAGTACAGTTTGTTGTAGCAATTGGAAGGACATCGACAGCTTCTCCTCGAAATTAATCTTAACGCACTGAGCTACAGCTTGTTTTGCATGTCCGCGGCTTTGTTTCCGGATGTTGTACCCAGTAATTTGCTTCATGGGTTCGTGTTTGGGTGATGTGTGTTAAGCTTTCTTGCCGCCCTTACTGTGAAGTTTGTATACGCGCGTAGTACTTTAATGATCAGGTGTGCGCGTAGGTGAAGCCGATTTTGCTGGACTCGAAATCAAATACTTTCATCCTAATCTTGTGGCTAAAATACAACAGATCCATACAATTCCAGTTCATACTGTATTTGAAAGTCCTTAGGCGCAACGAAATAACTGTTTCATCGAATCGGATTCATGAACTATATCGAGTGTAATCAGTAGGGCTTGTCTGGGTGGTCCACGGATTGGATCCGATAAAGTTCCACGACCCATCGGATTTGATCCATGGATCATCTTAACGTCGAGGCTTGTCGTTCACGCGTCGGTTACGAAGTCTGTCGAGTGTGATTAGTAGAGCTCCTCTGGGTGGTCCACAGACTGGATCCGATAGGCGACGGGGGGATTGTCCAGACTGTACTCATGCCTGTGCTGTAGGCAGCCCAAACGAGTAACTGTGTATTTAAAGTCGTTCATTATCCTTAGATAGTCAGATAGACAAGTCTCCATAGCCAAATGCGCATGCACTTCCGCATTCATTCTCTTAACAATATACACACAACACCCCTGTCCAACACAAGGTCTCATTGAACGACTGAATAGTAGCAAGTGCCCCTTTATTGGAAAAGGGGTTCACTGCTATATAGGATATAGGGCCAACTAAACGTGTATATATTTCAGCAAGCTGGCAGAACAAGTTGTAGAAGAACAATAGCTCATAACTTCACTACCACGCAGGCACATAAGGCTATTCGACAGCTACAGTGGGCCTGCCAAGACCGTTCGAGGGGATTCCAGGTTGTGCCATGACATAGAGCTTCTCTGGGTGGTTCATAGATTGGAACCGATGAAATACCACGAACCATCGGATTCAATCTATGGATCATCTCGGCGTCGAGGCTTGTCGTTCACTCTCGATTACGAAGCGTCTCGAGTGCAATTAGTAGAGCCTGTCTCGGTGGTTCACAGACTGGATCCGATGAAATACTACGACCCATCGGATCCAATCTATGGATCATCTCGACATCGAGGCTTGTCGTTCACGCTCGGTTACGATACATCTCGAGCGCGAGTAGTGGTCTGTCTAAGTAGTTCACAGATCGGATCCGATGAAAGGCCGCCGCCATCGGATCCAATCCATGGATCATAACGACGTCGAGGCTTGTCGTTCACGCTCGGTTACGAAGCATCTCCAGTATAATTAGTAGAGCTTCTCTGGGTGGCCCACAGACTGGATCCGATGAGCGACGGGGGGGACTTTATCGGATCCAATCCATGAGCCACGAGTGGGAGCCCGGGGAGGCACATGGTCCACGGATTGGATCCGATGAGGGTGAGGCCGGAAAAATAGTTAATCCGACGACGGTTGTTCGGAAAATATTTGATCCGTTAGGGTGGTTCACTCATCGGATCCAATCCACGGACCATGTCGATGTCGAGTAGGAAGGGCGCCCCCCCTTCGTGGGAGGAGGGAGGGGCCACATGGTCCACAGACTGGATCCGATGGCGACGCGGTAGGAATGGTCTTGGCGTCGCCGCACA